TTTTAGTTAATTTTTATTCTACTTAATTGGTTAGAAAACATTCCGTGGCAAGGATTGATTTTATACCTGTCTGGAGTTTTTTTTTATCTGGTTGACTTGGGGCAATAGGGAAAAAATTAAGGGGCTATTTGAATAGTTTTAAACGTATTTAATTTCTACCACTTGTGGGGAAAAAGAAACTTCTATTACAGAACATTTCTCAAAAGCTGCCAGAGTCACCTCCCTCCATCCCATAACCCAGCCCCTTCTATTCTACCACATAACACCTGCACACAGAGAGATCACTATCAGGGCTTTTAAAAACAGTTTTCCTCGGAAGATTTATGCCTCAAAGAGCCTGTAGCTTTCAATTCATCTCCTTAAACCCATTAACTTTGTAAGGAATCCAGCCCTGTTGTCTAGCCTTGGGAACAACAGCCACTGCCTGGAGAAGTTTCTAACGTTATCTGTCATTTTTTCGACACAGGTCCTGTTAATTAAAGGGAATGCTTGCTCCCACAGTCCACCTGCGCCCTTTAACTCGAAACAGTATCTGTTTGTACTGCATTTGCTCCTGCCTCCCGCTGGGTTTCTATTCAAATTCATTCAAAGAAGGAACAGATGAGACCCTATTGCCATCATTTATTTCTTTATTTAAAAATACAAATGTTTGAAAGGATTAATTTCATATTTCTACTTTATATTACACTTCCTGCTTTTTATAATTATTGATGTTAAACATGCAATAGGAGCCACAGTCTTGAGCTGGCCTTAATAAATACTTGTAGCTTTAAATGGTCAGGTAATGAGATGAGGAAAATTAAGCAACTGATCCAATTAAGTCATGCTGATCTCAGCTTGGAGAAAATGCAGAAGAGACTGATTCTTCAGGACTAGGTTTGCACACCCTTGCTAAATTTACACTACTACAGATCAGAGACATAAGCGCTTAACCAAATTCATTCAATTCTACAAAGAATTAAAATGTGCGTGTGACCTCTCCTTACCTTTGAAGCCTTTCTTTATTTCAGTGAAAGTAATGTAGGACAGGGAGTGGCAAGGTTTTTGCAGGTGCAAATGAATGTTCTTCCAAGTAGAACAAAATGCTCTAACAATATATTCTACAATTCTTTTATCATCAACAAATACCATGTATTAGTATTTATATTAATAGTAGTAAAGTACAGCCAGTTCAAATATATGTTGTGGTTATTCTTACCTTTCCTTTCATTTAGTAACTCTCTTAACTACATATGTATTACATGAGATTTGTCTGTTCATGTGTTTAAATAAGTGCCAGTGTACGGCAAATTTCCAAAGCAGCCAGTGCAGGTTTTTGTTTATACCTTGTTGTGGTAAAGATGCACCAAGGCCTCACCGACTACATATCAATAAAGGACATTGAAAAGGACACCACAGCCTGTAGAAGGTTTTAATTTTTTTTTCATTTTATGTCTCAAATGGCTTCTATTAATGACCTTATGTTGAAGTAACACAGATGTTTTTATTTTAATATTACAAAGGTTTTAGAGTTCGCCATAAAATCAAAAACCTGAACTAATTATGGCAACCAAGAGCCAGAACTGAGAAACAGTTCTCTACATGGATATTTGATATTTTTCCTAACTACGAAAAACAGCTGAACTGGGAAATATTAGCAGAAAGTACTTCAGAGTCACATTTAATTATTTTATCCACAAGTTTTCTATGAGAACAAGATGGTCTGTTGTGTTAAATTAACATTAATTCCTCTGTCCTTGCTTGCGCAGGGCAGTAGTGGCATGAGTTCCTCCCTGTCATCAGGGGTATCTTCCATATCCTCTTGTCAGTGTCAAAAAATACTTTTGATGCTAAAATGGCATAGTATCACGTAATTTGCATTGTTAGATAAAGATGCTTCTTCTAGTAGTTCAAGTGGGTAGCTGCGTCAGCATGTGTAGGCTGAAAAGGAGCAAGTAATAGGTTTATTCCATGCTGAAAAGTGAAGAAAGAAAACACAACGTTTTGGCTGTGGAGCCTTCTTCAGGTGTGAGATGCTTCTACCTAACACATACATTTCATTATTACAATAATGCATTTTACTGGGATAGAAAAAAACATGCGCTACTGAGGTTCTGTTTAATTTGTGAACCAGACATGGTGTGATTATTAAGATTTAGGGACTGTTAAACTTAAAGAGATCACAGAACAGCATGTGCATTTAATGATATCACATTTTTTTTTACTTCTTCACATAATTTTTTTACTTCTTTAACCAGACACACTGTTATGTTAGGGTATGCTATGTTATGTTATGACACACTGTTGCAGAGTGGTGGTTCTGTGGCTAAGGATCTGTGCCTGTGGCTGGAAGGTTGCCGGTTCAAATCCCGCAGCCAGCAGAGGAATCCTACTCCGTTGGGCCCCTGAGCAAGGCCCTTAACCCCAACTGCTCCAAGGGTGCTGTACAATTGCTGACCCTGCACTCTGCCCCCAAGCTTCTCTCCCTGTCTGTGTCTGTGTCTCATGGAGAGCAAGCTGGGGTAAGCGAAAAGATGAATTCCTAATGCAAGAAATTGTATAGTGATGTGATACTATGTTATATTATTCAAGCAGTATATCTGTGCAAAGTACCATTTTTCATTACTCCCCATGATGTTCTTATAAATTTCTGGTGTAAAATATATGGTTGTCTTGTGTTTGTGATGGAAATAAATGAAGGAAAAAGTGGGTGAATGCAGAAAATAATTTTTCTGGATGAAAAATGGATGAAGAATGTTTCTCTTCAGGGAGCTTTCACCAGAGGCCACAATACACAGCAGCAGGTCAGTTGGGGTGTCACTGCTGTCAGTACAATAGATCATTGATGTGCGATAAGTGAAGCCAAGCTGACACCAGCTGCATTTGTCTTCACTGAGTTGCATGTCTTGTTAATAAAATAGATGTGTTCTCAGCCATGAGCTCAACAAGGAAGCTGGAAATTAAGAGAGTGCTATTATGTATGAAGGCAAGAAAACAATAAATATTATTTTTACACTTTAGTAAAGGACACCAGGATCAAGTATCAGAGAAACCTTTAAATTATAGTTAATAAGATATATTAGTGTCCTCAAGGTCCTTAATTACTCGTTTGTCTCATTACTCTATCCAATGGCAACAAGTTCAATGCATTTAAAAACTATGAATCACTAGTAACCTGTGAAATATTTCATATTTCCTAAGTAGGATAATTTAGTGAGTTGCAAGATACAACATATATCTAATGTAGTAAATTTTACAATGAGCAAAAATACAGTGTAGGCAATTACAGTGTATAGGTGTTTGGATTACAGTGCAATATGCTTGAATAGTAAGTGTACTGAGCACCATATAGAAATAATTAATGAATGCTGTGACTGCAAATTGAACTGTTAGTTTTTTGGATTAGATAAAGCAACATCAGTTTACTGTCTTAAGTAATTATGTAAATGTGTTGCCATAAATTTCCAGTTTCCCCAATGTATTGTCTTATACCTAGGACTTTCTTTTAAACTTTTCTGAGCAGACATTTATTCTCTTTTGCATGACTACCAGTACACAGAATAATACAGAATGGATACAGGCTTTCCCAAATTATGTCATCCTACCCAAAAGACATGTTTCAGAGACATGCACTTGAAAATAATAATCTAAAAAAAATGGAATCAGCTGAAACTTTTGAAGTAACTTTTTTTTACAATCCATAGCTGAACTAGTTGAATGAAACCGACAATCTTAGTCATTTTATATTGTTTATAAAGGTATATCCTCAGGAGAAGTTAACACAATTTCATGTTCTCTTACCATTATTTAACCAAGAAATGACTTGTCAAACACTTGTTTTTAAAACGGTATAATAACTGTAAATTAGCAGCACCATGGTTCATTTTCAGTTTCTATTTCCCTGTCTTGCTATTCACTGGATCTCTGGGTTTAAACAAGGTTCATATTCATGCCACTGATGTATTGAGGGTTATCTGCTCCTCCGAGCTCCCTGAGGCAGACCGGTGGAGACAATGGTGCATCCTCAGTAGGAAGCGAATGTGTCACGGCTTGGCAGTGAGTGTGGTTTCATTGTTGCTTGGATCCTGGGATTTGCATGTCAATTCCCTGCCTGGCAGCTGCTCCCTCACACAGCAGGCTGACATCACGAACTGCTGCCTCGGCCCTTTGTGTGTAATGTGTGTTTCATGGAAAAAAAGCCTTTCAGAACTGCCGATAACCCTGTTCGCGTGAATTGGAAGCATCAAGTTACTGCGGTTCCCTAGTCTTTTTTTCTGGTGTGCTTTAGTTAACTCAGAGTTGACGCCTGGTTGTCCTTTAGCCTTCGGTGGACTTTATTGTGAATTTTGCTTTCAACAAGAATTTGTTGTAGTCAGTGAAAGCTTAATTATTTGAAATGTCATTTTGTCAGATTGTTGGCATAGTGTTTAGCATTGCTGCCTCGCAGTGATGGGGTCCGGGTTCTATTTTGGACCTGGAGCTTTGTCTGTGTAGAGCTTGTATGTTGTCCCCATGTTCACAGGGGTTTCCTCCACAGTCCAAAGACATATTAGTAGGTTAATCAGCTTCTGGGAAAATTGGCCCCGGTGCTCTGGTGTGAGTGTGTGCATGTCTGTGTGCGCCCTGTGATGGACTGGCGTCCTGTCCAGGGTGTATCCCACCTTGCTCCCTTACTTGATGATCCTGCAGTCCTCCTTACTGTTGGTTGGCATTAATAATGATCCTCTAAGTTCTTGTTCTATTTATTGGTATAAGATGTTAACCCATTTTTCATATAGTAGTTTTAAGACCCATTTTTGAAACCTCAGAGTGCACATTCTTCACAGAAGCACTTATTCATCAGCATTTGATTAGTTATTTTTGTTCATATTTTATCAGGCTTTTTTTTAACCCATTGACCTGGTTATGTATGGCTGAGCAAGATGTCACACCTCTTCTGACAGCGTAAAAGTCCTAATGCTTAGAAAAATAACTGCTCTTCTGTTCTAGGCTTCACTAAGTGTCCCGTGTTTGTGTTGTAGCCCTTCCACCCAATGGTGAACCTCCAGTGCTCTCTGGACCTGCGGCCTTTCCTGTGTGCTCTCTACGCCCCTGTGTGCACAGAGTATGGCCGCGTCTCCCTGCCCTGCCGCCGGCTTTGCCAGCGGGCACACCGGGACTGCACCAAGCTCATGGAAATGTTTGGAGTGTCCTGGCCAGAAGAGATGGAGTGCAGCAGGTAACCCTCCGCCTGCTTGCCTTGTTGTGATTGTGCTTGCGTGTCTGCCTTGTGATTCTGCAATGACAGGCTCATCTCCTTCTGAGTCCTTTGTATTCATTTACAGATTCTGGCTGCCCACACCTCTCCTCCTGTTCTCCCTCTGTTTGGACACCAATTCTCACTCACTTTATGCATATTTCCCACCCGGTCCCCACCCCTTCCTACCTCCTCGATTTTTTGTTACCCTATGCCTTAAATATTTGCTACTTTCCCTCTCTTCCTCACACTTGAAGAAAGATTCACAGCCAAATCATAGCATTTCATTTTACCTTGTAGTATGGAATGAATCTTGAATCATTCCTTTGCAACCTATTGCTGATACAACTCCCTACTCGAACGTCTTCAATCATAGTCCATTATAAATGGATTCATATTTGTAACAGTGAACTTTACTTTCTTCTTTTCTGTTTCTCAAAATGCTTATTGTCTTTATTTACTCATTGGAAAGCAATTTTCACTGAGTAAGCCTGTTTGTTGCCTATTAGAATTTGCAATGATTTATTAGTCTTGACAGTCTGCTTATCTATCTACTTTCTTTTTAATTGATCATATATCCCACAGTATAAAATAAGGTCATTTCCACTCCCCTCTACCACAGTAGAAACTAATCTCACACCAACTCCATCCAGACTGTTAGCTCATCAGCATGATGGATTACAATACTGTGAGGGTGCCCCTTGTACCCATTCCACCATATTTATAACTGACTGAAGTCTGTGTCATTCAGTGAAGGAATGTAGGTCAACATTTGGCGTTAAATAAGATTAACATAACAGACATTAACAAGGATTTATCTTTTGCCAGTGCATCTACTACAAAAAAGATTGTCAGGTTCCTGATTAAACTTGAACAGATTTTAAGTTTCATGAGATGCTCAGTATACATTAGCCTTGATTTGTACTTTTTATCTACCCAGTTTTGCCTATCTTTTGGATTGAGGGAGGGCCTGTGTTGGATGACCGAGGCTGTTATTTATTACTGTGATGTCAGAACTATGCTCGATAATTGTTCTCTACATGATCTTTGCTTACATAATAGGGCTGATTATTACTTTTAGATTATTTACATGACCATCTCTTATAGAATCCTATTCTGTTGGGCCCCTGAGCAAGGCCCTTAACCCCAACTGCTCCAGGGGCGCCATGTGCTCTGACTCCGAGCTTCTCTTCCTGTCTGTGTGACTCCTGGAGAGCAAGCTGGGGTATGCGAAGAGACAATTCGTAATATAAAAAATTGTATATGGCCAATAAAGTGATCTTTTCTTATCTCCTACTTGCTTGCCACAAGCCACAACATTCACAATATATTTACTACTCTTTACTACTCTATGATGGTAACACTGCTTATACTTTGTAGGTCTTGAGTTTCTGATGGTCTACCTGACAACCAGTGACAATTTAGCATATTGATATAATATTGTATCAACTAATATTTCCTTTTACACAAACTCTGTTGATCTATAATGCGTTTCATGAACACTATACTTTAACATTGACACTCATTAACGCCACAACCTCAATTCAATTATACTGTATATGGGAATCTGTCTATAACAGTTTAGAGTTATGCACTTTTTATGATTGATGGTTTTAAATATTCTACTGAAGCATATTTTTATTTGGGAAATCTGGGGAAATATTGTTTTTTTAAATGAAACACTAAATCACACTAGGTTAAAATAGAATTTTTGCTTTCCATGACTTCCCGTGTTGTCTCTGGTATTTCAAATTTAGTAATCTATAATTCTAAAGAGAAGCATTTCTTTAAAAGAGTCCTTACCAGTCTGCTACTCTGATTAAAAAGCACCATTCTTTTTTAATTTTGGTTATAAAATGCATTACATGCATTGTCAGTTTGTTAAATACCTTGTCCTCGGGTCTTAATTTTATTGACAAGAGTAAAATAATCTGGTTAAATATCACTTACGCCTTGTATTGGTGCTCTCCTCAGGTTCCCAGACTGTGATGAGTCTTACCCCCGCCCTGTGGACCTGCTATCTAGTCTGGACAGCACAGAGGAGTCCCCCATGGCCGTTCAGCGGGACTACGGCTTCTGGTGCCCACGTGAGCTGAAGATTGAACCGGACCTGAGCTACTCCTTCCTCGGGGTGCGAGACTGCTCTCCTCCTTGCCCCAACATGTATTTCCGTCGGGAAGAGCTCTCCTTTGCGCGCTACTTCATTGGCGTCATCTCCATTGTGTGTCTGTCAGCCACCCTCTTCACCTTTCTGACCTTCCTCATTGACGTCACTCGCTTCCGCTACCCTGAGCGGCCCATCATCTTCTATGCTGTCTGCTACATGATGGTCTCCTTGGTCTTCTTCCTGGGTTTCCTGCTAGAGGACCGGGTGGCCTGCAACGCTGCCAGTCCTGGCCATTACAAGGCCTCCACTGTCACGCAGGGCTCCCACAACAAAGCCTGCACCCTGCTTTTCATGGTACTCTACTTCTTCACTATGGCTGGCAGTGTGTGGTGGGTCATTCTCACTATCACCTGGTTTTTAGCAGCTGTGCCCAAGTGGGGCAGTGAAGCCATTGAGAAGAAAGCCCTCCTGTTTCATGCCAGTGCCTGGGGCATCCCAGGCACACTGACAGTGATCCTGCTGGCTATGAACAAGATTGAGGGTGACAACGTGAGCGGAGTGTGCTTTGTGGGGCTTTACGACGTGGACGCACTACGCTACTTTGTGCTGGCCCCGCTGTGTCTCGATGTGCTGGTGGGCGTCTCCCTGCTGCTGGCAGGCATCGTGTCCCTAAACCGGGTGCGTATTGAGATCCCGCTGGAGAAGGAGAATCAGGACAAGCTGGTGAAGTTCATGATCCGGATTGGGGTGTTCAGCGTGCTGTACCTGGTGCCCTTGCTCGTGGTCATCGGATGTTACTTCTACGAACAAAGCTACCGGTCCGTCTGGGAGATCACCTGGGTGCAGGAGCGCTGTCGTGACTATCACATTCCCTGTCCTTACCAGGTAGGCTCTTTTACTTGGCTGTTTGTGTCAGCATACTATATAGCCCATATAATAGAAACCATATCTAATATGTTCAAAAGTGCAACATTTAGTTTATACAAATAGCAATCAATCAAATTCTTAAAACAGACTATAAAGTATCATAGCTTTAGGGATTATGGTTAACTGCTTTAAACTGTGTTCTGGTTTTTGTGTCAGCTGAATTCTTAATTGCATTTCAGTTTTCTTTTTCTTTTCTTTCAGATTTAAAAAAAGTGAAAGTGATTATAATTGGTCTCATCCTTATGTGAATTTCTGAGTTTCAGATTTTCCCTTACTAATTAGTGTTAACTGAATTAACATAAATTGATCACCTTTAGAGAGAAACAAGAGAGTAAGTTCTTCCTAAACAGAAGGAAAGGTTATATGTTTTGAATGCAAAAGGAATTGGAACAATACGATTGAAGCATAGTAGTTTGGAAACCAAGTGCTGACTATAGAAAGAGGTAAACAGTCTAAACAAGTCAATTATTAGCACCAGTGTTCACTAACAAACACAGGGTTCCCCCAGGACCTGAGCTGGGATCCAAGGGTTTAAAACATAATTCATGTTTTTAAACAGTATCTTGTTGGATGGTTTCTGCAAGTCATTGCAGTTTTTAGACAATGTATGAACACCTGTTTTAACAGAAATATTGTTCATCACAAATCCTGTTTGGTAAGCAGTGAAATAAGTCAGAGCACAAAGAAAAAAAAATGAGACTAAATTAGGTTGTTGAAGGAATGAAATATTAAATTAACAGGTTTGGGGACAAGTGATCAAAATCATGCCAGTTGTATTCCATTTACAAATAAGGCAGAATATTTCTAAGACATTAATTGAAAACCCTTGTCTTGTAATAAGCATTATTTGTAGTTTTAATCAACTAACCAAATAAGCTTACAATTAGTTTAAATGAATGGGAAAATGAACACTGAAAATCTTAATTTATATGCATCTAGTTCACATATTCTGAAGGCTTATCTTTTAAAAAATACAATCTCTACATTTTTTGGTTACACCAACACAATTTCAAATATCCATCTGTGTTTTCCAAATCTCGGCTTGAAGATGCCAACGCTGTGAGCACACAGTGAAGACAGGGCCCTCTGATCTGCCCTCCTTCAAGTCATTTGTATTTATCAACTCAGGTAGCACAGCCCTGGATGTTTTTGAGGAGCATCACTGGACTGCGTATTGTCTTAGGGTCACAGGAATTGCTGTGTTGCTTAAAGCTGAAACAGCTCTTGTTGACTGATTCCACCCTGTCCTCCTAATTGGCAGAGCACTTGGAGAATCCCAGTCATAGTCAGTTAGTTCCATAACCCAGACTGAACCCATGATCACACAGTCCAACTGCTCTCCTTGGACACGAGCCTTTACTTGTTGAGCCGCTCCAGGGATTAGTGAAGATTATGTCTTCAATTAGAATAAGAAAATTCAAGACAACTACCTAAGATTACTTTGGATTTATTGACAACAACACTCTGAAGATTATTCCATCTCTGTGAAAATATTGTAGCGTCACATGGGGATTGAACACTTTGAATCAGGAAAAAAATGGTCAGAGTTACTTACACTGCAGGGCTTTCTTTCAATTTTCTCTGTTTTCACCTCAAGCTCCACTCTCCTGTCTAAAGGCAAACAACATCTTTTACTGTTTATAAAAGTTCCCACTCTTCTCTTGAATCACAATCCGTAAATCGTTGTCTTTTTTCATTCTTTTTCTGTAAATCATTAAATCCGTAAAATATTTTCTTACTAGTCCGTTTATTCTTAAATTCAAATACAAATTTCACTATCCATCCAAAACTTTCTACTTCTGGCTGCTGATTCCTTCAGGGTCATTTATATTTTGTACTACCTAATGGAGCTCACCTGTTCCCAGTTGTATTGTTGTTTAGGACCCTTCTTTTGATAGGTCAACTCACTCCTCCCTGTGGCCATCTTGCTTAGGTCCATTCCAAGTATTTTAAGAATATCATTGTAGAAATACCTATCTTTGATGTTCCTCTTACAAGTGACCTTACAATATAATGGGAACTTCACGGGTACAAGCGTTCTCCAAAACTAAGAAAAGAACATGAATTTCCTTAAACTGTGAAGCCCTTTGTGGCATGTGTCTTTGTGGAAGATCCAGTTGTGGGCTTTTCCACAGTTCTGGATGATCTTTAGTCTTCTCTAATCTGGGATATACCAGGGATTATACTGTATGTGTGTAATAAAATTCAAACTCTGTAGACTATTATGAAATCATACTGGCCCCTCTAATATCTCTTCCAGCAGCAACCTTAGTTTTAACCAGGAGGTCTCCCATGCAGGTACTGACCAGGCTCACACCTGATTAGCTTCAGTGGGTTGCCAGTTGTGAGCTATAAGGCGATATGACTGCTGGCGAATATAACAGACATCAACCAATATTCATTTCACATCTCTCCTATATGAATCCTCACAACTACATTAAAAAATTGAGTCTTTGTCCAAAAAGAGTCTGCAGATAATACTATTAAAATATAACACTTATAATATTATACTTATAATATTAAAATAATTATAATAATTAAAGTATTATAATACTGGTGTCATAAGTGAACCTGCTGTATTTATGTATTTCTAACTTTTTCTGTTACCTTTTGAGATTTACAAAAATAAATAATTTGTATTATCAGTCATGTTATTTTATAATTAATAAGAAATTATTAATTTAGCACCAATTTTAACCTCAAAAGATGCAATTATTTAATATTTTTCATTTCATGTTTTATGTGGCATCTTCAAAAAACCCATGTTTGTCTTAGGGTCAGGTGGTTTTGGTGTTTAGCTTTTGTGAGCTGCACATTGTGTGTTACACAAATGACAGTATCTAGTAGACTACATCAGAATCCTATTAACTAGTCCATTATGCTATTAATGTGTTTTTGATAACATGTCTCCTAAACACCTGTTTTACCCTGTTCATTGCAAAAATAATGCAAATTAACAATCATGAGTCACAACAACTGCCTGGGATTTTCTAGTTGAAGGACATAGCTCTTTCATGTGCAGCTTCTTTTTTATCTTACCCTAGTAATTCAACCAAAGGCTGCCACCAAAACAACCACTTCAAAAGACATCCTACATTCTTTCCCAATTTAATTATTAACCACTTATCCGGCACAGGGGAGGATATGTGTTCCCAGTCTAGGAGATTCTCCCAGGCAGAACTTCTCTCTCATCTCATTACATGGTTTGATAAAGGTATTCTCAAATTACTGCTGTGTGCTGGATATCTCTCTTCTGTGTAATCCAGCTACTTGATACAAAAAATGAACAGATTAACATATTTATAAATTGGAGCTTCAATTAAAGAGATATTTTTCACATATCATTGTTCTTACATCAGGTATTGAAGTTTAAACAACAGGGCAATAAAAATGCCTGTACATTTGTGTGCATACAAATTTACAAGAATTTCTACATAAACCTAGAGCTCTGACATCCATCCATTTTTAACCACTTCTAATTCAGGCTCGAGGTGGAGCAGAGTCTTAACTTGGCAAGCAACAGGCACAAAGCAGGGTACGCCCCTGGACAGGACACCAGTTCATCCCATTGCACTTACTGACACAAACACATACACATGCCAATATTCCCAGAAGCTAGTTAAACTACCATTATGTTTTTGGACTGTGGGAGAAAATCGGAGCACCCAGAGGAATCGCACATGAACTTGGGGAGAATATACAAACTACATGCAGATAGCACCCCAGGTCAGGAACTGAACACAGGACTCCAGTACTGCAAGACAGGAATGCTGATCACTGCCCCCCCCAGATAATCTGTATCACTGCCAAATTAAAATACAATACGTGCTGTAGACGTGTGGCATCTGTTGAGATTACCAATTTGCTCATTAAAGCTTTATAGTATTTATCTCCAAAAAATTACTTGGGTGTTGACAAATACTGAATCAAAGTGAAAAACAGTGAAGTGTTCATTAAAAAAAGGCATCTATGACAAAATCCCATTTGGATTTTGTAAAGTATTAAAAAAAACAAAACAATTGCGAACGTTAAACATTTCATGTTAATGATAAATACCCAGAGAAACGTAGAGAAATATTAGCTCTGTAAATATGCCAACTGATTTTAACTATGTAAATAGCATCCATTGATCTGTCATTACCTCACATTTTTATGTGAGGCAATAAACAAATGCCCATACATTTCTTTGAGAAATTTAAAACCGTATTGCCTCATCTAACAATTTAGAAAATGCTGTTATACTATAAAAAGGAAACAAAAATAAAAAAGAACATAGAAGCTCCAAATCCAGGCTGCACCAAAAAGAATATATTTGTGTATGTTTAGACTGTACGGTGCTGCTCGAAAGTATGTGAACTTTTCATCTTTGAATGTCTTTGAAATGTCTTTGAAAGACAAACAATCTTAAAGAACTCTTTTATCTGAACTCCAATATTTAATAAAGATAACCTGAATAATGGCACACTTACAAACATATATAGTTTTACTATTTATTAAATAAAACATGTTTATTTAACAGAAACTCAATGATCCCTGTGTGCAGAAGTAAGTGGTGGTACATCCTTTAGCAGCTTTGACAGCAACCAAACGTTTCCTCTAGTTTTTAATCAATAGTTTCTCAGATCTGCCTTTTCTGCTCACCCTTCCTTGCAAAACTGCTTCAACTGCTTCAGATTTATTGTCTGGAACAGCCAACTTTAGGTCTTTTCACACTATTTCTAATGGATTGTAATGTGGACTTTGACTCGGTCATTCCAAAACACAAAAATTAAACTTACAGATGGTGGGCCTGCCGTTCTCCTCCAGAATATTTTAGTGTTGCTCTGAATTCGTAGCTCCCTTGATGATGGTGAAGTCGTCCAGGTCCATGGGCAGAAAAGCAGCCCCAAACCATGACCAGCACCATGCCTAACACTGGGGATAAGGTTATTTTGGTCGTAGGCAATGTTAAGTTTTTTCCCAAATATGGGATTTTGTTTTTGTGGCCAAAAAGATCAATTTTAGATGCATCCATCCATCTAAAACATTCTTCCAGGATGTGTACAGGATAACCCAAATGGTCTTTTGCCAGCTTAAGACAAACAGGAGTGTTTTTTTAAGGTTTTCTTCTGGCTGCCTTACCTTGAATGTCATTACTATTCAGCTTGTGTCATATTGTTGAGGTATAGACATCAGCTGAAGCAAGACAGGGTGTATAGATCCTTGGCTGTGGTCCTCGGTTTTTAAAGGACATCCTATGTAAGTTTTCTTGTCGCTGTGGGATAACTTTGTTTGACATCCACATCTAGGTAGAGTCATGGTTGTCTTATATTTTCTCAGGTGGGTAGCTGCGTCAGCATGCGTAGGCTGCAAAGGAACAAGTAATAGGTTTATTCCATGCTGAAAAAAGGAAGAAAGAGAACACAACGTTTCGGCCGTGGAGCCTTCTTCAGGTGTGAGGACCTGCTCACACCTGAAGAAGGCTCCATGGCCAAAACGTTGTGTTCTCTTTCTTCCTTTTTTCAGCATGGAATAAACCTATTACTTGTTCCTTTGCAGCCGACGCATGCTGACGCAGCTACCCACCTGAACTACAACCCTCACACTTGAAGAAGGCTCCACGGCCGAAACGTTGTGTTCTCTTTCTTCCTTTTTTCAGCATGGAATTAACCTATTACTTATATTTTCTCAGTTTGTAGACTATTTGTCTTATAGTTCACCTGAAGAAGGCTCCATGGCCGAAACGTTGTGTTTTCTCTCTTCTTTTTTTCAGCATGGAATAAACCTATTACTTGTTCCTTATTTGTCTTATAGTATACTGATGAATTCCAAAACATTCTCTTAAGGTTTTATAACCCCCCCCCAAGAGTGAATAGCTCTTAAAAAAACTCTCTTCAGGTTGTGTCATGGTGTATTACACTAAACTGTATGGATAAGACCACATTGACTAGGTTTCTTCCCTTTATATATTAGGGGGCCTCCCAAAGTTTGTCCTGGTGATTGGCTCTTTAATTGGTTAACTCAGTAACGTTATTTTAGCACCTAGTTGTACTTACCTCATTGACTGAGCTGATTTTTTCCACATGCACAATTTCCTTATTTACCTATTTCTTTGGCTGTTGCATGTATCAGTTCCTAAGCAACATATAAAATGTGTGAACACTTTCTTTTAGAAACATAAGGACTAATTAATTGTAAAAATGTAACATTTAAAGAACTACAATAATGGTTCACAAACATCCAAGCAGCACTGAATTTCTGTTTTTTAAAAAAGGCTTTTAATAGTTTTTTTTTCCTGTTGTTCCTGTTTTTCCCACATCCAAGAGTCTTTCTGCTTAGGTTTGATTGGCTGTTCTTAGTCATTTTCTCCATAGCCCTTTGATGGATAGACATCCTATCATAGGCGAGAGCAGTCATGTTTTCTCAGTCCCATCTTGCGACCTTTGTTTCCAGAACAGGCTCTGTGCTGCCTCGGCCTCACCACAGCAGGCACTTTTCTGATAATAGCTGGATGGGTGGATGGGCTCCTCGGTGAGGAGGAAAAAATTGAGAGGGATAGATTAATTGTTTTCTCTCTGGGGATGTGTATTTATGTGCAGCAGTGAACGTTTGAGGGGCTTTTGGGAGGAAATGGTGTGAGGGGTGAATGATATCAAGAAGCAGGTATGAATCTTAGCTCGACTTGGAAAAGGCTCATTCTAGATACTAGGCCTCCAGGGAGACCTAGAGGCTGAAGGTATAGAGAAGGTACAAAGAAAGCTGAAGTTACAGAGAGAGTCAGGCAATCTGGTGATTCTTCTTAGGATGTGATCCACCCTTTTTTTTCTACAGAGCTGGCTAGAAGATCTTTTTTTCTTACCTGTAAAGCTATATTGAACTGTGTTAAATTATATACAGAACTAAGTGCTTCAGAATCTGCCCCTTTGGCATTGTTACTGTATATCACTGTTTTTGAGGTTTAGGAGTGTAATATATCAAATGATTTTTTTAGTTTTCATTTCTAACACCTTTCTGATACCCACATGGCACATATGTTCCATCATGAAGTGTTTCAGAGAGGTCAGCACAGATGGTTTCTAGTTTGTGTGCAGTAAGGAGAAGAGAGGATTGTCTGTGATCAGTGAGCTGTGTAGTCTATCAAGGCTGAGACGCACACTGTCCTCAAAACAAATAGGCCCTGGGGCCAGGCTGCACAGATATGAAAAGGCTTGGCTGTCTCTGGAGAGACAGGGCAGTGTGCACACACTGCACCTGCTAAAACATGTTATAATGTATTGATTTGATATGTGTGCATACATTAACACTACCAAAGACTTTTAACAAATGATGCCTGGTCTGACTTAACAGAGCAGGTTTGACAGGGATAAGGCAACACTGACAAACTTCAAGGCACATGTGATCATCCAAAATATAGATATGGGCGTGGATAAATGTCTGTGAAAAATGTATAATACCACTATCTTTAAGTGAGTCCTGTTAACACTGCCAGGGCTTTATGTTGTTTAAACTCCTGTTAAAAAATAATATTGTTGTAGTTAGAAAGTCATAAATACAGTGACATCTGATCCACTATATATATAATATATTTATATACTTTATATAGATATACTATTTAGGCCCTTATAGGATATTAATTGTAAGTAATGCCATTATGGTGAGAATTGGATTAATTACAAAAATTATAATGCTTTACCTGAGTGAGGCTAAAAAACACCATTATAACTCCTCTGTTAACTGTGATTTCCTGTAATGTCAAATAGCTGTAGGATTATGCATGCTATATTGTGTTTATCCTCATCCAAGCAGTACATTATAAATAGAATTCACATCTGATAAAAATGGTGTTGTTATGTACATTTGGGGTGCTTATAGTGTTACTTTAGTTTCCAATTGAGAATAGGTTAAAAATCTTCAGATTCTCCTGTGTGATCAACCTTCATATTGGTTTTATTTTGATAATGACACAGACTTTGATATCCAGCAGAGAAATGTAAGTGGAAATGAAACCCCCTCCTCCAAAAAATACATGTAGCAATAATTATATTACTTAGGAGATGATGTGGGTATAGGTTTTAGTGGATTGTCCAACTCTAGCTTAGCTTAAAAGCCAAGAAGTACACAATATTTTTTCTCATTTCTATTTTTTCTTTACTGAGAAAATGTTGTAGGTAGTAAATTCATAAATATTTATAATATGTATCACTTGCTGAGTTAAAATAAGAAGCTGCTTATTTTTCCATTTGGCAAATTTGTCAAGACTAAGAATTTCAATATCTGTTATATTTGTTCTTCTTTGAGAATTGTAGTTGAGATGAGTCTGCTTTTGAGGATTCACATAGCCGTCCTTAAAATAGTGAATCTTCATCACAGTCAGTCCTTTAATTCCATTATTGGGTGTTTTGTGCCAAACGCTTGCACAGTTTTGAGATGTTCCTCCTGAGCCAGGCTCTATTAGGTTAAAACTTCATTTTGACAATCTGTAAAAGGGAGTTTTAAATAAGAGTATCCTAATTATTACTACAGGTGTGGATTTCCAAAATCAGGATATTTATAAGAACACAATCTTGAGAAACAGCTCCTAAGAAGTTCATTTTGAGATTTAATGGAGAGCAAGTGCTCCTTTCGGAACTCTTCATCAGGTTTTTTGAAACATGTTTTGCTGTCTGGCCCCTTGTGTAGGTATCTCAGACAAGCAGGCCTGACCTTATCCTCTTTCTGATGAAGTACCTGATGGCGCTGGTTGTGGGCATTCCATCTGTGTTCTGGGTAGGCAGCAAGAAGACCTGCTTTGAGTGGGCCAGCTTCTTCCACGGTCGGCGCAGAAAAGAGTGAGTTATGGTGGAAATGGGGGAAGTTGAAAGGGCTAACACTACCGTTTTTACTTTTAGTAAAGGTTTTTCCTCATGATTTCTATCCTTTTAAAATGATATCTGGTTCTTCTGAAAGAAACATGGCTTCTGAATAGTTCTCTTCTAAAGATACTGCACTGATACTGGTAGGGTGGGCCACACTTTGTGTACTGTAAGGGGTTTTCTGAGCATTTATTAAATGCATTTATTAAATACCCCTTTAAATGTGGTGGGACAAGATATCACTTAAAGCAATAGGTAACCTGTTATATACTTACTAAACCAATATTCATCACAATTTATTAATTGTAATTCCACAGTGTAATGTAATTGAGAATTTATTAGGCAAAGGAAAAATATTTTTTACAGGAGAATTCAGGTTTACATTCATAGAACTGGAAACAGAAGAAGCAGAAACCAAAATGGCAGACATGGTTAATGACTGTTTTCTATCTCAGTTTGTCAGAGCACCTACAAGTGGAAATGATTGGATAGATCTGGCGTTTTTTAGCAACCCAGACAGAGTAAAGCAAAAAAGAGAACCTTTAGAAAACCGTGATCAGCATGCGATTTGCTTTGAAGTATACATTGAATTGCACAGGAAGAATCCAAATCAAATCAGTATTCCAAATGGTAACAGATCAATTAAGAAAAATCTAAAGGACAAGTTAAAAGAAGCATAGCTCGGGCTGAACCTATTCGTTCAGCAGACTGATTACTTTTCTTTTTAACATCAGTATGTAATCACTTCACTTAGTCAAGAAGGACAGGATGTTTTTTGTTTTTGTTTTTTTCGGCTCCCCATTCCCTGCCTCTCTGTCTTCTTTCACTGTGTGTTGCTGGTCTAATGTGGTCTGATGCTGGCGTTGATGTTAGATTCATTCCCTGGCTTTTCACCCTTATCTTTTACAGCAGCGCAGTGAATGAGAGCAGGCAGGTGCTGCAGGAGCCGGACTTTGCCCAGTCTCTGCTTCGAGACCCCAACACTCCCATCATCCGGAAATCCAGGGGCACATCCACCCAGGGCACCTCCACCCATGCCTCTTCCACTCACTTAGCCATGCTAGATGACCAGCGGAGCAAAGCAGGCAGTGTGCACAGCAAGATGAGCAGTTACCACGGCAGCCTGCACCGCTCACGAGACGGCAGGTAAGGCCGTGCGGCCTGCAGCTTTCAAACAGCTCTAAACCAAGTGATGTTATTTGAATTTGAATTTGAGCTCCTTGAATTACATTAAAATTAAGGTAGGAATGAAAACATGTGCCTTTGTCTAGACCTTTTGTCTATTTCAGATGTTACAAACTGCAGCTTTTGTAAGGCAACACAAAGTTCTGGGTGTCATATCTTTGTTTTCTGACTCTGATATGTTTGAATAGTGATTTGGAGCCAAATACAAAAATTTAACTTATTGTTTTGGGAAAACTGCTGAAAGGACCTGCAGCTTGGGAGCACTGAAATTGGTCAAATTGTTGTGAAATGGACGTCGTCTTTTTATTTTTGCTTATCATATAAAAACAATAACTTGGACGTGCGCTGTTTTAAATTGATTGTGCTGTTCTGTTAAACGTGACCCTAATATAAAAATTTCCTTGAAACTTATTCATTTGTTAAACCCTGGAGTAAAATAAGTCAAATCTGGTTCGGTTTGTAGCCGCAGAACTGACTTTGAGTACTGTTACTTTGTACTTTGTACACAGTTAGTTGTGTTCCAGAAAATGTTCCTTTAGACTATCCTTCATAAATTGGTACAAGCGTTTAAGCAACGTGGTTGCTTTTTATCCACTCACTTTTTATCCACCCTCAGGGTTTAGCCTCAAGGATGCTTTAGGTCTGTCACTTGCAGCTGCATTAAAGAAACAGACTATAGGTCGTGATTTCTGGTGAAAGATGTATCCCCAGAAACTTTGAGTGACATCTGGCAGATGGCAGCCACATGAACCTGCACTTGCACTTGAATGATTAGGAATCATTGTGAAGGCGATTGCACACAAAGTACATAAAAAATGTTGACAGAAAATTAGAAATATGAGAAGAAAATTAAGCTTAAATCCAATACCTATCTTATTATAGCAAGAGTTAGAGATATCACTGTGTAAAATTAAACATTTATGGTGAGAAGTCTCCTAGGTCTCATAGGAGCATTAAAACTCCCTGTAGCTGGGGATAGTGGTTTTTAATTTGGTTTCTATAGTTGGGGTTGTTGCTTGTAGCAGCTGTTCAAATCCACAGTCCAGCTGCATATATTACATCATGTTAAATGCTTTGGAATAGAGTATTTTTTTCAACTCTATAATTTGCTCTAAATTTGAGGACAACAAAGGGTCAAACTGACTGTTGTTCCTGGTTTCTTCCAGGTACACCCCATGTAGTTACAGGGGAGTTGATGACAGACTGCCTCATGGGAGCATGTCCAGGCTCAATGACCAGTCGCGGCACAGCAGCATGCATCGCCTCAATGACCAGTCACGGCACGGCAGTGTTCGAGACCTGAGCAACGCTCCCACACACATCACGCACGGGACCAGTATGAACCGTGTCATCGAAGAGGATGGGGCGAGTGCCTAGGACTGGAACTGCGTCCCCAGTCACTGCGCTTTCTCTTGAAGGAAAAACAAAGACAGACCCTATCCTGAAGAGAGGTATTTTAGTAGATCCATGGGCCTCGACTAGGCTGTACATTTCAGCAGCATTGTAAAAAAAATGGTTTTATACTGTGAAGACAAAATTAAATTCCATGAACGAATGCCAAACCAGGATCCTCTTGGATTTAAGGTCAATTTAGACTGCCTATGAAGATGTAAATTATTAAAGCACTCAGATGAAAGGTACACTGCTGCCCTTTAGTGCTAAATGCATGACCGCTGTGGGGCAACTTAGCATCTTCCATAACAGGATCTGCCAACCATGTCAAAGACGGCTTGGAACAGAACAGACCTGTTTAGTGTTGTTTATAGAGGGCCCCACGTTGGCAAAGTATTTTTTTTTTCTGTTGCAAAAGTTGTATTTAATGTAAATACTCTGCACTTCTGTCCCAAATATAGTGTTTTTTTAGACCAGGGAAGTCAAATTGGACTGTTTTTGCCCTTATATGTTTTTAAATACCTAGCAAAAAATAGGTATTTCAGATAGGACCTTAATGCAGAAAAAGCCTGTTAAGCCTTAAAATCACTTGGTCTCCTTGCTTTGTGATACATTTTCCATACTTCGCATGGTCTGGCAGGGGTTGTCATGTGTTAAAGCTTAGTCATCTCTGGATAGCACAGAAATGTGCTAACAGCTGCAGTTCGCATATCCAGACTTCTTAAAGGAGCACACAAAATATACTTCAATTTCCGATGTATGTCATTGTCACAGTATGTCAATGTAATGAAAATGGCCTAAAGAAGAGCAGAGGCAAATCAGAAGCCTAGCTTTCTTAAGATGAATGCCATATTTATAGTTTCAGCTAATGCTCATTTAGCCCTAGTACTGCTAATCTACCTCGGCCTTTGGTAGAGAGCTGTTTTCCCTGGAAAATTGTTGTGACCGGGGATCCATTAATGAAGTCCCTTTCCTTTGAATGAGCAGGTGGTGACATAAATGCTTTGAAGTAACAAAGACTGAAAAGTGTAGCACATACTGTTTTTGTTTGGTACCAGATAAAAAAAGCAGCTTGGTACAGTGCACAAAGAATCAATCCCATTGCCCTTGAGAAACTTGTGAATTATGATGCAGTATTTATGCAAGACAAAATTCAAGGTTTAACTGATCAGTGATCAATCAAGAAACACGATATTTCAGGACCAAAACCCAAACCTGAATTTTATCTTTTTAGTAGAGATAGAGCCTAACATATATACCTCAAAGTGATCCGGTGAATAATGCAAATTGAGACAATTGTTTTAAAATATTTAAGTTTCACATACAAAATTTAAGTTAAAATGTCCTCACGCTGATATAGAACAAAATTCATTAGTATTCTTAAGTAAGCTGTGCTACCTGCTTGCAATAGCGAAACTGGAGTTATGACAGTGTATTCATGCCTTATTCTATTTTGTGTCCACCATATGGATGAGCCACTACATCAAACTCTCTAGTAGAGAAGGCAGTATCTGTTAAGTTATTGACTTTTCTAAAGGATGGTATGTGATTCCAGATAGTCCTCTACTTACATAAGAGTTCAATTCTTGAAATCATTCCATAAATCAAATTTGATTCAAGTTGGATTTCTCTCATAAACCACATGAACTTAAAGAATATTTTATTCTTCTTTGATGTTAGTAGGTTCCTATCATATTATGTTCACTTCGTAGCTCACATGAACATATTTTGTAATATAATGGATAGTTTGCATTCTGCAATGAAATAAAATATTTGAGGATTAAATAGACTCATCACAAATAAAACTAAAATCTATTGGATGAAATAGTAGAAGTTATTCAAGGAAGTTATTCCCTCTTTGGTATAAATTAGTATCCTGTATGAGCTGTATCTGTAAAAAATTAAGCAAATTGAAAACCTTTAATCAATTTCCATTAGATGAAATGTCAAATTAGTGTAACCCTTGTAGTGTTGTATGACTTCTCCTTCCTGGTAATGTTAATTGGGTTCCAGCGCTAATGGAATTCTGTTGACCAATACGGAGTTGGTTCCATATTTCTTATATATCTTGCTACATCCCTGTTACCACATGAAGACATGAATGACATAAACACTCCAGGAGAATGAAAAAATGCACATGGAATAGTTCTGTTAGTTTGGTGTTGTCAGTTTCCTAGCCTTTTCCTGGGAACAGATGTGTATTCCTCAATTTCTTTTGAACTCATTACATAAACTGACAGAGCCTTGATTTCAACTGTTTTCCCCATTAGACCCAGTTCTGTTTGAAAAAGGCAATTGGGACTATGCAGGTCTAATAATATTTGTAGAGGGAGTGATTCTCAAAAGTGTGCATCAGTAATTGGTTCTTCAGACAGCTAATTTAATTTCCTTTACTAAATGTCCAGGCAGCCAGACTAAGGACCCAGTGATAAAAATGATCCAAAAAAGAATCTAAATAATTAAGTACTTCTTAAGGAGTACACTAAACCAAAGAAATTAAATGCTCAGAAACCATAACACACAAAGGCTCCATGGACCAGGACTACAAAACAATGCGATAAGAAGTGAGAGCTGACTTATTCAAATTTTAGGTTGCTTGTTTTCATCTAAAGGTTTTGCATGTATCCACACTTAGCATGTTCCCCTGAACCAATTAACCTACAGTATATATTACAGCATAATTTGGGGAGCCTGGCTACCTCAGAGCTGGGAGGCAGATACAGTCTCCAACCACTTTAATTCTTCTCCCAGCTCTCTTACAACTGTGCTGAATTGAGTATTAAGGGTTAGTTGTCACTTTGCTTATGTTGTTCGTAGTCTTGGCATCCTCTTTAGCAAAGTATAGAAGCCCATCATTTCAAAGCTTAGGGTAAATACTGCATGACAAGCATCAGTTGTGGTAGCTAACCTAAGACAAAAATCTAAAACGTGGTTTGGGCTATAGGCTAATTTCATGCATTTACACATTAATTATAGTATATAGGAAGACCTGTTATAACCCATTTGAGTTTTGAGAAAGGATCAGAGTACAAATTTTCTGGTGCTTTTGCCTTATATAGGTACTGTTGTACCACATTATTGCACAATGTATTGTAATATGTTTATCACATTAAGGAGGACAAAAATATTTCATTTTTTAATTACACAGATATTAACCTGAGCTCATTAGAATTATTATAGATGTCTCTACTGGATGCTTTAGGATGTATGTAGTGTATAAAGTGCTTAGAAAATAGCTTTTAATTTTGTAAATACTTTGCTTACTGTGCTACAGGACTATGGAGTGGAACTGCACTACACTCAGCAGAACTGGCTTCTGGTAACAAATTGCAGCTGTTTTGTTTTGTTTTCCTTATATAAACGTTACTCTTGTGTAAATAATTGCTTTTAATGCATCTGTAAATAGTTAGGAAAAATTTCCCACTGCTTTACTACTGTTTGTGTAAACAGTTACCATAGCAATATAAAGAATTACAGTAGACTAGGGAAGAGAAGGCAGTTAAGTTATAGTAGCTGGAAACGGAACACAAACTGCTCTGTGACACATGTTTGGATTAAGCTGGGAAGACGAGCGTATTTTTTAATTTAATTTATGGTTCATCTGAGATCAGACATGGATTTCTTTATGACAAAACATTGGTCTGACTGTGTCGTACAGGGCAGACATTGAAACAGTTGTCCACATCAGGGTTCTCATGGGATGTAGGAAACCGGTTTTGCATTTCAGCTGCTTTTCTTAAATTAAATCTCTGCTGTATTGCGAATGTGGTGTTGCTATAAATTGATGTTCTCTAATTCTAGTCCTCCAGTAACACTAAGGACTGGACAAAATTAATGCATAGATCCACCTGAAATTCCCAAATCACAAAGTATCACTTCATTTTTTTCTTTATCAGACGTTTCTTTCCTCTGTACGAAAGAAAATATAGTATCAAGTTTAACATTATAACTCTATAATCTCTCTTCTGCATTAAGAAGCTTTTTTATATTGTTTTATCCACAACAATGCTAAAGGCATCTTGCAAATTCAAACTCTTGAAGGTTAGTAGGTATCTAGTCTTGGAGGACTAGTGTTTCTAGAGGTTTTCTTGTTCTCTTTAAAGCTCCAGCTCTGAAAAACTGGGGAAATTCTCAAACTGGCTCATTAGGCCAGTACAAAGATGATTAAAGTCAGCGTAATGAAGAGCTGGGTTTGAATGGAAATCTGTACACATACTCCAGGAATAGGAATGGACATGCCTTCTTTAGATTATTGAGTGTTTAAAAATTGAAAAGGGTTATATTTTGTATTTCCAAGTAAGGAATTTTGAGATTAGAGTAACAGATATTAGAATACCCTTAAACCTAATGATTTTGAAACCTAGGGCCAACATAAGAAAATAATTTGCTGACTTAGGATATTTCTCATAACCGTTCCAAGTGAAATTCTCTTGAACCTTTGTACTTAGTGTTATAAGGCTGCAAAGAATGATTTGCAGCCTTTTGCACCTTTTATTACTTACTGGAACACACCTTCTGCAGTAATCTCTTCCATGTTGCCTGCAGCAAAATAACTCGAGCCAAGTCTGTAAAAGAACCTGTTTGATAATAAGCAGTGTTATTTCCAAACAAGAAGATACAAAACTTAACACCAGACCTTTGGGTAAGTCAGGGCTGATTGTTTTGTGAAACCAGGCATAACAATAAAAAAAATCCAATTTTATAAATTCTCCAACTTGCATCACAACCTCACAGAAATTTTGTTGGCTTCCTCTTTAAATGGTAATTACGTTTAACTGTTTAACAAACTGTAATAAGCTTGAACGTAAACACTGGTCGGTGAAGATAAAGATTGTTCTGTTTAGAGCAAAAATAAATTGGTGAAAAAGTTAAAGCCCTCAATATAATTATGAAAAACCTGTTGTGTCTCAACAGTGGTGAATAGCACACACCATTTGGCTTTCACTGACAACCAGCCAGTCAACATTCTCCAACCTCTTTTCACAAAAACATAAAAAAGCTTCTTCTGTTTTTACAGTGGCAGGAGATTCATCTGCATTACCTTTCAGACTGACCTACTCAGACAGGTGCACGGTTGGCTGGACAGGGCAACTGATCAACTTCACTTACAAACTGAAGTTGGCAGTAGTGATTTTATATAACAGGAATCCACCCTTGTCCTAGTGTATGAAGATCCATTGTTGTTTTCACATGGTATGATGTGCTCCAGGTGGCTGAGTGTATACCGTATATCTTTTCATCCTATAAAGATATGCAGAAGTAGCTTTACCAACAGAAATGTGAATTGTAGACAAATGTTGTTTTTCGTGAAAGTTCAGGGGGGATTACATCAGACAAGTTCTTCTTGGCTTCTGGGGCTCTAACCTGTAATCCTCCATAATGTTATTTCCCAAAAAAGAACCACAATAAAGCCCTGTCACCGATTGCATTCATCATTCTGCTTTCAGACCATCTCCATCTCCTCACTCTGCACAAGTAGATTATCCCATTGGATGTTGTTATTCCTAGTGAATGGATTGTTTAATGTTACATTATTCACCAGCATTGCATAGCTAATCAGTGTCATACTGGATATCATTATTATTCCTGATTGGGTTGTTTAAAATTATAATTGATCTCTAGTTGGTAGAAGTCCTAAGTGTCTTCTATTTTATATAATATCCAAAAATGATTGGTTAAAAAATGAAGACACTAAAAGCTGAGGAAATGTGAACATTTTTTGGCTTTCGAGACCAAAAGCTTATTGCATTTAACATTTTAACTAATGGTGGTAGTACTGTACAAATTAATTTATATTAAAAATAGGGTGGAGATTAACATCTGTTTTTTGTCCCTGCTATGGATTTAGGAAAAGTTTGTTTTCAATTTACTGTAGTGTATTTTTAGGGTTAAATATAAAACTATCAACTTCTGTCTAGCAGAGCTGTTTCGAGAAGAAATCTCTCTGAGCACAAACAATGGAGTGCAAGTGTTTTATGAAGTGTGACATATTCCTTGCAGGTCACAGGCGATTTAGGTTGGTCTAAATGCTGCAGCTAATCTGTTGTTTCTTCTATATGAAGAAATTCAAAGGATTTTAACTTGTTCTTCTGCTAGGAAATAATGGCTTTCTGAACGTTTCTTTAAATTAAACTTAATTCTATGAGGTCGTAATTTAGAAAAGAACATGAACTAAAATATACTTAAATATAACAAAATACTGTGTGCTTTATATTTGTAATGTTAAAAGTCCTTTTTTTATCAAGTGGCTGAACCTACAAAAACAGAAACTCATCTCACATTGTGTTTCTTAAAACAAAGGCAGTGAACTGATGATGGTGTATAAAAGTAATGTCTGGTAATACTGGACAAATTCTGGATGGAAGGGTTCCGAGATGGTTTTGCTTTTACCTTGATCATGTACGCTAGTACTTTTAAAATTGTTGTTATTTGCAAAGTTTCATTAAATAATAATTGCCTGCTTTGTACAAGTGTCACGAAGTGCAAGTGTCAGGAAAACAAGTAGCTGTGTTCAAACATGTTCATGACAGTAACATTATTCTCAGTACCTGTAAATTTGGCATTTTCTCCTGCATTATGTGTATATAAATTTGTTTTTTTAACGTTTTAGCACTTTAACTATGTTTAGCTTTGTTTTAAAGTGTATAGATGTACATTTCAGTTTTAGAATGTGAAAATTTAAATAAAGGTTTTTTTTAATTAAATACACTGATTTTTTGTGGACATTATTTATCTTGGATAAAAAGATCCATTATTGGATATTCACATTAAATGCTTGCTGATCCATCTTCTATTCATGTATGAATGTACTCAGTGTCTACCTGTTGTATTATAGTTTTATTCTGGGGGGGGGGGGAAGGATTAGAATAAAGATTCCCAAGCAGATCCAACTGTAAAGCTTGTATTTAGAGTAGGCATCAGTGGTTTGAATCTGTCATCAGATCGGCAGCATTCCCTAATCCACAAAGAACAACTGGTGAACCAGTGAGGTATGTAATAGTGATCCTATGAGCTGTGCTTTCTACGTTAAAAAGACCATATTGTTGTCATTACACCCTCTGAAGCTAATCCTTGAAAGGAGTGTCAGGTGGGTGATTTCAATCAACCAAAATTCTGCATTGAACTGATCATTAACTGCTTAATTAAACCTCATACTGCAGATCACCATGATATTTAAAGATTAGCCGAAAGAAAATTCCATGGCTGTGGAATACAGTTACCAAGCTTTAACGCCAGTTGAACTTGACAGTTCAATGGAAAGCATTATACTTGAAAACTGTCTTAGGGCTATCACAAAGTTTTGATCTGTAGTAGACTTTTATTCCAGCTTAAGCTGTCATTTGAATGATCTGCTTACTTGCTGGAGATATATTTAATACTTGGTAAAGCTGTTTCTAAGTTGATTGAAAACAGTGGTTCTTAAATTCCACTCATTTGTAAAATCTTGAATGCCTTGTTTATAACTTCAAAACAACATTGTGTATTATAAATGTCATTTTTGCTGTCTAAAGCATGGTTTAAGCATTTGCTGTTTAAAAAAACTCTGTCAAAGAGATATTCTTCATTGTAATTATTGACTATTGTGGCAAATTAAAATATATTTCCCAGAGTGCATTTAAGCTCTCCTGAATGAGATGTAACAACCTAACAATAAACCTAGAGAATCCAACAACTGCGTGATGAGAAGGCAGGTTGGTGGTGTTGTGAGAGTTTTCAGTTTGTGTTTATGGCCTTGAATGTATGACCTTGGACTGTTTGGAGAACACTTGGCTGCCCAATCTGGCCTGCTACAAAAACATTGAACTTTGGAAATAAAATGGAAATGGTTCAGCTACAAACACAAGGTCTAGGCAGACGTCAGCCCTTGATCGCTTCTTTGAGCCACCTGCAGGAAACCACCATGTGATTATGTACACACTGCAGCACACCGGTCTGTAGTTAGTGATATCCAACTTCAAAGGACATTTTCAAGTAAGTGCATGGGAGTCATGATTTATTATTATGTGCTTACAAATGCTTAAATGTCTTACAGAGTAATCCCTCGATAAGTCTTGTTAGAGATTGTCACAATCAGCTAACACCCTATGAACTGAAAATCATAGAGGAACTCTGTGGATCACTGGAACCATTTGAGAAAATCACAGACTGAGAAGGTCGTCACAGCAATAGGAGACCGCCCATATTTGGTGTGTTAGATATCCTTAATGAGAAATGCCTTGGCAGGTCAAAGCATGAAGATTCCTGATTGCTGGAACCCTTGATTCAGATATAGGTGATGAGAGAAACACCATTAAAGTATTAACAGACCAGACCTCAATCTGAAGACTCTCGCCATGCCAAAGGATTCCTCAGCTCCGCCAAAGAAGCTAACGGGTCTTTTTTGCATAGACAGTATGTATAGTCAGTCAATAGCCCTACCCATTATTCCTGCTTCAGACAAACAACATACATCATCTTATCTTGGTAATCAGAAGATACTGTTTCATTGGCTTACTGAAAAAAAAAACACAACCAGCTTCGCTTACTTGGGGCAACTTGAGTGCAAATATCCAGAGCACATTTTCAGTATGGCAGGAAAAATATTCAGGGCTGGAAGACATAATTTAAAAGACAAAACATTTGAGGACCTTACAATGATAAGATGCAACAATAGTGAATAAGAAATGTTGGATTAAAGGAAAAAAATAGCTCAGTGTCAATAACAACTCGGAGATGTTTGATTTGGACGTTTTTAAAGCAAGGTATAACTGCGTTTTTGTGAGTGATTTAACTGAGTTGCTTATGGCCACTCAATAGTACATGAGTTGACAGACACACTGTGTTAAAATAAATGTTTGGCACTCATTTTTTAAGACTAAGTGAAATTTCTTTGTATGACATTTCAGATAACAAGTTACATATTCTGTGTTCTGAAGGCTTTTTTTCCAATTCAATTTCCAATTTTTCTATTTTTCTCAATGTCTGAGTTGACCACAATTCTGCTCTAAGCTCATAATGAGTTAGGCTTACTGAACCATTAATTTTTGTTTTATTCCTGAAACATACTCATGATTTCCTTAGTACACTTTATTATTATATAATAATGATGTGTTGAAATTGGGATGGGAATGATACTTTAACAAAAAGTATTCGACATGCAGAATAGTCTCATAGTTTAAAATCAACCAGGTCATTGAAAAGATAAATTTAAGTGGAAAGCTGAATCCCAGCATCTGGCACAGGTTTTATGCTATTGTCTGACCTTGTTTTGAAACAGGTTTAAAATTCCAAGCAAACAGTAAGAACTTCATCAACCAAAATAATAAAGATCAGTTGTAATGTAAATTGGAGGACACAGGGCTACTCCAGGACCAGAATTGGGAACTACTACTTTAGTAGTTCTAGCATGCTTTGCTTCTGAGATCTTTTAAGAAGACATTACAACTACTGTCCTTAAATCCATTAAGATTCGTACAAAGTACAGTTAGGTTCAAAGAAAAACTAGACTCCTTGAGGAAACGGAGAGATTCCGTATAGGTTTTACATAACCAGTGAATACTGAAAGAAGGAAAGTCAAAGGCACATTTGTAACAGTTCCCTGTTTTATTGAAATACATCAGGTTAATATCTTCAATAATGAGTTATTGACATAAAAGAGCAGTGGATGGTCCAATACATTTTTTGACCTTCCACTTTTAAATACTTCTGTGCAAAAAGAATCTACATCACCTATAGTGGGATATCCCCTTTAATCTCCCCCAATTTTTAGAATGAGCCAAAATAAAAAAAGTGAAAAGCCAAACCTTTTTTTCGCCATCCTTTGTAATCCTAAAAAAAGTGATTACACCTACAACATGCAAAACTGTACATTATACTTACAGAAAATCCTACAAAAATAATTAAAATGATATGAAAAAGTAAATAACACAAAAGGCAATTAAACCTCATTGAAATGCAAACTATTTTTAAAGTTTAATTGTACCCCCCAGCTCCCATGCAGTTGTAATACTTTCACTTGGAAGATCAGTCTGCAATATTCTCATTTCTGGCAATTCTTCAATTATTTTACAATCTTCAGAGAACAACGGATGACCCTATGGGTAAGGAATATGCCACAACTAACAACGATTTTCTTGTTGATGTGTAGTTTGTTTTGTCTAATGCTTAAATAATCATTGGTTCAGAAATTCCTGAGTTTCAAATTTATGGGTTTCTTTACTGAAAGCATAAATATCCTGAAACCCATCCAACACACACATCACCTACCGAATAAAGTCTGCTTCCATTGCAGATACATTCTATTCCTCTGGGAAGAAAACTGAATACAAATAGGAATTGGTTAAAATTGATAAAAATGGAAATCCATGCAGTCATTTTATTCTTGATGAAAAGGAAATAAGGGATTTGCCTAATTTCATTTTCATTAGTTTTTTTCTAGAATGGATATATTACTGAATGTGTTCCCCTTTACCGAACTAGTGAATTCACCAGACTTGCAGGTTGCTCACTCTTGAGTTTGTGACACACTTGGGGTTACTTCTGAATCATGATGCCAGGGCTGTTATTCAATGAGAACTAGGCACCAATACACTTTACAAATAAAAAATAGAAGCTACATTTTGCAAACGTGCCAAAGAAACTTTTTTTTTCCGATGTGTAATAAATGCTGGAAAATCAGTGTCACCTGCCACATTTTGATATTTGTAAGATTTTAATTTTTCAAGCCCCTTTTGTATGTGGTTAACCTTAAAAAACAGTTTTTAAATATTCAGTCAAAGGAAGACCTCTGTGTTACCTGCACTATGTTTCTTTTCTTTAAATTGCAACTGGCTACCTTTATCATATAGTCTGTACAAAAACAAACAGAGCTTTAGGAATATTTATTTTTACCTGTAAGTGCATTTTAACATATATTTGTCAAAGGTAGAATGTAATGACTTGTAAAAGCTTTTACTTCAACCATCATGTTGATTTTTCTCCTGTTTTTATGTGCACAATAATGAAACTTCCACGCCAACTTATTTAAGAATTCCAGCTTCAATTCTTATCCCACCATCAGAGCTCTGTAAGGTCTTGAAGGCAAATCTGATCTCACTGTCAATACAGACATTACAGTTAACTAGAATAATCATCTGTGTGGACAATGTACAGTATGTGTTGGTATGGAAATATTAAGTAAGAATAATACATTTCTAATATATTAAGCAGAAACCACTGAAAAGTCTAAATCACAATAAAATGAAAATATAAAAAACAAAGTGCATCATAATGTGATTTATGGATATTTTTTTTCAAATTGATAACCTGAAAAGTAGCCAGATGCAAATTTAAAACATTATAAGTAAAAAAAACTAAATTTCTGGAGTGATCCTGTGTGTTGTTATTTGAAAATTTTTGCAGGTGTCAAATGTCAGAAAACAACTTCCCTTTCACAGGCTTCTACATCAGCACATTCCAGACATGGATTTTTTTTTGTTAGTTTTTCTTAACTTCATAAACCAGATAAACTCCAGCTCTATGTTACATCACATCCTTGAATGCTGAAGGGGCTTGTCTGCAAGGCACTGAAAGGGGAAAGGTCATTGCTCATCAAACCAACACCTTTCTGTGACATTGCTTGACAGAAAACTCTGGAGTGCTTAAAATTTTCAACAAACTGTCAGTTCATTGCTAAGATTTTATTCTGAATGGTTCTGGTTTATTTGACTCAGGTGTATAAATGCCTGAAAGGCATCAGGTGGAATCTTTAGAGGTGTCATTTCAAAACAGAAACATATGAGAAAAACGTTCACATTATCCACACAACTGTAGCCAGTTAATGATTCAAAAATTTTTGACATTTTCATTCAGACCTTCGTTAACAATAGAATTATATAATCCTGTATAATAATACATTCCGTCAACATCCCTAACTTTCAAAACACCTGTCATGAATGGAACCAGAATTTAAAGAATTTAGGTTTTCATATTTTTAAAGTGTTTTATTGAAATGATATCCCATCTTCAGTCACCTACTGCAATACAAAAGTTCTGCAACATGCAACAGAAATGCTTATGACTCTACAACACTGTGAGCCACCTCACTCCTCCCCATCCCTCCCAAACACAACCCTGCTTCTTTATTCCTCCCAACCACTGGTAAGAATTATCATTTAAATACAACTGAACATTTCACTCGGTGGTTATAGAGTACATTTTCTATACTTTTATCTGCTGCAATCACCAAAATACTAAAACAGGAAAATAAAAAGTCTACCGGCTAACACCGTGAAGTCCAATACACAGTACCATAAGGTTCTGTGACTAGTAAAACTATAAACAACTTTATATATACTTTTTATATATATATTTATATATAGAGAATTCTATAATCACAAGAGAAAACTTGTTTTTCTTTAGTAAAATAGCTCTTGGTGATCTGCTAAAGCACACATTCAGCTTATTAAAAAATAAAATAAAATGACTGGGTGCACTGAATTCCAAGGCTGTTGTTTAAAAAAAAAACTCTTTGGAAAGTGGAGCATTATTGCTGCAGCTGTGAAAACCTGGACCACAGTAAGCAATGGAAGTGAAAGTTCTTTTTGTCAAAGGCGTGGCACAGCTAAGAACGTGGGTTGGAAGGGAAATGGTGAATATTCACTTCAATTCCATTTCAAAGCTGTCATTTCAAAGAGGGAATTGAGGCAGCGGTACCACATGGTATTGGACAACTGCAGTAACCACTCTGAAAAATGTACAGCTTTAGAAAATGTCACTCAACCCCTTTCTTCAAGAAGTGCATAGGCACAGCTCAGAGTATTAACCCACCCCTCCTTCTGAAATCAGAATCCATCTTATTGTAGAATCTAGCTCAATTAAATGAGAGTAACAACTGGAGGAAAGCAGTGCATGAATATGCCCAAAGGAATAATAATTAACAAAAAACTCTTCTTGATGCACTCCTTTCACTCTACAACTGCAACCTTTTTATCATATATATATTATATTCTACTTAGGTTTTATTTACATTAGATTGGAGACCTCATAATTTATTCATTTTTGACTGTTGACCTCTGTAATTTCAGCTACCCTGCTTCATTATGGATGGAACCAGTGCTTGCGTTATGGGACGTTGTGGCGTACATTTTGACAGAAAACCAAAGTGCCAAAATAACTGGAGTCACCTCAAAGAACTTCACTGTGGAATGAAAAAAAAAACAACCTCTGGCACAGTCATCGTCTGAATACATACACTATACGTTTCTCGATAAATTCTTTGAAAGCTTGAGCGACTATAATTTTTATTGGGGGGTAAAGTGCTGCTTGCTTTTAAATCACTGCACTCATCAGCACTTGCAACAGAAAAGAGGACAACGAAGGGAAGGATGGAAAGTGTTTCCATAAATCCCCTGACATCATAAACAGCTAAAACTGAAAGACATCTCTCTCTTCCACCAGAAATGTACAAGATATTAACCACAAACCACAACAAAGCAGCAAAAAACAAACAAAATTAGAGCCTCCCCCCCCCCACTGCTTACCATATCTCCAAGAAAAAACTGCAAAATGAAGGGTTCAGTTTCTTAAGCTTAACAGAACAGATTCTACTATAAATACCAGAAGTCCTATCTATAAATCTTATACACGTGTTTATATACATATGCAATTGTTAAACACTCATTTTAAACAACTAATCCCAGTCAAATACAGATGATGGAGAACAAGCTGTATTGGCAACAACAGTTATGGAGTTCAGTAGTTATTCAGAGTTCGTGCGTGGAAAGATGTTCAGATGCCACACACCTCACCCCACTTTCACCAGGGGTTTTTTCTTTCCTCTTTCCTTTCTTTCCTTTTAGGGCATATTTGATTACTGTGGTTTGCACCGCTGGACACTGCCAGTAGCTGCAGACAGGGAGCGTGGTGCTGGGTGGAGCAGGTGGTTGTGGAGACTCTGGGAGGCGGAGGGGGGGTTGGGTGAACTCGAGTGTCTCGTCTCTCCGGAAGGCTTGGCAAAGGCTCATGTCTCCCACCCCATGCGGTCCGTGCTCTCCAGGGAAAGGGACTTGGTTTTGTGAGGCGAGGCCGGGCTGGGAGGGCTGCTCAGGTTGGAGCTATTGGAGGCCGTGGAGTGTCGGGGGGAATCTGAATCCTGCAGCGAGAAAGAAAGACAGCGGGTTACACACACACAATCTTTTTTTGTCTTTTCACGAACACTAAATCACGCAACAAGCATTGCTTCTGGAAAGCACGTCACCTAGCTAAATGCTGCATGGCAAAGTTACAAGCTGTTTTTTTTCCAGATAAATGTGACTTTTGTTCTGCGCTTTCCATTAACTTTTTCTTCTCTCCTTTAAGAATTCAGCTGAAGCTTAAGACACTCAAATTACAACTGATGAACCTGTTAATCATAAAAATTAATTTAACAGAATAGTACACCATGATTGTCTCGTTAAAACCTGACAGTTCCAGATCTTTTCATTTAGCTGAGGACACACCAACCTCATAAATGTGAGCGCAACACCTTAACTGACTAAAAGTCTTTAATGTGTATACAATTTTGCATAGCAACTGTGTTAAACGTGAAGATTTTTTCATTATTATCAGATTAGCCTTAATAAAAGCGAGGAACTCCTTTCCTCATTTTGCTTGTGGACAAAGAAGTCAAAAGCCCAGGTCACACTTGAAACTATAGTGGTCACAATTTAAAAATTGGATCCAGTTCCAATTAATGTATACATCACACAGTTATTTAATGAGCTTATTAATAATTTAATGGAATGATAAGTGTCGTACTATATACATCACACTTGCACACTCAGGACTTTCTGTTTTACATTACAGTATATACAGTACCTTGCTGACATTCAATACTATTTACATCTTATAAGGAACACTTCCAGAAGAAAACCAAATCTACTGTAAGAGTGAGATCTGTAATGGGCTGTATTGTTTGGAGACCTATATTTGGGGAGAAAAGTTTTTTAATAACACTAGGTCTCATGACTGATGGAAATGATGGTTATTAGATTTATTGTAAGGGATAGTGGACAGAGATGGAGTAAGAAAAAACAACCTTGCATCAGAGTCAAGCATCACACTTTCTGTATCCATAAATAAGGTAAGAATATGAATCTGTTTAAAAGTATGAGCTCCACTTGATAATATTGTTACTTAGCCCTATTCAGGGCAGGACACCAATCCAAACAGGGCACATACACACACATACTGGGGATGACTTATAGATGCTAATTAACCAAGACACTTAACCTTAACTTTGAGAAATGGGAGCAAACCAAAGTATTTGGCAAAAACAGACATGACCAGAGAGAGAACATGCAGCTTCTACATAGAAGGTACCACAGGCTGGAATCTAACAAGTCCCATGAGCTGACACTGCTGACTATCACACTGTCCTGTAGCTTTTAGAAAACACTAAAATAATTAGGTATCAGTAACAGAAATTTCAGGTTTCATACATTATTCAATTTTAAACATACTGTATCACAGCAGTGCAGACAAAACTATTACACATATTTGTCATCATTAACTAGAATGGCATCACAATCTGTTAAATGTCGTGCGCCACAAGCCATTTTACAACAGCAAACAATATGAAATAATCTCAATAGCACGTGTAGTTGAAAGGAAACAGCTTGTAGCATCATACTCTTTTATCTTACTGTTTATACTACGATTTTTTTAATACAAAATCAGACCACTATCTCCTGCATGCCATGTGAAGGATCGCTTTCTCAGACATTCCTTGTCTATGTGTGTTTAGCCATTTTGACGAAAGAACCCATTCCTGTGATTGCAATTTAAGCCTACAATTTGCCGCAGTACAATTTCAGTTCAGTATTTAAAGGTCAAATTGCTAGTATTTTACAATTTCATATAATTATATTTCCATAAACTAATTAAAATTGTAAATTATAAAGCCTGTGTTGAATTATATCATGATCCAGAAGTCACTGGTTGCTGATGTTAGCAGTGCAAACACAACCAACACAGACCAGAGCTTCCCAATCCTACATAACAATGTTTTATTTTGGGGTTCTTGATTTTTCTCCATGACATGAAATGAGGTAGTTTGAATGTCTCCCTCATAGTAAAGGCTTTTTTATATGCTGTTTTTACAGTGACTGAGGTTTCTGTATGAAAGACTGCAGTACACATGTACCCTTGATCACTATATTTGGTGGACAGTTATATCATTGTCTAGCAGCTACAATGCAGAATGAATATTTCATCATTCTGTGTGTTCTTGACAGCCTGCAGATGACAATGTCAGTGGGGTTTTGTACTGGGTACACATTCACAGATAGTGAAGCAATAGATGTGATACACCAATGACATAAACACCACAGAAAAGGCACAATTGCAGAAGTTGGATCCACAGTTCATGGGATCCTGTAAAATGCCACTATGTAGAAAAAGATAAGAATAAATAAGATCGATATTGATGGTCACTTGTATTTGATAATTATATAGATTATAAATTATAATCTATGAATTATTTTCACAACACTCAAAGCAGTACATATAATACTATACCAGACAATACAAAAACAAACAGTGGAAATTTGCACAGCAAATTGACTTAGTGGAACCAAGAGTAAAAGTAAAGTATACATTAAAAGATTTAGTGAAAAGTGTGCTGAAGGGGAATACTGAATGTGTTGTCACTCATAGAATCTCAAATGGATTTGGGCAGTGAATTCCACTGATGTGATGCTGCACACAAGAAGACTACTGCTGAATCAGCACATCTCAGACTACATAATATATACTTAAGATATATATTATTTATATACAATAGCCCATAACATGCTTCATATTGATGGAATGAATGCTGAAAGAGATTAAATCTCTGTACCAGGCTTAGAGTGATCTTTGACGGTCCCTTGAGGTGTACAAATATATCTTCAGTTGCCTTTAAGCAAAAACATATAAGCTAGTGGCAGCAGAACATGAAGCAAATCACTTCTTAAAATCTACTGCTGCCTGTCTTCCTGTCTTATGAAAACAGAAGCAGAGTAGGGGCCTCATTAACAAAAATCCATCAAATTATATACTGGACTGAGATGGAAGTTGTCTACCTGAGTGTGGTATCCTTGGCTCTGGAAAAACCATTTGGTGATATAGTACACCTTTGCTTTTAACAGGATTTTCCAAGCATGTCTCTGGATTTGGGCATGAGTTACATTCCTGGCTACACACACCTGTCAGAATACACTGCAGTTGCAGAATTGTTCAGTTCAATAAGGATTACACATACATATAAACAGTCTGGAAATTTTGCTTTAATAATTTGTGTGTGCATTTTAAGGGTCAAGTGATAAAACAACAGCAAAATGCAATGGTTTTAATTCAACCAATAATATATTAATCTTCAAATGTTATTCTTATTTTACATAGGTGTACTAATCATGACGTTTATGAGATGGAGTTCCAAATCAGGATGAATAATCAACTTTCAATTGACTAATCAATATTTAAGTCTTTAATACTGCACTTAATGCCATGTCTTTGTCAGCGTTTCTTATAAAAGACAGACACAAAGAGGCTGTTCTCTGTTTGATACCGATATATTGCACATTTACACTTAATGAATGGCATTTATGTATTCAAAAAGAGACCAAAGAAGCTGTTTTTTGGTGTTAAAAGTATCAAATAAGAATAAGAATAAAACATATTTTGTAAGATGTGCATTTCTAATAATTCAGAATATTTGTTCTATTGATCCTTTTCTGAAACTAACGAGCTTGCTGTATGAATCATGCTTCTTGGATTGAATCTGACTGTTGAGAGATAGAGAGAAACAGGACAATAACTAAAACAATGAGGAAGTGCTGTATTTCACTCAACTGAGGCATACTGCTCCTTAAATGGGTCACCTCCTTTTTAAGGTCACCTTCCAATTCCACTAATGGATCCCTTTGACCTGTCACTTTGACAGCCTGAAGCACTGAAAAAACCTGTCCTCGTGTGAACACAATTTCTACACAAGCTTGTTGAATTCCCCTCATTTTTCCCTACACTGCACTTTATATACTCACTTTTTCTACTTTGTCTTCTCTCACACATTCTGTTGAATAAGCACAACAAAAGTACTTCCTGATTTTTTTCATCACTCATTCTAGAGGAAATAGAAATGAGCAGGCACACACGCTGATCGACGTGTTTTGCGATACATCTGCTCTTTTTGAGCTACTGTGACCACTCTGTAAATGATTTATCATTATCGCTGTAATTCCAAGTGTGCCTGGGGCTTTAGCTTTAGAAAAACCCAGCTTGAGTGGAACATGAAACAAACCACAAAATAAAATCAATTTTACCATTAACACTTCTTTCAGTTGTAACTGAGATTAACATGTCTTCAACAGATGCAAGCCAAATCTTTAAAAGAGAGTATAAGAAACTCTGGAGGAAAACATGGAAAATCAGAAAGCCTACTGGTAACATCCTAGAGTGAAAAAGGTTGCAGAAAGCTGTTGAAGTAATCACATTGAGGCTCACATGCAAAGCATGACACGAGCCATTGCCATGACTAATCTGGTCTGCCCACCCACCTTCTGGCCTTGCAACATCTTTGAAACAAAAGCTTGGTCATTCTGGATGCAGCTCATGCTGGCAAATTTTGTCATTGCAGTTTTATTATCTGAACAAACTGTGCAAGGAGGAATGACCATGGACTTACTGACCCAGTGAAGCACTGACTTTTTGTTTTGCCTCTCATGCCTCAATAGGCAGGGTAGTTTATAGGGGAAGGGGTGAGTGTGTGTTGGCGTTTACCTTAATTTTACTAAGCAGGGTCCTTAAAGCCCTTTTCAGATCAGGAGTCTTCTCTGATGGTGATACAGCCTGCCACTGGAGAGGAAAATTACACTCAGCTCCCACGATCGAGAACGGCATCCATATCTCAAAGTTTGGGAGGGGGGACAAAATGTGTGAGAGCAGACTGCCTTCTCCCTTAGCTCAGCTGTCTATCACATTGCTGGCACTCTTTTAGCAAAAAAAAAAGCTTTTTCTTTTCACGATGAGGTTGTAAATTCATACAAGTTGAGAACTTAAAGTGATGTCAGTTTACATTCCTCTACCAGGATCCTGCAGAACTGTCAACAGCAGCTCCTAGAGAAAGATGCAGCTCCCGGCACATTAAAGACTGAGCAAACCGGTTTCCCTGACAGCTCTGAGTGACTTCAGACAGCAGCCTTAATGATGCACCCTTGCAGGAGGATAACAGCTTCTCATGTGAAACACTGGTCAATATTGGGACGATAAAAATATTGAGATTTATTGAGAAATTATGCTGTAAAAATTATCTGACAACTTGCTCTTTTTTCACAATGCCTGGTATATATAGTTTCATATACTGTAGATACTGTATAACATGAAATTTATTTTTTTCCCCTGACTTCCAAATTGAATGTTTTTTTCAGGTTCACTTTGTCACCTTGAGCTTTGCAATCAACGATGCTTAAAGGTGGGAAAGGGAAAGGTATTATCAGCTGCCTGGCAAACCCCATCAGTGCTAGTACTGAGACCAAGGAGGAAGCTTTAACTCACCCAACACTGAATCTGGCTGATTGGGTTGAAACAATCCACTCCAGTCCCCACCCCTTCCACCCTTCCCCACTGCCATAGTACACTAGAGTTTGTGTTTGGAATTGAAGCTCAAGAAGACCTAAGCACCTCCTATTTGATATTTCAGCCTTTTGATACTGCTGTTTGTTTTTTACCTGCTGCAATTACATTAATTTAAATTAGTTTTGTTAGCTACGGATTCCAAATATTGTGATATTTGTAACTAATATTAGTAGGTTATTGATCTAGGGCCAAGTATACAACCACCCCAAAGGAAAGTGGCATGCCTGAGATAATATTTACCCTTGCTACCAAGATTGTCATTTACTCATATGCGTCTCTTATAGTATATTGTTATTTACTCAAGTGACTGATTCTTGGAGTTTATCCAAGGGTGCAAGGAAACTAAAAATACAATTTTTTCATAGCATTACAAGTTGTAATATCTCAGTTATTCAGTACTGCTTTGGACAACTTGCACTTTCAAGCTGTTGATATTAGACTGGATAGTCAGAGGATTATTTTTCAAGCATCTTCGAATCTAACATCGTGCTTGGGAAAGTTACATGTGTGAATTCACACCAAGGAAGCATCTGAAGGCAAATCACGTTTATGATTAAAGGTTTCTTAAAAAACAGCAGGATGCAAAAGCAAATGTGTGATCTAGGAGGCTTTCGTCTTCTATCATTGTAATACAATGAAAAGAAAGTTTTTTTGTGGTAGTGTGGGATCATAGATTAATCCGGGGTGAGACCTAAAGGAGACTTCCCAGAGATTTAAAGAAAGTGTTTTATTTTGCCTTGAACAAAAACTAAAAGATTAGATTCAAGACTTAGTTTGTCCAAAGGAGTACAATCATATTTGACAGACATTAAGTCAGAAGAAAGGGACTGTTACTACTACAGAGATAACTTTAGAGCTAGAACTCGGTAGCTTGCTCTACCGAGAATGAGCTAGAAACGTAGCATTTTGCCTGTTAGTTAAAGACTAGGGTTAAATCACAGATCAAGAGATACTGGGACAAATATTATTGTTGGGATGAATCACAGCCTGTACAAGGATGGGAATAGTAATGTGCATTAACAGGAGTAGACAGGCCATGGCCCTGCCAGTGAAAAGGTTATACTAACCTTCTGGGAAACAAGATCTACAATACATGGTTTATGTGTGGGGATCCCTCATATCCATACGACCCAGATGAAGGATCTTACACAGTTTGTTAAATAACCACTTAAAATGTTAAATCTTTGAAATATGTTAAACAAAAAAATATATATTAGTCTTCTTGCATTGTTTACATATCCACATTTTATGATCTGCCAGATATAGGGAACACAGCCAAATCAACACATTTGCATTGTACTCTGTCATACAGTGACAGAAAGTTGTGTAATGAGAATAAATTGTGAATAATCAAGCAATACTAGCCACAAGTTCACTTAGAACATGCATATCAAAGAACAGAAACCTTTATCTTCAGTATTCAGTCTACGGCTATAGCATGAATAGGGTGTGTTGCTAAGGAACAGAAATGACCTGCATGAACCCAAGTCCTGTGTGCTTTTCAAGACATTTCCAAACAACATTTGAAGAAAGGTTAGAGCTTTAAAATGATAAGAAGTGTACCGGTGACTCATGCCTCAGCAGGCAGAATATGCCACATTAAGAAGATGAGGTGTCTGTCACAATAATAGGGGGGCAATTTTCAAAGCCTTTTACCCCAGAGCAAAAAATTAAAAGACTGTAGCAGAGTTCATAGTTGAGATCCTTTGTGGTAATATCTGACTTTTAGACACATTCTTTCTGAGCACAGTTACAGTTTTAATATGGCATCTCATTACCTCTCTTTCAAATTGTGAAATGGGCGCATCGCCTCCTCCATCCATTCCCCCTGAGGACAGAGACCCATCAGACGGTGATGTCATGGGCTGTCGTTTTGACCCATAGCTCCCTCCTGAGAACTCCCTCCTCAGAGCGCTGCCATTCTGTGCAGTGGATCCTACAGGACAACATTCACAAAGGTCAGACAGCCAGTCTCGTAATATCTATATAGCCGCAATCACAAATTATTGGTGGCCTAGTCAATATATCTCTTTTTTTGCTATACATAGTTTTGCATTTGACCATTAAAAGAGGTTAAAGGTCATGAAGAAGGACATTTGTTTAACAGATCACATACTGCAGGGTTTCCTATATGAGCTCTATCAAAGTGGAATGCATCTTTTCTCCTTTTCGTGGATTTGAGAGATAACTTAATCATACAAAGGTTTAGTCATCCCGTATGAAACATCTGTTTTAATGAAGTCAGTTTATGTACATTCCGATTTGTTTCGTTTAGTAACCATTACGTCTGTCTGCTCTCATAATGGAGCTTTAAGGTCAATTAAACAGCTATAAACTTATTGTTGAAAAAGAAAGGTCAAAGATTGTATATGTTTGCCAAATCATGTGACCAAGCTTTATTTAATAGTGGGCAATTATTTCCACAGGCTGCTTTTCCTCTGCAATTATGAGAAATACAAATGCTATACCACATATAAATGTTGCAGTACATGCAAAGATATGTTTATTAATGCCAAATTACATTTGATTGCCTCATAGTTGTAGATTTTTTGTAGCAATTTGTGATTGTGATAGTGATCTCTATATGCCAGGATTAATTCAAATAGTGCAAACAGATTCAGAGAAAGGTTTATTCAAATTAATGGACAAATCCAATATGACAGTTAAGTCAATTCACCTGTCATGAGCAAGTCTAAATCTTGGACATGGAGCATTATTGCACACCAAGGATCAGATCTATACATTCACTGGGTTCAAATAAGATTTTAGAAATTCTTGGAAAAGAAAGGATTGAGAAGAAATGTCTTGAAAACGTGCTTAAGGGAGCCTTACAATGTAACCAATTAGTTTCAGTTCAACAATCTCATTACATCCACGCTGAGCTGAGACTGCAAGACGTTTCATGAGTCCACCACCAAGACACAATGAAACATACTGTATTCAAATTGCCACATCTTCAAATTTGTTTTGTTTTTGGAAGGCAAGTTTAAAGAACATTTTGATCTTAACAGTTTTAAATGTCATAAGTTTTTAATTTTATGAGAGAACACAACTTACTTTATGTCTATCGAGTTTCAACTTTAGGAGATGTGTTTTTCCATTAAATCATGTCACCAATCACATTGTCACAAACAGAATTTTATGATGGAAATAGCTTCCAAGACCCTCCAACTTCCAATGTTCTCAGAAATACTCCAAATTCCTCTAAATGTTTTCAAAATTCAAATCTGGCTGCCAAACCACAACATCCTAGTATAATGTTCTCTCTGATACAGCTTTGCACAGGTCTTTACAATCCTGCCAGATCACAGGAGGTTTTGCCAATAGGTTTGAATATGAAATGTATTTGAATATTACAGCAGAATAATGGAAGAAACAAAAAACAGAATAATAACAATAGCATTTCTGCATATCTGATGCATATCTGCAGAACTACAATCTCCAATTTGACTCCTGTATGGATTACAACATAAATAAGGTAACAACATGTTAAGGTTGTTTTATTAATGCACACATAGGAAAGTAAAGGAACTAAACAATCTCATGACCTTTAACACATAGCAAAACTAATTAGGAATACACTGATGACAGACTTTTTTTTACTACATTAACTACAATCATATGGCAATATCCAAAGTATATGAAAGGTTGAGGGAGTCCCTGATGAGGAAAAAAAACTATGGACGTGTGACAGAGAAGCATGTCTGCCACTGCATTTCTTTTTAATGAATAATACACATGATACATGATAATGGTCCAAACCTAGGCCATGTCATTAGCTGTGACTGGAATTCCCCAAAGTGGTGCCGTACAATTGTATAAGTGCCACAGAGGCTGGATGAATATTAATTAGGTTGGCCCTCTTAGCCTTAGTTATAACAAGGGCAACTCTGACCTGCTGGGCACCAGCGTGTTTTGCTGTTTTGTCAGTGAAGAAAGATGTATTGCTAAACTAATGAACAACTCTTCTGTATTCTTCTGTACTGTCTGCAGTCTATCAAAAAATGAATGGCCCTGAGAGATATGCTAGGACATTTATCTTGATCATTTATCTTTAAATAGGTCCTCATTCTCCCTGTAACATATGGGCATGAGGTCAATATATTGAGTTATGAATAACAGGGGATTCCAAACTAGGTGGGAACAAAATACAAAACAATTTATATTTCCAAGTGAAAAAACACCGTAACATTTTATGTATTGCACAGTTTATTGTGACTCCACCGTTCTCAGATGTAATGCAGTTAGTTCATCTGACTGCAATTATGTATTGTAGAAATATTTCATGTATAATGGCTTAGTTTCTTTGAGCTCAGTTTATTAGAAGGGTTGTAAAAATTAAAACAACAAAAACAAAACTTTTCATCACTTCAAATTTTAAGTAGTGTGTCCTTACCAACTAAAAATAAATGCCAGAATTTAAAATGTGAAGCGTTTCCGATTCAACGTTTATTCCCGTTGATATGCAGCAGGCCAGTGACTCACACTCACTGACACACAGAAACGCTCTGCTCTAAGGAAGATGCACTCACTTGTGCCAAGTCCACTGCTCGCGCTCATCGAACGGCCTGGCTCAGTACGTGACTTAGTGATGGAAGGGATGCTCACAGACCCGCTGAACATTGTGCGGCTCTCCTGAGGACGGACGTTCTAGTGATCAGACACCATGGGGGAAGCAAGCGAGAATAAAAAAAAATGAGAGAAAAAACAGATTAACATTAGTAATAAATAGTAACAGATTAAGAAAGGGAAAACAATTTCCAGACCGGTAAACTACCCACAGTCTTTTATTTAAATTATATCAAATATTTTACTGAATATTTGAGCAGTTCCAATGATATTTTCCACTGTTAAAAAAGCCTAGTTTGAGCCTAGTAGGAGCTCTTGGTTTATTCTCTACAAGCACTTCAAAACAATTTATTGACTAATAATAGAGCACCTACCACATTTGCCTTTCAATGTATTATTAATTCCCAATTTATAACATCTAAAGCTTAAATACTACTACAAAAATGCATTTTCTATTCAACAAAGTGAACGTTCAAATGTCTTTGAGCTAGTAGTTGAACGGCAGAAATTCCATCCATATGCAACACATTTTTACAGGGAATTCAAGGGTTTTCATTCACAAACCAGACATTTAGACAAATTGTTGTCAATTATGCAGAAGTCTCATTAGAGCCTCATGAGATGTACATATAAAAAATAAATAAGTATGAGGGTCAGCTGAGTTCAGATGCTGTAAATTAGAAGACAAATAGCGTTAACAAGACAAAGAGAATGCATTAATGTAAAATAAAACAGGAAATAATGCAATTGCATGAATATTACATGAAATTTAAAAAAAATTACAACCACTTGCAGAACTATACATATACAGTAGCTTATAATAAAAGGTTATCATACTTTCTATTAGCGTTTTTGCTTCCGCCTACAGGATCCAAGCAGCCCGCCGCATAAAAAAAACCTTTAGGCTTTTTTACACTTTTTTTCTAACTGCAGAATCATCTTCAGCCAGCTTATCTACTTCATGCATCACCCTTAAATCCATAAAAGGGGAATTTAAAAAAATACTTTAGTGTTTAAAGCAACTGACCTGTATATTGTTTTAGCAGGATACTGGCCTGTTTTCTAGTCAGACCTAAATGTATTTAACCCCAGGCATTTTTTTTATTGATTGTTGCTGGAAGCTTTCTGAAAAAAACACCTCTGAAGAGATTTTAGTTTTTTTCTTGCCTCAAATGTCCACTACAGGGATATTTAAAAGTTTTATTTTTTTCTGTGTTTTTAATTTAAATTTTTTTTCTGCTGTACATATGTTGAAGATGAAATAATACATAATAAGACAATAATTATACAAATATATCATTCCATTTACTAAAACTTACTTTTATTTTGCTGTTCTAAACAAATTATGTATTATTTTCATCTCTCTCTCCACGATAACTAAAGACCAAATACTGTCTAATGTGTGCATTTATGACTTCCATCTGTCACTTTATTAGTGATGACTGCCAAGGGGCCCCATATTGCAATTTTGATAGCATGGAAATGTAATACAAGAACACTTTCAGTTTAGGACCCATGTGATCAATCTCATATCACATCATGAATGTGATCATATCTTCTTGTTATTAGCTATAACCAGCTGAGCTACCAGGTTTTGATTCTATACAGTACTTGTGACAACCAAAATTTTTCATGGCACAAAACAATTCTGTGAAAAAAAAACAACATATTACTGTTTAAGTTTAACAGACAGACTGGAAGGTCTGGTCACAGTAAACACCATAAAATAAGAAATTAAGGGCAGCAAATTAAAGATGACCATTGCTAAATAATCCAACAGAGTTTAGGCTTTTATAAAAGTTATATTGTATCAACTCCTTTCAGTACATAATAATAAGAGTTTTTTTTAATGTCATGTATTGTGTTCTTGTACGTAGCCTTTTTTATTTCATTGAACCTCGAAGAAAGTGGGAATTGATTGATTAATCAAAACAAATTCAAAAAGAGTCATCATAGACTCACAGAGATTGCACTTTGCAGAGAGAAGAGTATAGAAACTAAGAGTTTGTTAAAATTTCCAGACACTACAGAACTGCAAGCCATGGTAAAGAAGACAGGAGCATAAATGGTGCAGGTGGCAGTGCCGATGCAAAAAGACAAAGCATGCCAAGCATTTGTTTCTATGGTACAGTGAGACACTAGACATATCACACTTCAAAAAACACACTTGGATAGATTTTACACAGTAGGTTTTTTTTGGAGTTAATTAAATATATTCGAAGCCATGCTATAGTCAAGTGCTCAAGTGCTGAAGGCTGCTTGACTGTTTTGTCTGTAGTTGCTTCTGTGGGTTATCCCATGAGTGATATGAAACACTAATTAGTTTGGGCTCTGACCCTTGGGTTGTAAAAGTGTGTGACGTCCTAGATAATTCACTGATTACTAGTATATAAATGCAAACATTATAATAACTTGTGATTCAATAAATAGAAAAAAAAATGTGTCACTTTTATCTTGAATCCTACACTCCATTTTAATGATCAATTGCCTTAAACTTGTTTTACCTTCTGCTTGTTGCTCAGTTTGTGAGTGTGCAACACTATGAAAGTGAGCACATTTATGCACACAATTGCAAAACAATTATTATATATATATTCTTAAACTATTTGTTGGCAACAGACTATGATATTCCAGCTCATAAAATGTTATATTTTGGCTTCTTATTTACATTTCATTTATACTTAAAATGAAACAAAGCAGTGAATACTTATAACCCTACAGCCACAGAGAAATTTTAAAAAGACTCACCAGATTAATTTCTGGTCTCAAAGGTATGTCATATACAGACAAATTTAAGAGACAGAATCTCTTTAGAATTAAAAGGGGCAGAGACTGGCAATTGATTGACTGTAACTGGCTCCACAGTGAAATGAAGACTCAGGCATAACAAACAGAAATTAAGAGCATGTCTATCTTGGATTAGAAATAGGTGACATTAAAAAAAATAGCTGTCGAGGAAAGTAAAATCATGCTACTCTGACAGGCTTCCTGAGACCCTTCATAAAAGAGCCAAATTAGGTTTTTGACTAATAAGAAATTAGCACTAATTAAAAGGAAAAAAATGAAATGGCTTTTCTAACTTTTTAGGATCCAAATAGATCAGGTGTCAATGTAAATACACTATCCAAGACTAACGTTTGTGAAAACTGAAATCTGGTGTACTGTGCCACTGCGTTTTCTGTTAGTTTAATACAAGACGTCACATACACACAGAGGAATGAGGCACACAAACTTGCGCAGTGGGCAGCCACAGGCACAGCACACAGCAGGCCATACCCGTGACAAAATGGAGCATGGAGTCCCAGGGACAGAGTGTAGCGATGGAGAGTAGGAAAGGTTTATGGAATCGTGAGAGAGGAAATTTTCTGCGGAATGGACGGTCATATGATAGACGTGCTCAAAGTTGGTGGGGGTGGAGATCAGTCGCAGGTGTGGAGAAGGGGATGGCTGAGGAGTACCTGGCTACCAGAGGAACCCAGAGAAGACAGTCAGGATGGAGGAGGGGGCAGGCAGGATGGTGGGGGAGTGAGCTTTTAGACATCCATAATGAACATACAGTGGAAAAAACAAATCAATGTGCTATTTCACATTTCTAGTATCATTCACACAGATGTTTTCATTCTTGCCTTTAGGTGAAAAAAAAAAACTGTCTACACTCTTTCATAACAGCAAGTCTATTTTTTATAAAGATGGCATATTTATAAAAACAGTTACTGCTAGGCTGTATTTTGGAACCAAACAAAATTTCAAAATGAAAAAACAACTGTAGGTTTTTTTTATTAGATTTAATCTGAATTTCTTTTATGTGAACCGATTTTGTTTCAACTAAAACTTCAACTCAACTCCTTAAACCTTTGTTGGCTTAATCCTATGTAAAAGTTTTCAGCTTTCAAAAAATGAGAAAAAGTTAAAAATAGCAATTATTTAATATTGAGTACTAGTATGAGCATTCCTGGAACTGTAGCACTGCAATAAAAACTATAGAATTAATACCTACAATTAAATTATGAGAATAATACTTCCTACAGTACAATTCTCACTTGGTGGCTGCATTAATTGTGAAGCTCTTTGTTACTACAGGGAAGTCATCGAACAGGCTGATACCTGAGAAAGTGATTTCTGTTTGTTGAGTTTCTTGGCAGTTGTATAACTACATGTATAACTATATTATTTCTAAAACAAAGGACTGAGGTGAAGCAAACTTAGTTCAATTAAGGTTGAATTAGCCTAGGTAATTACGAACTAATCAGAAACGTAATATGGAAAACACAGGGCAGCCAAATTGCTAGTTTTGGGATAGACTAGACTGAAGGATAAGACAGCTCTTAGGCATGGGGCTGTGTGTGAGTTTAGATATTGCACCACACAGCTTAAAAAACAGAAATTTACATGTGCAAAATGAATGCTAGGGACAAAAAAACAATTGAAAATTAAATGTTATTTGATATCAGTGACTGCGTATCTGACTACAAAGATGCCTCTGAAGAATATGACCAGGTTTTTAATTTCTTTATAAACTACACTACAAAGCAAGTATGTTAAACTAACATAACACTTAGAGAAAATAAAAACAAACATTTTTTAGAATACTCCAAATAAGCCAAGTCATATATTAACACAAATTCAGGAAGTATTCTTCACTATAGGACTGATACAGAAATGTGTGGGAAACAAAGCTCAAAACATGGATGAAACATGATGTTGTAAAGCTTCAAAAAAGCTTTTTCTTATTACGTCTTTGTGTCCCTAATTGTCCTTAAGAATGTGCGCTAACAAGAACAGAAGAAAAACAAAAAGTTTTGAATGGATATGGTTTCTTTTGAAAATGAAAGGCAACACAGGAGTTGTGACAGTGAAGCGTAGGAGGACTTGCTTTATTCATAGAAATAAAGCAAGAGACACTGGTTAGCACTCCCTTACCATGGGCAGATCTTTCAATATCTGGATGCCATCCCCAGGCCCCATGTGTACAACGTGGTTAAAATTCGTTGGGTTGGAAATGAGTTTATTTCTCATCTCTGGGTCTCTCAGCATTTCTCTGCACACAAAAAAATCAATGACGTCATTAACAAAAAGTCTTAAAAAATGACAGCAAAACTATTGTATGAGTTACATTTTCAAAAATCTGAACTCCACATTAATGTCATGTTTTGGGTAATACAACACAGTGGTTAAATCAACAAGAATATGTTATACATGTATTATTAATACATTATATTGGAATATTAAACATTACAATTGAATGACACTGATAGGTATTTCAGTGCTTTCTCTTCCGTTTTTAAAGACAGAAGTGTTTCCACCTTCAAGCCTGATTTTGTTAGTCGTCGGAAGCTAAACTAGGCAGTGACTGGGCAGTATTGGGATGGCAGACCTCTAAGAAAAACCAAGATTTGTTTTGTAAGTGTTCTTGATGAAGCAGTAGGTGGCACTGTTTCCACTAGACTAAAATTTCCTATCCAATGCATCTCTATTGACATCAACAGACATTTTGGTGTAGGAGATATACTGTCTTTTGGATGATACGTGGCTGACTGCTTGGTCATTAAAATCCCAAGGCAATGTTGAAAGAGAAGAGGTGGGGAAGTGGGGACACAGGTTTCGTAAATCCACTTTGAGATTTGGCCTGCTGAACGATAATACCCTGAATTATGATTGTGAATGAATGCATGTGAATGAATTCATGTGTTGTGAGACCACTGCCACATAATGGCCTCCACACATCACCCAGGTAGGTGCTGTACTATATTCCAGCAGTAGATAGAGTGGGCCTCCTCCTGTCTGCAAAGTGTTTTGGGTTCTTTTGGAATGAAAAGAACAATAAAAGTGTAATAATAATCACAATAATAATAATACTTATTATTATTATCATTATTGTTGTTGTTATTATTATTATTATTATTATTATTATTATTATTATTATTATTATACATTCCGAGGGGAAGACGGACCATTCCAAACAGCAACATTGTAACACTGTCTGCTGAAAATAACTACTTCTTGGCCACGAATTAAATCATTATAACTGAACAACACAATTCTTACAGTGATATAGCTGACAAAGCACTGTGACATTCTATAGGGCAGATGCAATTTAAAACTTAACATTTTATTCATATCCTAGTCCTGCAGGCAATTATGTATCATAACTAAAATAGCTCAAAATAGGAAGTGCATTTTGGTACGCCCAAAATCTGTTTTAAGGTTCTGAAGTTTCTTTTTTCTTTAAGCTTCAAAATTGCCAGATTTTCTTTTATAGAAAATTGTTTAGTTTTCACTTTCACTACGGACATCAAAGACTGCTGTCAAAGCAAGACAGGCTAACAATGTTCACAGCTCTTTTATGAACCTATTCTTCACAAGAAAAGATACAGCTGGCAGTTTCCCAATATTTTTTCTACTTCAAAATAAAAAGGGTCATAATTTTTAGTTTAATTGACTTATGAAGGTAGAACCAATTTGAGTTCATTAAAAACAAAATTCTTAAGAGCAGGGCTGTTAAGATTCTCTAAATTCTTAAGAGCAGTCATGCTTTTTTCATGAGAAATTAATTATTAGAGTTCATCACGGATTTCCAAGCTTAGACTATCCTGTCACTGTACTTTTGGAAAGCCCCGCATATCACTGTTTTCAAGTTTTTCCTAATTTGTTCACAGTTATTTTATTTCTCTTTTTTACTTCTTAATATCTGTGGTGATTTAAAAATATTCAATTAATTCCCTTTGTAATACTTTGTCCCCTCCACACAGACAGGCAATATGACTAATTATGTCACTACCAATGTATTTAAAAACTACAAGTACTCCTGTTATGCAAGTTGAGTTATGAAAAATTTATATTTCCTTCAAGTATTATTACAGAGAAATCTGTGGATTAACAGTCAGACAAGGTAAGTAACTCCTTTAAGAGTTAAATTATTGGCTCAACAGGGTTTTTTCCTTCTGTACCAACAGCATTGGCTGCTCCCTGTAGTTCAGCGAATAGCTTCTTTTTAAAAGCTATGATATCAGAAAGTATAAACACGCATTGTTTAAAGCATTTTTTACAGATAGCATAGGTTATAACTGTAAATAATAATTCTGATGCAAAACATTTCTATATTAAAAATAACCCCCAAAAATCAGTTTACCACCTACCAATCCCCTTAATGTTCACACATTATGAGGTGACAGAGTGGGTGATGTTAAACATATTTGCAGAATAATATATTTAGATTTTAAAAGTAAGTATTTACCAGAACAGAAAAAAGCAGGAAAAAAGATCTGAACAAATTATGGCAAGGAAAATAATTTGCGCCAGCAGCCATATCACCTTGCAGCTCTCAACTGGCTACCCACTGAAGCTAGGCGGGGTTGAGCCTGGTCAGTACCTGGATGGGAGACCCCCTCTAAGCTATGGTTGCTGCTGGAAGTGGTGTTAGTGGGACCAGCTGTCTGTGTCGGTCCGGTATAGTGGTCCGGTATAGTGGCGGGGACACTACACTGTAGTGGGCGCTGTCTTTTGGATGGGCATTTTTTGATAAGAGTAGGGAGTTATCCCGGTGTCCGGGCCAAATTCTGCCCCCCTCGGCCTTTACCGTGGCCTCCAAATTGTCCCCATGTGTGATTGGCTTGCACTTGCCCTGCGATGGACTGGCGCCCTGTCCAGGGTGTACCCTGCCTTGTGCTCACTGCTTGCCGGGTAGGGTTCCCACAACACCATATGGTATAAAGAGGTTCGGTAAATGACATGACAAAAATAATTTGCATATCTCAATACTTGTGTAGCTTTAATTTTTTACTGATATTACAATGCCTAACATTCCAAGCAATTATAGGAGGCAAGGTACGCAAGTGGCAAGAAATGAGGTGGGAGTTATGGTGCAGATGGGGAGTTAACATCATAATGTAACGTTTGGTTAATGCAGTGGAGATCTCTAGTGGTAGGTAAGGGAGGTACCACTTATAACAAGTACTTTCGATCCATCCAGGCAATCGACTTTCTTGTTTTCTTTATTCAACACTAAATTGCTTTCAAAACAGGTGAAAACCACACTTCAGCTTAAGAACTCTGTAATTTCAGTATTATCATGTTATTTCATCTGTGAAGAATCTGACGAATTCTGGTGCATTTCAAAATGATAACATCCTCAACCACACCAGGAGCTTCATTTTAATTTAGAATTAGTCACCAATTTCAACTGGAAGGTGAGGGTGGCCTTTTAAGAAAAATACTGCATGATGTCATCACGAACCTTTATAAAACCATGCTGAATAAGAACAAAAAATCATTCAAAAAATATAATTATAATTTACCAAAAAGAACAGTCAATACAAGCGAATGTATCAGAATCAGAAACCAAGTTATAATTGGGCTAAACCTGGGTCTCAAACATCTAAACACAACTTATAGAATGAAGTGCACAGGCATTCAGTTCTGCTGGCTGGGGTCTTTAGTGCAAAATGAAGGTAATTTATTTTCTTTGTTATAGACATTATTTGCACTTTTAATACATTTTTGTACTTTTAAACAAATTACCAATCAAAAAATGATTATTTGTGGAGCACATTTCATAAAGTTAATCTATCTATAATACAACATATTATTAATGGTAAGAATGTTTGTTTTACATATAAATATGTTTCTTTTACCCACTACATTGCTGTATGAAAGAAATGTGTGTAAAAATCAATAACTATACTTTACTCAAACTAGATTTAAAGCATTATCTGACTTTTAAAACTGTCATAGTGTATTACAGCATGTTATATTTTCTGTTCCTTGATTTTTACTCCTACATGGATTTTGTGCTGCACAGTTGCATACGAGAACCTGAACTATGTTTTGATTTTAAAAAACAGAACAGGTTTTCCAGTAGACACAACTTGTGTTAGGTTTTAAAGCAAGCAGTTTAGGCGATCTGATTAAGATAGCATGTTATGACAGCACGTCACTCAATAACCTCAGCTGACAGCTGGAAACAATATTTCACAGATTTTATTTATAAATTCTGACCAGTTTCATGTCTGAAATGCACGAGGACTGCAGTCCTGTCCAACAAGCACGTGTATACAAATACCCTCTTAATGTCTCTCAGTTTCTAACACATTGAAATTTAGACATTTACACTTGTAGATACTAAAATTCTGAGGTCCTGTTCTACAATTCTGGTGATCTGGGTACTAATATAAGAATATTCGACAATAAAACTAACATGAAAATATGTAATATTTAATGCTTTAAACATTTCTATGAAATACAGTTTTATAAATATATGTTTGTATTGTAAATATTTATACTTAACACTAGGTAGCCGGGTAGTGTTTTTACATTATGTAAAATAATCTTCTAACACTTAATTTCCTTTTTATTTATATAAGCTGGGGTTGTAATCATCCACTAATCATCCTAAGTAATATATCTTTTTTAGACCATATTGTCTTTGACTCAAGTGATGAATCTGCCATAACTAAATACATGATCAATTGTTTCGACTGTCCCAAATCAATTATGAAGTAGTTCTGATGTACTGCTGAAAAGGATCAGACAAAGAGAACAACAGAATACTGAAGGAGACGAGGGTGAATTGGATTAAAAAAAATATGTCTACAACTAAAGTGATTATATGAACATGAAACAGTAGAACAATAATCTCCCAAGTTTGTATTTAGACATGTTAAAACACGTTCAATTCTTAAATAAATAAAGCATCAATTCCTACTTCCTGTTAACTTTTTGATGTATCGTTTTAAGAACTGACAATATTTGTTTTCATTGCAGACCTGTTGCGTTAAAAGGGTGTGTGGGATAGAATAGTACACATAAAACCGTGTAATCGTCTGCCCACTACTATGAGCTAGACGGATAAAAAATAAAATAAAACTTCATCTTGGCAATTTTTCAAAACCTCTCAAATGATTTCAATCTGCAGTTTTTCTTCCATATCTGGAGCCACGGCTACAGTAAAGGCTTAGGGGCAAAAAAAAAAGCTTAAAAAATAAAAAGAACTGGCATTGCAGCTGTGGCTGAACAGTCCTACCTCCTCTGCTGCATTCGTTCCTCCTCCGGCACTCTGAAGGAGAACCGCCTCTTGTTGTTGATGTTTCGCACCATCTGCTTCCTGCTGTTGTCTGACGTCTCAGGAACCACCAGCTCATCACCCTCTGTACCAGCGAGAGTTTGTGAAACCATGAAGTGAGCTTACAAAATGTTCCCAAAAAAGGGGCAAGCTCGGTTTGGAATTATGATTTTATACTTTCCTCACTTCTTGCTGTGAAGAGTGAGTTAGAGGCCTTCTGATAAATGTTAGGAACATGTGTTGCTCTGCCTCTCAGACGTATCTCACATCTGTTCTCAAGCTGCTCTCAATAGCTTCCCCGTTTAATGTTTCAAGGTTAGGCTTTGATTGACATCAGATAGACAGATGCCTTGAGGATATACCCCAGCTATTCTAATACAAGCTGTCATCTTGAAAGTAAGTGAATTAGACTTGCAAATGTAAATGAACCACGTGGAAGCAAAGAAAAGACATAGGCATATGACTTAAACAGCTGTGGGAATTGTAATGATTTGCTCTTTAAATAATATACTGCTATTTTCTTTATCCTGTATTGACTGCATTAAAAAAAAACTTTAAGCTTAAGTCCATATCATTCAGTTTGCCAGATATATTTTACTAGACTTTGTGCTCATGGGAATGGAATGGAAGTTGTGGAAAAACAATAAAATAATAAAAACCAAAACTTGTGCTCATTCTTAGTATTGCTAATATCCCTGAAGCACAGCAATATTGTGAATGGGAGAACAGCCAAATCACCATGTTTTAAAGTTTTCTTCCTGAAGGAATCAAAGTGCAAGTCTTTTTCATTGTCAGAACATTAACATTCGAAAGGAAGATTGTTCGAAAAGATCTTTTCTTTACAAAGGGTATTGTCGATGAATTGTTGCTTCATTTTTACAGTGGAATTTATATACTGTATTTCACATAATGTTTTAGAATGATTTTCAAACAGCAGTTCATGTGTACTGTATATAACACAAATCAATACATGTACAATTGAAATCAAATGATGAGTAGTTGACTTAAAATACTTAAAAGACTTTTACATTTCTGAGGGGTCTCCAATTTAACTTGTTCTCATTTAGTTTCACTCTTGACATGTACCAATTACCAAGGGTGCTGGTTTATGTTTTAAGATTGGGATTGAGTATTAAAAGTATTAATATATAGTGAATGTACAAGATACTACGTTCTGATGACTTGTTTATAAGAAGCATGGATATTATTCTTATGTTGAGTAGAAAATATTTAACTCCTGCATGTTTATTGAGTACTGTATTGCATTCTACATCCTATTTGCTGTTTCTTGATCTAGAGGTTTGATTGATTGTGTAACTGACTGTATAATCTTTATGCTGCATGCAGGTTCATTGGACATTTATAATTAAGATTTTAAAGAACTTCTGATCTTTAAACAGTACCAAATGTTCAATATACTGAGAAATTCCTTTAACCGTTGTGTTTATTAATGAAATAGAAGTGAGAAGAAGAAACAACTTTTCCCTGTTGCCTGGCCTGACCCTCCGTTTAAAAGTTACTTCTTACCTGCCATCTTGTTCTTGAAATAAATTAACCGAACTGTTTCCAGGCCTAGAAGATTAAGTGATCCCTCAGTATTTAAAGGCCGCACCTAGGGACGAGATAAGGGGTTAAGATTTTGGCAGTCATAAAACAGGAGCTAATTTGCGTTCTCCTGCAATTTCTAGTTGCATCAGGTTACCTTTTTCAAAGGAATTGTCTGAATCCACTCCATTGTGTTCACATCAAACACATCAACTGCATTTTCGCTGTATACTGAAAGGTATGGTGCATTATAACCTAAAAAGAAAAAAAAACAATCAACCCGAACAGGTTAACAACTTCAATAGTGCAGGTTCTGGGATTATAGCACAATAAAGATTACAATCAGAGGAGGCTACTTGTTCTTCATTGATTGTCCACAATGCAAGTCTGAGAATCTCATCCTGACAGTTTTTTTAAGTGGCTGCTGATTCAATTTTGAGGCCTGAAACAAAACGTCAACTGAGAAAGGTCAATGTAAAGTGACCTTGTGTTACATTTGCAATATATATTCTTTGTCAGTTGCTTTGTCAGCAGTAATTTGATTTACTCTGTGACTGGGCAGCAGTTCAGTCCTTCAGCACTCTACTGACATCAACAGTCAACTCTTGAGACTTAAGCAGCTCTTGAAACAAAGCTTTGCAAGTTTATAAACCATTGAAAACCACAAGACACAACTAAACAAAATGTTTTGCAAAGGCAACATTTTAGAATACAGGGAAACAGTCAACGCAGATGGAGACATAACACATTCATATTAAATATTAAAATTCTGTGGATTCAATTTAGTCCACCAGTCTTTAGTTTTTATGAGGTTTATTCCATTCATGTTACAAAACTCCATTAAAAAGCATAGCACTAACAAATAAAGTCTGAAGGTATGTTTATTTTATGTATTATTCTTCCCTAACCATGTAAAGCACTTTGTAAATAAACATGTAAAGCACTTTTGTAAATGTATTTCAGCAGCATGCTCCAATCTACAGAGACATGCAATGAAACATTTCATCTGAGGAACAGCTGAAGGCCATGAAGACATTACTTTAGCTGTGGAACTTTAAAGTAATTCTTTAGAAAATAAGTTATTCCCTCCGACATCTTGTGATGATGGATTATGGTCCATTTATTGTGGACAAACTTCAGAAACTGCATAACTCCTCCCTCCTTATCTGCACTTTTGCGTAATTGCGATATCAGGCCCAGCATGGCGAGAGGCATCCTGGAAGCTTCAGGCACATTCTCAGAGGCCTGACACTTCTTGGACTGTCCACAGGGCTCAATTCCAAAACTGAGCATGTGTTTTCCTCCACATTATCCACTGCATTGCTCCCGCTTCATTGCATCTTCTTACAGAGTGCTATACTATAGCTTTTGCTATATGAAAAGGTATGAGATATACATTATATATGAACGTATATAACATATATATATATGATATATATGTTCCTTTTCATAATAGAAAACTGTGCAGTACTTTATTCTTGTCATGTTGTTTTGTTATTTTGCATATTTATGTAGATTTGCATGGTATGTACAGTGTATATGCTACAGGACAGCCTTCTCCTAATAAGTGCATTTTTCGTTTTCCACAGACAGTGCAGGAGTGTATCCCCTGCAAATAAACAGGACAAACATATACACTTTCTCTGTGTAGAAGCCGTTTAAGAAGGCAGAGATAAAGGTTAAAGCAAACTCACAACAAGAGCTGGGGATGGCCGGCCACATGAGCTCCTGTTGCCGTGACCTGCGACCCTGACAATCCACATAGACCCCAATGCTGCTGAAACAGAGCAGGTACTCTTTGCTGGAGATCTCCACCGCGCATATGGCATCCATGCCCTGTTGTGCAATGAAGGCTAGCGTATGGTCCTCGGGATGCAGCAAGCTGACAGGGCTGGTTTCCCCATGGAGGCTGTACTTCATGAAACCCGACTGATACCCCACACACAGCCTCTCGCTGTACAGGAACATCCACTGCACAGTCCCTGGCACCTGGATCTCCCGGATCTTTTTGTGGCGCATCTTGCTCTTGTTCAGTTCATAGCAGATGACTTGCCGTTTCATGGCCACACACAGGCATGTCATTGCCCCATGCCGTACTTGCCCTGAGACCAGAGTCTGGCAGCCCTTGGTCTCGGCCAACTTATAGAAGTCTGTCTCCCGGCCATCCAACGCTGCCATGGGGAAAAGGCGCACATGCCGGTTACGGCCAGAGATCACGGCAAGCAGCTGCTCCCCAGGAATCAGCTCGATGTGGTGTACTTTCTTGTTGTCTCCCACACGGATGATCTCTGGTGGCGGAAAATAGTTTCAACGCTAGACGCTGCACATCTGGAAACTCCTGTCATTCATTCCATAACTGCTCACCTGCGGCTTTCCAGTAACTAATTTATGAAGAAAAACATTCTGTTGGGTAAAGGCTACACTTGCCTATTCACCACCATTTTCAAAACTCTACACCTTCCAAAGTATAAAACGTATTAAAAGCGGAGGTCACAAAGTAGTATTTTCAACTGATTTTGGGATGTTGGACCCCCACCATTCTTGTGTTCAGCTGTTGGACAGCAGACGGTGTGCTATTTTTTAAGTGGAAACCTAGTCAATATAAAATCTTTGTACAGTGAATTAAAGTGTTCTCATTGTCTTGATGATTTTGGTTAACTTTCTAATTAAGCAAATTAAGCAAAAAGGGCTTAATGCTTTGAAACTTTCCCCCCAGTAGACAGAATTGCTTTTTTAAATGCAAGTTTGTCTGAATGTTAACATACCATCTTTGGTGACATGCACAACATATAGCCCCTCTTCATTCCCTAGTGCTATCCGTTCATGATCTGAAAGAGAAAGAAGAAAAATGGTGTTTAGCAAGTCAGAAAGGAAAAAGCAAAGGTATGCATTACTTTCTATTTGCTGTGTTCAAAGTCTGTTATATTCTGTTAGTCTTTCAAACTTTTCAATGACTTCAAAGTTTTAGTTTCGATCACAGAACGGTAAAATATATTTCAGTGACAACTGAACATTTGAAATAGGGTTTGTATCAAGGACTGATTATCCATTATAATATGAGCACTCTTTTCATAAGAGAAAAAATATAGATCAGGTATAGTTGTGCAGGTTTCCAAGAAGAGCCAGCATACCTATGATGGAGGCAGACTGTGTTGTTTTGATGAGAGGCAGTGTGCTGTCATAGGCCTCTTTGGGCACATAGACAAATCTGTCCTTGAGCTTGTTTTTCTTCAAGATGCGGTGCAGCTCATTCAGCAACCCCACCCACTTATTCTTCTCTTGGTCATTGTCAGCCAGGATGAGGATAGAGCACTTGTTACTGGAAGCAGACAGCTGTGATGCCGTAACCTGAAAACATCAGCAGTTTAGAATCACTTTGAATAGGCAGTAAATTCAAATCCATAGTAAATCTGAAACTGCTAAAGGTCAGTTTGCTCTACAGTTCCCCTTAGTAACAGTTACCCAAAAAATGGAAGCTCTCTGCTATCTTCAATTGTATTTCTTTTAAGAAATCCCAATCTTTTGAATGTGAAATTCTCAATCAACTTGGCTTACTGCTATAACTCTCATGGATGCACATGTCACAGTGCCATCATCAGAGTTAGGATGTCAGACAGACAATGAACAATTCTTGCTTGATAAGCTTAAAGTTTGCAGAAGCCCAATTAGCCACTAGAAGTCACTGTTGTATGGAAAACCAAGAAACTCTTATTTGACTTGGAACCCACCCAGCCTGAAATAATTAGAAGGCACTCTATGGGGATTACCAATGTCAGCTGGCATTGAACATTGACTACAGGACACACCCTGTGCTCTATGCAGGACTTTGAGTGAGATAATTTTACTTGACTACCTTTACTTTTACAAATGTCCTCAAACATGTTCATGCAGAAGGCACTAAATGTAAGTGCTCAAGAGCTGCAAAACAATAAAAAATAAACATGACAAATGGTAGCTTGTCTGTGTAGTGCAAATTGTTGCAAGCTTTTATACCTGGGAACATCAGCATTGTTTTATCCCCATTTGAAACACCGGTGGCAAATCATATGAATTCCAAATAGCTGACAGAAATACAGACCAACGTCAACACTTTTGTTACAGGATGCCTGGAGGGTTATGTTGGGAACAAACATAGAGCCACCATTATATGAAATGGATTTAACAATAGGGAAACAATGAATGGTTAATGACAGCATTTCATCAAACATGGAAAACTGTGTAAGGATTGCAGGCGAAACTGCATATTACCTTTGAATGTGTTTTTGCACCTCTTGCTTTATTTTCCTGACACTTGTCTTTAGTAACTGCGTTAACACTCCTGTGGAGAAAGACAGCTGGAGCACTTACCCTGAAAATGCATGGAATGTCCTTCCTGTTGGCGTGAATGACGTCTGAAGCTAAAACTGAACTGACAGAGAATTCTTCGTCCCTAAGAGGGAAACAAATCAAGGGCTTGAAAGCTTTCGACACAAAACCATGCACCAATTTAATTAAACAAAAGAACCACTCTCTCCCACAAGGCAGAAGGTCAAGCACAATACAGTACTGAGAAAAAGTCTGTGAACCTTCCCCTAGGCTGGTCTGTGTTTTTGAATATTTTAGGCCTAAAACTAAATTAGGCCTAAAATATATATGTCTTAATAAAAGATGAAGAATATGTGATAAAACATATAACTTATAGACCTAAAATATATTTGGACTCATTAACAAAGTGATCCAAAGGTTCCAAAGTTAACTACCATCATATGAATACATATGCAAAGCTTTCGATTCAGTAACGTGTGGAACCTCCTTGAGCAGCTATGACTTATTTCACTTCAATTTATACTTTAACCAAGTATTTCAGTTCATTTAAATTTCCTCCATCAGCTATATAATGTAGAAGTTTATCTATTACTTCATAGTGATCATGAATTCTTTTCATACACTATTGCATCTCAAAAACCATTTAAACAGTACATGTAAATCATTTTTGTTAAGACCAGACCAGTTTCAATTAAATAAGATTAATATGGCAAGAAACCGTAATTACTATAATTATATTGGGGGGTTCACAAACATTCTTGGCACTATATATTCCCTCACACCACAATTATACTTTTTTTATTCCAGGCCTAGTCTGGCAGGAAACTGACAAGAACATTTAGGAATGACCAAACACACTCCAAGACTAAGACGATCAATCCTGGTACTGGGTAGCAAAAATCCATCACGATCAAATCAAAAAGACTTTTAACAATTACTGATCATTTTATCAAGGAAGCATATGTTAAAGAGACTCAGTGAAAACAAAGTGGTTAGGAACGTGCAGTGGAAGATCTGCAGATCTAATGAAGAACTAACTGACTTGCCTTAGTTCAAAGTCTGTTCCTCTCACTACAAATTGTAGATGTTTAAAACACAATTAAACTCCTCTTTACCATTTGAAAAATTAAACAGTCAAAAAGTGAGAATTCCTTTCCATCAAAGGCTTAAGTTCATCAGCACTGGGGTGAGGAATATCAGAAAAAAATCACAGTGGCACTGTGAGTGATGTTGCTGAACAGTATGTTCTCTCATTCCTCATTTCAATGTGGGATTAAGTGAATTTATGATTTCCTCTGAAGTGCTCTGAGAACATACAGAGTGAAAAGCACCATATAAGTGAAAGGTGTTAGTTTCAGACACATCTCACCTCATGTCTATGACCTGGCTCACCACTATACTGGGCTGGGATGCCTTCCCTTCAGCTATGTCATACAGGAAGAGCTTGAAGTCGCACACCACAGCAAGAGCCCTCTGCCAGCCCTTCTTCACCCCAGCAGGTTTAGGCACCTTAAAAAAGACAAAGAGTAACACACTATACAAATAACAAAACTCCTATATACTACATAGAATTGATTATTATATTTTGCCTAACAAAACACTTTTTCCCTACTGCAGATTTTTATTGGTTGAGGTACTCTGTTTAATTTTTAATTGTTAAATTTGGAGAGATATTGCTTTTGATGTCTGATGTACCTGCAGTAAAACTCAACTTTCTTCCAATTTAAATACCATTTGGTCTCATTAATCTGGTCCAGTCAAGAGGAGGGTAAATAAAAAAAGAAAACATAATACTGGATGTTAAATCTGGATCTCTTGAGAAAATAATTTCCATAATATTAGAAAGATTGCAATTGAGGTTATTTTGTCACCTTCATCCTTGCTTTTTTTATTAAAGATTGTAAAGCTTGACATAACTCTAAGTCTTGCATTTTTATTGCTTTTTCTTGTATTGATTTAATGAGGTCATAGAAAAATCTAGATGAAAGAACCCGTTCACTTTCATACACACAGTAGATTCCCGTAGTTGAAAATCACCTGCATAGTGTTATGTTCATATTTCCTGTATATTTAAAATTGACTTGCCAAGTGTCCAATCCATGATTGGACCAGCAATTTGGCACACTCTTTGATGAAAACAGTTCGGAGAACTGAAGAGACCGAAAATACATTTAGGGGCAAAGCTATTTTTATTGTATTTGAGGAATTTGAAGAAAGATGTGTTTAAGTTTAATGCCTGCCTATAAACTAATTAATAAATAATTAATAAAAAATAATTTGTAAATAGGAGTTTCTGTTAGTCTGTAGTTAGGTCTAACAAATATATATTAATTTCTCCTTAAAGTTTTTGCCTGATATACTTTTCATGGTTGTTTTCAATAGAAGGTTTCCTAACAAACATTGGAGAAAAATCTCTAGCGATGTTAGTAACTGAAACTTCTAACTTCTATACACTTCTAATGACTGCTTTCTTACTTAGTTTGGCAGAGCATCTACAAGAGGGAATGTATGTAATGATACAGTCTTTCTGAATAATTAAGAAGAAACAAGAAAAACATAGGTGAGAGAGAAATGTGGAACTATGATGAGCATACGCTTTGAAGTATACTTTGAAACTGTACTGGTAGAATTTAGACCAAACGGTTGCAATTTTAGGAGAGCAGACTGTGAAGCAGGGTAAGAGTTGCAGCAGCCATATCACCCTGCAACTCACAACTAACAATCCACTGAAGCTAAGCAGGTGTGAGCCTGGTCAGTACCTGGATGGGAGACCTCCTGGGAAAAACTAAGGCTGGAAGAGGTGTTAGTGGGGCCAGCAGGGGGCGCTCACCCTGCAGTCCATGTGGGTCCTAATGCCCCAGTAGTATAGTGATGGGGACACTGTACTGTAAACAGGCGCCTTCCTTCGGATAAGATGTAAAGCCGAGGTCCTGACTCTGTGGTCATTAAAAATCCCAGGGCACTTCTCGAAAAGAGTAGGTGTGTAACCCCGGTGTCTTGGCCAAATTTCCCATTGGCCCTTACCATGACCTCCTAATTATCCCCATCTATGAATTGGCTTCATTACCCTGCTCTCCTCCCCACTGATAGCTGATGTGTGGTGAGCGTTCTGGCGCACTGTGGATGCTGCACATTGGTGGTGGTGGAGGGGAGTCCCCATTACCTGTAAAGCGCTTTGAGTGGAGTGTCCAGAAAAGTGCTATATAACTGTAAGCAATTATTATTATTATTATTATTATAATAAATAGATAAGGTTAATAGATTGTATGTAAGATTGTATGCAGAACGTTAGTCACTACACTACACAAACAAATATTGCTGCCGGGGTTCACTGCGCTGTTCAGTTTCAGAGAATTGTGAACAGACATATGCGCCTATGCCTAAAGGAATGTCCTATAACACAGACAAAGAAATTAATCTTTTTTATCTTGAAGAAGCAAACCAAAGTCTTTAAAGGTACAAAGTCAATTCAGTAGACTTCTTCAAAACATCAGTGAAACATAATTGAGAGGCTACAAGGCTAAATTTCATCCTTACACAAAGGGTTGTTAGAATCTGGAACAAGATAACTTCAGATTAATTATCGACAACCAACCAAAAAACCTTGATCGTCCAGTTTACCTCCTCTTATTCATAACTTTTCTTATGTTATTTCTATCAATTATTATATGCAATTCTATCAATTATTATATGCAATTAATACATATTAATACATTAATACATATCAATAGACTTCAATACCATGTTGTATACACCTTTAGGTAAAAACCTGAATTAAATAGCAATGCAGTACTTTGAAAATTGATTTTTCTTCAAATATTATTCCCATACTTTGCAATTTATTTACTTTAACTGTTCCTATACTTTTATTCTTTACCCTGACATGTCCCTCATAAGCTGTTCCAATTCCCTTCTGCGGATCTATTCCCAGAGGTCCCTTGGTCTGGTCAGGGGGGATTGGGCACACTGCTGGTGCTTTATCCGCACAGGTCACATGACACGAGAAGTTGCAAACTGAATGTAAAAAAAGAGAAAAAAAATGAATTTGTGCAGTAATGTTCATTACTGTTTTGCAATTATTGGCTTTCTTTGGCTGAAATATTTAGAATAGCAAGAAAAATGAATGTCAATTCAATAAAATCATCAATAGTCTGGTCATTTATTTTACCAAAGATAAATTTGCACATTTTCAACTGAATTATTTTCTGAATGGCCTAGTTTCGGTGCGGTGGCTCTGTGGTTAAGGATCTTCTCCTGTGGCTGGAAGGTTGCCGGTTCGTATCTCGCGGCCAGCTTCTCTCCCTGTCTGTGTGTCAGTGCGTCTCATGGAGAGCAAGTTGAGGTATGCTAAAACACAAATTCCTACTACAAGAAATTGTATATGGCCAATAAAGTGATCTTATCTCAATTTAATTGTTTATATGTTTTTCATTATGAAGTGCTTTGGGGCATGTACTGTGAAAAGTGCAAAATAAAAATATTGTTATTCATGTTTGAAACCTCCAATTGCCATTACAACCCTAAAATCACCTCAGGAAAGCTGAAGACAAAATATACACACCCCTTAAAAATGCATCTTTAACACAGTACTGTTACATGAGGAATGGCAGATTGACACCACTACCACTAAAAAAAACTTCAGGCTCACAGGCATCTAGACAATCACAGTGGTTGCACAACAAATGGAGGAAACTATGACTGTCATCAAACCTAACCAATTCCAGCAGAACAATTGCTTGGGGAGTCTAGGTCACATCTGGCTAATACAAACAATGATTCCCCACTATTATCAACACAAATCTGGAGGCTGTAACCTATCTGGAAGAATCATATTTCAAGACATTACCTTCACAGGTACAGCCTTGGCGTATCAGTCCCACCATCAGAGAGGTGCACTGGTTGCATTTGGTTGGAGTGTTGAAGGACTTCACTACGAATTGATGAGCTTTGGGCTACAAAGGAAATTGATAATTATTATCATAGATTATCATCAGAAACTGTGACATTAAATCTCTGCACACATAATGTTCTGATCAGTCAGAAGAGCACACATGATTTTTTTTTTGTTTTAATCAAAGTTGCCCGTCTCCATTCATCCATTGCTGGACTTTCCCAAGTCTTTCCTGAAAGAAAAACACTGTTACCTTGGGTGGTATAAGGCCAGATCCGCTGTATGCTGATCGCATTGTTGGAGTCTGTACAATACGTGGAGGGTGATCAATCATCTGGAACAAAACATAAATAAGAAACACATGAGAAAATGCTAAACAGTATACAAACACACAAACAAGAGAAACTTTTGTTATTTTTTTTACAATCTGGTACCTGGACATTGTTTTTTATTTAAACCCTATCTTGCAATTGCTCAATACAGAGAACTAGCACTATCCCTGTACCTCGATGGACTCCATATCGCTGGCAGTGGAAGGGGACCGGGATCTTGAGTGAAGGTGGGACTTGGGTTCATCATCTCGTGATGGCGTGTTGGAAACATTGAAGTTCTCAATGGAGTCAATCTGAGAGAGCAGAGCAAAATGAATCACTCAAAAGAGCTAACCTTGCTGCTAAAGTGAGAGGTTGAGTACCAGGATTCTAAAATATCTAGCCTTACACAGAGTGTTCTGTGTTTTCAGTATTTATTTTTTGTGTCATGATGTCCCTTTAAATTTACCTTTGGCATATTCTGCTGCTTAGTTAAATACACTGAAACCTTGCTAATTCTCAAACCAAGGTGATCTAATTTTCATGTAACATCACTAATGCTTGTTTTGCCTCATTTAATTCCTGCTTGAGAGGCAATAATGATCACTAACCCCACAGAGCCTTTTGAACTCGCATTTGCAGTTTACTGCAAATTGATATAAGATTGCACATTTATTTTAAATGAAACAATATTAATTTCAACAGAAAAAAATATGTACAAATGTCATTGGAAACACCGAAAACACAGAACTCCCTATACATCTCTACATGCTAATGAAAAGATGATGTACATTCTTAAGTAATGAGTTTATAATATAGAAAATCACAGCAAGGTAGCAGACTTGTCTTTGAGGCTGCTGCCTGTTGACATCACCCAAAGTTTCTTGTCAAATGTCAACTCCAGGCACTTCAGTTGTACCAAGCCTTGGAGAAAAACCTTCTGACGAAAGCGGGGAATGATATCAGAGAGTCAGAAGCGTTCTAGAGATACAACTGAACTAAATCAAGCTGTATCCAAATTTGTTAAGTTTAAAAACTTGCCATGAAAAGATTAATATATTTGTCCTATAAATAGCTGTAATACCTAGTGACATATAAGGCTATACTTTTTAGATTATTTTGCTGACTTCATTTATTATTTCACTATGGTGATCATTTAGCTGAAATATGTTTATGAGTTTTCTGAAACTTTCTGTTCTTTTAAACACTACAAGAAAGTAGTGAAACAAACCAATAATTCTATATATTAAGTGCAGATAGAAATATAAATTTTTAATTTTTTGACTCTGCACAGAAGAATACTAGAAAGTGAAAGACATACGCACTGCAATCTAAGACTGACTATGACTGGAATTTCAAATTAGTGCCTAACTCTACATTAAATGACTTTACAGGCAGTTATGGGCATTGACTGCACATACAACAAATGCTGTAATGAACTCCCAGGATTTGTTCTGTGAATCTAACACGCATTTCAGAGACTAGCAGGGTACAAACAATTTTGCATTTTGAAAATTACTTTACACTATATTCATCCCCATAAATTCTAATAACATTTTTGACTAACAGGTTGCATTTAAATTTTTAATACTACTATATAAACTACTATATTACTTTATGTAATTATAATTACACTATTTTCAAGTTGACACAAAATGAACAGAGAAAACAATGTGTGGATTGATATTTGATTAAATATCAAAAAGTTCTACAACTTATGAAGAATACAAAGACTCTTCATTTTAGTAACAGTGCAGTAATGCATTTTTAATAGTATTAATAGTTTTATTTGAAACTATGCTTAACAGCACTAGTACTATATGCCACATTTTAATGTTCCTTCAACAGACTTTTAACCTCAGCAGGATTGATGCTGTCTGCAAGATTCTCTGCAATTTATAACTAGTTTTTTAATTATCTTTTTTTGTTTTCTGTTTTAGTTTTATAATTTCCCACACTACATGCTAAATAATCAAAATACACAATTGTCTTGTGTATTCTATCTGAATACAAATTTACCTCTGCAAGATTTTCATGAATAGAGTATGTACTAATGTCATAGAATTATAGACAAGGTTTGACAGGATAGTGTCATTTAAAAAATATGTTAACATGTTACAAGTTTCACAGCATTATATGAGAAATAGTTGAATATATGATTTTAAAGTGCTATATCAAAAATACTTTAAACAGACCACTTCTGTGCCAAAAGTCATAGCCTTATTTAGAAGGTAGTCCTTTTTAACACATGCAATTTTGTAACACCACTAACACATTTTTAAAAACGACATCTGAGTTCAAAGACATGCTGTCCAGATTAATTGGCACCTCTATGCCACATGCTATCCAGAGTGTAGTCCATTTTTATATCCCCTGCTTGCCAGGTTAGTCTCTGGTTCACTGCAAACCACTAAGCATACAGTGGTTATTAAAAATAGAAGCGTGGACATCAGAAAGAAACTGGCAGATTAGCTGGTAAACTAACAACTCTTTGTATCTGTATACATTTTATGAGGTTCTTGTCTGAGAACCAGGTTGTTAACTCACCACTGCAGTTCTGCACCTCAAAGTTCTTAAAGAGGAAATGGGGTGCAAACCAAAAATGAAACAGAAATTATGCCACACTACATAAATGTATTATGTTGTATTGTTGTACGGCATGCACTGCATTAAGTTACACAGCCAACTATAAAAAGTGTGTCCATTCACAGTTGGACCTGAGCAACAAAACATGCCTTCGTCTAAGATGTGATAATGCTTGTACCAGATTTTGAGACAATTTTATCATAGTCATGTGCATTGTTAAATTTGTACATACTGTGTAGCTACCTTTAAAGAGCACGGATGTCTATAAATATGCATTTCAATATGTAATTAAGATACATGTATCAATAAAAAAATGGTAGCTAATTTAGACAATAAATTGAATATTGTGATTATTGTCTGTTCTCCACTTCAATTACACACTCGTACAAATATGTTACGTCTAGCTAATAAATTAATAGAGTCCTTAATATTTTTTTAGTGCTTGCCATAAAAACAGGCCCTACTGCATTTTTATATTATTGAACTAAGAGTAGGTAGGTAGTTCTAAGAACACTGTACACTTTCGTTGTATCAGGTAAGTGTTTTTTGGGGTTTCACCCCATTATAATAGATTCCTTAAACATTCTCACTATTTTTAGAAGGACAAAAAAATCTCCCTAATCAAAATCAGCAATGATGTTTTGATCCATGAAGCACAAGCAAATAAGCGGACATGCATCAAACACCAAAGGCACAGCAGACAAGGTCAATGGAGATAGTAAGGGATGAAGACAGGTGACACACAAAAACAAAACAGCAGCTTACACGTCTGCCTTTGCTAGCTGGGATGCAGGCAGGAGAACGCTTAAACAAAGAGAAAGACAAAGAGGTAGGGAGAAAAGTGTTAAACAGTCTTAAAAAGGGCAGTGCACCTCTAGTTCTGGTATGGTGAGATTGCTACACATTTCTCACTAAATGTCTTGATTCTTTTTAGTTTCTTCTATCAAGTGCTATTAAATGGATTTAAAATATTGTAACATTAACTGAAAAATAACAGCAGGCAAGAGAGTTTTATATCATATTGCCTCCCAGAGTTAGAGTAAAATGAGTTCAAACCATAGGACCATAGGACTCAAACATGTCATATTCTGCTCTGGTCTTCACTGTCTCAATTACTTACAAAGCATGTCAGGGTAGAAGTGAGGCACTTTACATTTTTAGGAATTTTGTTCTTGACTGTAATTCTGGAGACAAAAGGCACTGGATATTTAGAAATAATTCAAAAGTCTAATCTGGAGTCCAGTATTTTGTAAATGTAAACTGAAAATTTACAAAAAATGAACATTGCCTGAAATTTTTTTATTTTATTAGTTCAGCTTTTTTTCCCCACGGGGTATCCATCAAGTCTTTAATCACAGATTAAAACAACTAACTAAATAAATAAAGATATTATCTGAGAGTTTAAGAGGAAGCCATAACAAATATAGGACAATAGCGTGAACAAAAAAGTTATAGAATTACTTTATATCCTGTAATGGGAAAACAAAAACCTGCAATATATGACTTCATATTATGTCTTTGACAAAATACAACAACAAACTACAAGAGACTAAAAAGAAAAATGAAAAAGACATCACTTTTGTCTCTGCTCAGCTGTATAGAGGGCATTGGATGAGGTGCAGGTAATCAGTAGACGACAGTCAATTTTATTAAGAGAGCCAAAACTTGATATATTTTATACAGAAATAAAATTAGTGTAAATTATTTATTAATTTATAATTTATATATTATTTTATATCTGGATAAATTAAATAGCAAAAATATATGGTTAACTTGTTTTCATGATCAGGAGCCTGACCTACAATTCCCAGTTGATTTTTTCGAAAGCTGAGCAGTCCAAGGTGGACTTAAAGGTGCCTATATAGTAATTGTAATAAATGTATTAGCACATGCTATCTATTTTGTAATATATATTATTTAGAGTACAATAGTATTGAGATCCAGCGGTCTATCCAGGACATGCTTTTTACCTTTCCACCTCTTGTTAACTACATTATTGCTAGAAGGATGCCTGTCCCTTTTGGAGCTAACTGGACTAACTGTCCTTGTGCAAGATCAGCTTGCATAGTCATGGTTCATCAACCAAAAAAGCACTGATTGTTAAAAACAATAATTAAAAGATTTTAAAAGTATTTATCCCAACCTTTGTCCCAAATTTAATAGCTTTCTTACTAGGCTGCCAGGTCTGCCAGGGGAAAATAAAAACTTTACAAATAACTTCCTAGAAACCCAGATTACACACCGTCTCAGAACTGTTTGATGAGTATGAAATATTATACTGCAGCTGTGATGTAGCTACACTGCAGTGGAAATACCAGATGAGCCAGCTGAGCTGTACCCAGACAACCACAGCAGAAACTGGGAAACTGAGTTGTGTCTGGATACTGTATTAAAATTGACTGTGTCTACAGGGTAGTTCACAAACCCAATGCTTCCACCTGTTTTCAGGAGGTAATCCATTGGTTTGGCACCAGTGAGACTTACATCATCCCAAAATTCAATTAAGGAAGATGAAGAGGAGGAAAAAGTGTCCTGATGGACCATGAAAAGCAGCAATGAGAAAAAAAAGAAGACCATGTAAACCTGACAGGCAATGGGGATTCCTACTAAAGAGTTGAATTACATTTAGGGCAAATTCCTAAAAAAACTTTATAAATAGAATGGGGCTTAACGACATTCTTATGTGAACAGCACAAGTGTGTTGTAGATTGTTCAGTGGTCACTGGTACTTCAGGTTTGTCTTTCATCTTTCTTTTATTTTATCATCCTTTACTTCGATAAACCCTGCAATTATTGTTCTACTTCCAGACTACGTTTTTGAAAGGTGAACAGAACATATGGGACAGATTTGAGGTTCCACACACTACCTTGCAACCCCACCAGAATCAGCTGAAATAAGTTTTGATGAATCACATTATATGAACATCTTTTAATGAATGAATCTTTGTTCCAACCTTCTTAGCTATTCTACCAAATGAATCATCCTTCGGTTCAACCACAAGAAAGCTAGCTATCACAAAAGGCCTCAAAGGCAGAGTCTGAAGGTGCTGCCAAATTAGCAGCACAACATAAATTAACAACCACATATTAAAGAAATACATTGATGTCACTGAAAAAGTACAAAAAATAGTATAAAAATGTTTTATGATGATGAATGCAATAGTTGCATCAATAGGAACACAGTACTTACATCAAATTGATCCATGGCAGAGGTAGGTGCATTCAAAAATGCCAAGAACGAATTTTGTGAATCTTGGTGCTTTACACCTAGAAAACAGTAGCAGTATTGATATCATATACTATATCCCTTCATTCAGCTCATGAAGTTGAGCCATGAATAAGTAGCATGTTGTGGAATTCAAGGAAAAACAGGAAGAATTTGAGGAATTTGAGGAAGAACATATTGGAAATCTGCTTCTAATGAGGACTTACAGGGTTTTTAAGACAATTTAGCTCCATTCAAAATTTTATAACTTCTTAAGTATAAATGGTGATAATTAAGCATAATATCATAAACATAACCATATAGTGTGCTCTGTTTATTGACAAATTACTTGTCATAGTATTTACACTTAACAACTTGCCAAACTAGAATAGCACTAAATTGATTTTAACGTCTAGTTTAATTTTATGGTTCAAAACCACGGATGTATCAGGCTAATCCCAACAAAGCAATAAACAACACCGTTTGATACCTTAAGGCAGTTAAGGTCAGTGATATACAGGGTTAAGCCAGATTTCTAGTTTTTTTAATATCTCAGACTGTTGATATCTTGAAAAACAGAATCTTGATTTCTGAAGCTCGTCGCCGCTGGATTAAATGATCATCATGAAAGTGCTGTGAGTGATTCCTGCCTGGCTTGTCTTCAAGAGTCACAGGGATTTATGGTTTTAATCTAATCCGTGTTTCTTTTCTGCACTTTCTTAATTGAATTAGACTTGATTAAACTGCTGTTTTCCAAGTCTTTAACAGTTGAGGAGTTGCAAATATACAGACACCACTTACAGAAAGTACATTACAAGAATTTTTTTACAAACCCTTTTCCAGTCTGAGATCCTCTGTCTCCTTCTTCAGTTTCTCAATCTCTGTCAGCATATCCTGGTTCTTTTTCTCAGCTTCTTGGAGCTTGCTGGAAGTTGGTAGGCACAAAATAACAGAAATTGCTGCATTAAAAAAAACCTAATTCAACTAATGCTAACATCAACACTATACTTACAAAGAGAAAAGAAGAAATTGCTAATTATGTTTAGCTCTTTGACTAGATCAGAAGACAGTTGTGAATAATCAGTCCTTCATGACTCTGTATAGGACAAACTGAAATTTGAGTTAAACCAAACAAATAAGGGAAGAAACTGCACTGGACAACGAAAAGAGTAACTAAGTTGCTTTTCTTTATTGGTTATTAATTTGCAATTATATTTGGTTTTTGTTTTGCACATTGCCCAATTTGTACGAAACATTTATCATCTTGGATTACCTCTACCACCTTTTTACCAACATGGGGGAGAATATGGGTGGGTCTATGAAACGTGACCCACCAGGCTTTCTGCTGCTCTGTACGCTTTAAGTACACAGTGGAACAAGCACTGTCAATGCAACATTTTCTCTTAACACAGCAAGCAGGCAGCTGCACATATTGTTTTGTGTGTAGCCAATAAAAACACCTGGCTGACTAATAACCTACTTAGCCACCCTGGCAATGATGGGGGAATCCTTGTCGCAGGCAAGGGGCTCTAACCACTTATCTCTGGATTATCTAGCTCAGCCTGAGCCCCAAGGAAAGGCATTTACTTGTTTACTCATTTGCCTAAAAAAAAAACCTGCTTCTTACCACTCAGTGGAGATGTTGGAGGCTTTGACTTTGTTGAGCTCATCCTGTATGGCCTGCTTGGCCCGGATCTCAGCATCCAGTGCAGACTGCAGCTCCAGCCTGGCAGACATATCCAATTTGGCAAAGCGCCGCATTTTCCATGGCATGTCCTGGAACACAAGGAAGTGTCACACATGAGATTAAACAAGGTGATTGTGTGTCAACTGCTAGTGTGCTCCCTGCCTATACCAATATAAGTCTTTAGGATACAGCATCCCTGCAGAATATCCTCTAATTCAAGGGCTATAGTATAGCAATATAGTATAACTAAGATTTTTTTATTTTTGTACAGTATTTGTCATAGATGCATGACACATCCATTTATCACTTAAGCAGGTATAAGAAAAACTGCTAGACATTTACTGGTACTGGTAAAACTTTGCTTTTAAAGCAGTATTTAATGTTATACTGTATGTATTTTGAAAACAGTTTAATATCTTCAAATGTACAGAAGGATTTTGAAAGCTTTTTTTTGTTCCAGAGCAGAATTTGCTTTTTATTTGCTGAAAAGTTTGGTGAAAATATGAAGAGGTCAACAAAGCTTGAAAAAACATTTGAACGAGGAAATAAAAAAATAAAAGTGACTTGTTTTGCTCAAACAAAATTTCAGTTTTTAAAATGGGCTGTTTTAAAAGGAAAAAATAAAATCATTTTGACATTTAATGAAAACAGTTCCATCTCCAGGCAGAAAAAATAAAGTTTTCATTTTATTTTGTGTCTCACCTACTACCTAAGCTTTATCTGTACTTTAATTGGTAATGCAGCTCTTACTCTCAACAATAAGCAGGATTTAACTTTGTCTTAGGAAAGGATTCTAGCCTGGGTAACAGCAGACCAGCACTGCTACTATGCCAAAAGAGGGGATTGGAGATACATTTTCGGCAGAAAATTTAAAAGTTTTCCTCAAGCCATAAAAATGTCTCTGCTCTATGGGTTAACTCCCTTTCAAGTAAGTTATGATCTTAGTCCTCTGACCTTAGTAAAACAGCTGTTAGCCATTATCTGCAGTATGTAAAAAAAAACACTTGTATGAGTAGGGGGTCTTCCTAATGGCTCAAAGGTTAAAAGCATGAGTATGCGTCCGGCCATGTCACTGGGTGACCGTGTCCATGATTCCCCAGCAACTGTGAGCAATTGACTTTCTAAGGGGAATGGGTCCGCCTCATGAGTGCGCTGGCTATCTCCACTCTCAAGCAACCCCTGTGGCCTCCTGGGGGCTGCCAAACATGCAGTGCTGCTCGTGCAGAATGTACCTCTACTCCAATCGATGCAGAAATGTCCAATATGGGGCTGTGTTGCTCTGATGCTTGAAAAAATGAACGACTCAACGCAAGTCAGAGGAGTCTGCTTACGCTTCCTCATTCTGCCCTGTGTGAACTTGTGGAGATTTTAGCTGTGCGCTGAGGCATGAAACTGGCAACTTTCAAATTGAGTGGGTAATGAAGACAACAGGCTATTTTAACTTAAACATATGCAAGTAGCTAAGTTTTAGTTATTTCAGCATTCCAGAACCCTGTTATTCTTGCCTATCCAGGTAATATGCCATTCATTTCTTGTCACTTTTCACAGTCCATGTTTTGATATAACCCAGTGATTTATCTTTCATGAAGACAGCTCGCACAAAACCATTGCTTAATGTGAGCTTAGCGCCTTAAAAATGCATGGACTTCAAACCTTCACTATATATTTAAAATGTGCAAGGATGAGAAAAATTATTGAACCAACTTTAACACCTCATGGTGACATATTTCTGAAATGCTGCTACGGTACTCACCGTAGCTCTGGCCCCAAGACTAGAGCTTCTCAAGCCTTCCAGCTCCTCTGTCATTTTGGTGGCCAAAGCTTGCAGATAACCCCGAGCGTCCTTCTCATCACTAACCCTGGGCAGACAAGATTGAGACATTTTCATATGAAATACATTAACTCATGCACAAACCCACATGAAAATGCGCACCACTCGGAGTGAGGAATTTTTGGTTGACCCTGAATAAACTCTAATGATTATATTTGATACTCATAAACTCTAAAGGGAGAACCTCCTCAGAACTACTGCAATGAGGCCAACAAACCAGCCCCAATACATCTAATACATTATTCATGTTTTTATTTGTTAAATACCACATATTTTTATGGACCACTTGTACAGAACAGTATTGGCAAACCATCCAGATGTGCAATGACCCTATTCAAGACATTCTGCATAATATTTCTGACAGAAAGTACTGGTAAGCTTCATTGTATGAACCTTCATTTTAGAATAAAGGATTCTACAATGGTCAGACAGAACAGCATTGTCCCACTTACTGTCTTATTTAACAACGTTTCGCAGGTCTACAGACCCTAAATATTTTCTTCTTTTAAACTTCCAGTCTCTACTTTCTTCTAATTATAAACAATCTGTACCAATGGAATGTAGGATATTAACAGTGTAGTTATAAACATTTATAGTAGATTTCTAAACATTTAAATTTTTTTTATCTGAGCGTTCACTATAATGCATTTCTGACGGGTCTCAAGAGGTGTAATGCAATCATTACAGACCTTAGTGCCCCTAAGTGACCTTAGATGATGATAAAGAATTGTCAAAATATATAGCACACTAGAGACATGTCAGATCAAACTTGTACGCTTTAGCTTTTAATTGTGTATGAAGGTGAATTTTAATTTACTATATTAATTTGTGTATACTGTTCTCTTTTTCTTAGTTTATTACAAAGTACCTTAAGTTAATGCATCACACAATATTACCTCCCTCTACACATTTGTTTTTCTGGAGAATTAATATTTGCCAGTAGGTGGCGATGTATAGTAAGAAATTTAAGATACAACTCCTTTTATGATCTTTTTATGCGCTGCAAATTACAAAATAGCTGTTAAATTAAGAAAGAAGAAAAAAATGCTAAAAGTATTTCTTGTTCCCAGTTCTGGACTTAGTTACTAAATGCAACTTGATAAAGTTTTTCATTTTAAGAGCATCAAGTAAAAAACAGCTGTTTTTTAAGCTCAGTTTCTTTTGGTTAATTTACATCTTGTTAATTCAACAGATCCATTTTCCTTATAACTACTGGAAAACAACAGACAAATGCTGAAATATAATGAAAAATCAAAGTGAATACTGCATTACAAACATATAGAGACTACCACACAAAAAGGCTATTCATGCTGTTGTAAGTAAGTAATTGCATTGCAAGTTATTCTGCTGTATTAATGCAGAATACTGTAAGAAACTGTTTCAGATTCAATTATATGACTTATTTTGAAAAGGTAAAATCCCACAAGGATCTAACTATTGCAACAGTGACTGCACCAATATTAACATGGGCAGTTTTTGCAAGAAGTGGTAATATATAACTACTGTACATTTCAGAACTACACAATTTGGTTCAGTTATCACTGTGCTTGAAATCAACAAACTGTAACTGTTGAAGAAAGTTTTTGTATTTCTGAATGATGTGTTCAAACCTACACAACTTTTCAAAATTACTACTGTATATTTTTTAATTTGGAATTTTCAATTCAATTTATTAACATAATTTGGTTTTGCCAATTGGATGCAACACATTTTTGTCCCTGCACATCTTGTATAAGACATGGTTCTCTGACATATCCACCTGCTGTACTAATCATTTTACATTTTCAGGCTCTGCAGAGCCTGAAAGGAGAGTTAATGCTGACTTCAAAGAGCGGTGTATCCCACATTTATGTCACTGTATGCCTGAGTTGAATGTCTAGTCACAAGGGACGCTATTTCTCTTTCGCGCTGTTTAGCCAATTATATTCTGTGCTGTATTTAGTCGGTTCTTGAGATGAACTACGTTAAAAAAAGTGACAACAGGACCATATAGCGCAAACATTTCAATTTAATAATGAAAAAAAAATTATCACTGAAGATCACATTATTAACACTACCTGCCAAAAACTCAATTCACTGTCTCAGCTGAAAAAGCACTGAGCAGAGTAGTGGTAATTTGTTCAAATGGTTTAAAAGAAAATTCGATTTGAGGAAGATTACCTATTCTGCTGTATGACTTATTCCAACCTAATTAGATTTAATACAGTTTGCATTTTTTATTTCGGTTAGATTGTGAAAACACAGTACATTTAAACAGTATATGGCCAAAGAGGGCCATATAAAATAGATACTATATTCTTTTGCTGGTGAAAAGTTTGTCTGTTTAAGTATTTTAATCACATTTCAACCTTATAACTACCAAATGAACTACACAGAGCACGTACCTGAGTACTGAGTACTTTGATCCTCATATAAAGTTGAACACTTTAGTTATTATTTTGATCTTTATATTAAAAAGTTGAAAACAATGCTGATGAGGTACCTCGATGCTGTAATATCTCTTAAGACCCACTAAGACTTCCATCTTATTGATATCAGGGAAACAAGACTGAGCGATTTAATTGAATCAATAGTGCGGCAAATGGGTGGAAATGAAATTTTTATAAAACGCACAAACCCTTCACTTCAAAATGAGAGACCAAAATGAGTGATTCATTTTAGATTAAGCACTTGAACAGTGAGAGTGAGAGAAGAGTACCAAGTGGTGTCACTTACCACTGTATGATTTCAGTGATCTGAGCCTCCCAATGTGCAACAGACTCCTTTTTATCAGCCAGCTCCCTCATCTCCTCCTCCAGTTGCTTGTTACTGCAGCTCAGCTTCTCAAACATGGCTGTCAGCTAGGGCAGACAGCAGACAAAATGTTAAAACACTTTGCCCAGCAGTATCTTTAATATGAACCACCGGGCAATCTGCAACAATACAGGCATCCTACACAACTAATAACACACTACTACCTATTGGCTTTTTTTTACTTAGTTTTGCATCGCTAAACTTCAAGCAAAAAGTAATTCCGGCTTCCTCGATCTTCAAAGATGGCCTTGATGTAAAAATGTTTAACAGCACTGTGGCATAGTGTATAGCAACTTCCATACTTGCAGATTGTTCTTATTTTTCAATGAATCTGCCTTGGTCGAAAGATACCTGTCTTAGTTTGTGTATACAGTATCTGTGTATTCTATGGGCGGAATGGTGGCTCATGGCTGCTTTGCAGTGCTGGGATCTAGGGTCCTGTCTGTGTGGAGCCTGTATGTTGTCCCTTTATTCACGTGGATTTCCGCTGGATGCTCCAATTTCCTTTCACACTGGTAGGTTAATTGGCGGCTTGGAAATTGACCCTGTGTTGAGTGTGTGTGTTTGCCCTGTGATGGACTGGCATCCCATCCAGGGTGTAGCTTGCCTTGCCCCCATTGTTTGCCAGGGTAGGCTTGGCTCCTGCGTGACCCTGAATTAGAAGAAATGGTTTGATGTCTCTTCTATTTCTTTTATTGTACATTACTTTGAGATAATGTAAAAATATTACATAAAAAAAATCACTTAGTAATTTATACTGCAGACAAGTAAACATCTCCAACGAGTCTTTTCCATACAAGCAAATGTACTAAGAGATTCCTACAGCTGTTTTGTGGAAATCCTGTATACAATAAAAATGTTCATAAAAACCTAAAAAAGCAAATACTTAAACTGAAGTGTGATAAAATGTTTTATAAATAATTTTCTCATGGAATGGCTGTATCAACCGGTCCCTTACTGATATATGTCGTATAATCTATTGTTCTTTAAAATGATGAATAAATTAATGTCACTGATAAGCCGGAATAAGTATACCCATTAATTCTCTCATTGGCACCCTGTTGTTTTCAGGGAGAATGACAGAGGTATTAATGGGCTCAGGCAATGCAATAAGCTGTCATCGATGATCCGCATATGAAATCCATGAAATGCTAATACACAGCCCGCTGATATGCAGCCTTAATTGCGCTGCTCTAATGCTGGAGATAAGGAATCTGATAAGGAATCACAATTTCTATAAATCAGATTCAAACTGTCACTTGCGGGATTCCTAGCAAACTCAGTAAACTTACCTTGGGAGATGTTTATTACCCAAACTATAGCAGATTTAACAATATAGGCTTTTGGGGGGGCAGACTAATTTAAACAAAGCTCACACCTGATCTACGATGGTATTTCACCATCTCGGAATGCTTTATAATGTCAATTTTCACTTCATAGCACTTCCTTGACACAGGTCTATTACTAGCACTGCATTAGCTTATCCATGACTAGAGTTGTCTTCTGAATCAAAAACAGAATGGACACACACTGCTTTTACTCAGAAGGTAATGAACAAACAAGCTGCATGTAGCTCCTGAGAGTAACAACTTATTTACATGTGAACATTGGTGTTCATAAGTCTGAAATGTTATCTTATAGAGCTTTTCTCATATATAAGAGTATTCAAAACTCAGATGCTCATAACTTGAGTGCCTATCTTGTTCATCAATGCATGCTAATTTAGAGATCAAGGTAATTTTTTTCAGTTTTTAACACTATTTTTATGTTGCTAGTTTATAGCTTTCCAATGTGTCCTCTTTGCAGAAACACTATAAAATAATTGTGGTGTACATATACAGTACATGCTAAAGCCACTGTTTATACAGGATATACTTATAATATCCTATATATACAGTGTATTGAGTCTTTCAAAGAATAGAAGGTAACAGTCGAATGACGAGTACCAGAAAAAAGAAATCTCAGCTTGGAAAAGAAACACCAACAATGTTGCCAAGCAGTTATTTCAAAGATTAGCCTTTATCTCTACGTATAAAAATAGACAGACAAACACTGTACACAGTCACAAGGAGAAAAAGTAACTGATATTCTTCTAAAATGGCCCTTAAATACATTTAAGAAAATATACTCCAGGACAGACATGTGACTCGTGCAGGATTTGAGTCTCATGTTGCATTCAATTCTTCATATTCTTCCTACATGATAAATTATGAACAGAATAAAACACTGGGTGCAGTGAATGGCCTTTCAAAAAAGCACTTCGGCAATTTGGATGTTGCTTAGAAGACGTTTACAACATACTGCTATACATGTTAATGCAGTACATTTGCAAATAAAAAGTAGCAGAATGCTCCATAAAAGCTATGTAAATATTTACAAAAGTCATGCGACATTTCTGCCCATTTCTGAGAAATTGGGAGTGGGTGTATTCTAGGTTTTTTTCCATTTCAGAGTACCATTCTCTCACAGTTAGGTCACTTTAATTATAATCACAGTTTTGCTTTTTTCCAATAGGGCTACAGCACTGGTATTGAAACTCACTGCATAACCCTACAAGCCTACTTCCTTTGATTCTTAGAAAAAAAATAGTTCTTTTTATTTCAAACTGCAGAAGTCTAAAGTAAATATTTTTGAAAATAATATTCATTGGTATCTTTCACCCGTTTATTGCTTAACCTATTCCACTTCTGAATATTTGGATAAAAGTGAATGCAGGCTATAGGCCAGAGGAAAATACTAAGTTTCAGCAATTATAAATCTCTTGCAAAATCTTCCGCATCTCCTATGTGCTGGGCAACATTATTTTTCAAGGTCAGCAGGTTCTTTCCAATTGCAATTCCAATGTGTCCGTTAGATCCTATCAACACCCTCTAAAAACACTACTGCCAGAGATTTTATAGATAATGCCAGAGCCTAAAGGATCAAAGCACTTCGTAGAGGGAGTGTAATCTTATAGGGAATGGGCCACTGTATTTTTGAAAGCTGAATATCCTTATTTGGATTCTGATCTTTCCGTGACTTTGAAGTCTGCCTTTAACTTGGTCTGACAGACGCCAGAGCATGATTTCTGTTTGATACAGCAAAAACATAAAATGCACTGCCCTACTTTAAAATGATCATTTCAAAGAAACCTTTGAAATTTACTGCAAATATATACTCTTGACAAACTGAACAGTACAGTCTGCGGGCACACATCTATTCCATTTAGAAGATTGGTAGGCAATCTTGGTCCTGGAAGGCTGATATGTCTCTGGAATTTTCATATCTCTTCAAAGCACTAGGCCCCGAGGAGCTGGAAGAAGTTGTCCCATTAATCCAATAATGAACTGATTTCGACAGTTAAAAGCTGACTTGGAAAAAAAACATTGGCAGACATTTGCTCTCCAGAACCAAGATTGCCTACCCATCATTTTGAGTAACCCACATCACCCCATTCTTGAAAAATAAACATAGACAAGATGTAGGTTACTAGTAATTATTTTCATCAAAACATATAAAGGGATACAGTATACACTGGATATAGAAAGTCACCACCCCCTTAAATTAGGCTTGTTCGTTTTTTATTTACACACAGTAACCCACATTAGCCCAGTGAAAATAAAATTTTAAAACATTCAGAAAATTAATTAATATTACAACAGTAAAATACCTTATTTGGATAAGTGAACAATTGCATTTGTAAACTTTCTCAGGTATAACCAATCACCTTAAAGATCACACAACAAACTAATTGATTTCTACCTGTGATCAACTGTGGTGATTTTGATTAGCTCAGAATAAAAGCAGCTGTTTCTGGAGGATTCCACTGCTTGGAAGTGCATTTCTAAGCAAAGATCCACAATGGGAGGAAAGATGCTTTCAAAAGAACTTTGGGATAAAGTTGTAGAAAGGCATACATCAGGAGATGGGTATAAAAAGATTTCAGACTTTAAGTATCCCATGGAGCACAGTCAAGACCATCATTGACCCACTGTTCACCACAGCAAGTAAAACCACAACAAATTTAAAAACCGACCATAATCAAATTAACACACTTGATTAGGATATAATATGTTATGTCAAGCCTATAGATATGTTTTTGCACACCACGTTACTGTGTGAAAATGGAAAAAGCACTGCAACATAAGCATAATGAAGTGTGAGTTTGCAATATTAAAAGGTGATGTTTGCAGGTTTAAGAAACACAAGGGTTTGCTGGTTTTAAACGTACTTCAACACTGTTACATTTCAGTGAATGAAGGAACATACTCTGACAATGTTGACAGGAACGTTGTAACATGAAGTAGCTAGGGAATTGAGAGTCCATCAACCCATAACAAGACTCTAGCAGACCTATCAACTCACAGAAAGGGCCCATGACAATCCAAACTTGGTCAACCATGTGTAACAGCCTAGGAGTAAATGCATAAGGGAATACATCTGTATAGCAGGAAATATGCTTCCAACACAACAGAGTTTCATAGAAAAAAACTAAATACTGGATTGTAGTCACAAGATGAGATTCAGGTGACTTAGCTGTAAAGCAGGTGAAATTGCAATGGTAACATCAAGACTCAATATCATTAGTTTGTAGTTTGTAGGTCAGCAACTCCCTAAACACAGAGCAAAGGTTGGTATTTCTTGAAGCATTCAATTGTTGGAGATGGTACAATATGAGAAACGGTAAACAGTAGATTAACTGATGACTTTGTAAGGAACAAACACTGGTTTAAAAGACGTAGCTGGTGTGGAGGACCAAGCTAGGAGTTGATGTGATGTTTTTAAAGGCAATTGCACTAAACAGAATCATACCGAGCTCTTCAAGCTCATTTTTTCTAGACCAGTGTGATATTTTGAGAGCTGTATTACAAATTGTAAACAACACCAATCAAAGCTCTTTTTTCAAGGCTTTGTCTTCAACTAACATTTCAATCCAGAATCAATGTAGCGCACTCTGGCCAGGAATACGCTTGCAGCCTGTGTTCAATGTCTCCACAACTATGTGCTGTGTCTTTTGTGTAGAGTATTTCTCAGGGGCACTTGTGCTGAAAGTTTCAAGAAATCCATAACATACAGGACTCTCAATATCTCTCTCAGAATGTTTATTTTTAAAAATGATGACATGGTTAACATCTATGTAATAAAACCTTACCTTTTCTTGAATTTTTTCTTTCTCTTAGAAAAACAGATTTCGACATCTACATTGCTTTGCGTTATGTCAACTAGATTGGCATTTTGTTACCTTCACGGCATTGCATGTTGCATACTGTACTTTCGAACACAAACTTATTTATTTTTAATATTTCTCTCCATTACTAGCAATCATACACAGTATTGGACAATACAGGTTTCTTTTTAGGCTCACCTTGTCTAGTTCACTGGAGAGCTTCTTATTCTCCTCTGTCAACAAGATCCTCTCCCTTTCGTACTTCTGCTTGTATTCAGTTTCAAATTCCTCTCGTTCACTTTGACTGAAAAAATACAAAAAACAGAATAAAAGACATTATAGATTATTCTGAGGATTTTATTTGAAAGATTTTTATAGTTGCACAACTCTTCAGTACATTCTCAATTACTGTCCTGCAAGCAATCCTCTGAAAGATGTAGGCTGCAGATTAAAAAGTTATTTTTCCCATGACACAGGGGTCCTAGTTTAAGTGTGTTACAGCAATTGTTGTATTTAGAGCAACTGTTTACCTCCTAGTCTGTGTGGGTCACTTTGGATCTAATCATCATCATTACATATACTGTACACTGCATATTTATACACATCTGTAAAGTAAATATGCAAACATATCCTGTTGCAAGGAAAGAAAGGGACTTATATTCGTCTAAAATTGCACTTCAATACAACAAAGCAAATTACATCAGCACATTTGTCTCATCAAGCTATACTAGGATATAAACAGTAGTTTTTAAAAATACATAAATATAAGAGTGATCAAATTCTGGGGCTAAAGGGAATGTTCTACACTGAAGGAAATTAACCTTTTTCATCTTAAAACAGAAGACTCCAATGGCACCAAAAATAAGTATTCAACATCCTCAAAGGCTTTGACAAAGTCAGCCCAGTTAAGTACTTCAGAACAGTGAAACAGTGAATAGTAAAAGACAAAACAGAAGGCACAATTAGAAAAGTACGTGGGATCACACATAAAACCCAGAACAGGAAGCACTTCCTCACACAAAGGGTTGTGGGAGCATGGAATGAGCTACTGTGCCATGTGGCTGAAACCAATATCCTGCTTTCTTTCAAGAAACTGCTGGATGAGACCCTTGGATCAAATAAATTACCAAACACTAGATAAGCTGAATGGCCTGCTCTCATTTGTAACTTCTAGCTTGGGTCTTAGGTCTCACTTGACTCATGATATTAATCATACACATTAAAGAATGAACATAATATGATCACACTGGCTATCTGTGACTGCCTTTTCAAAAAAGGACTTCTGTATGACGGTTAACTGGAGTAGAAAAGTAGTTTTGTGACACACTGTTTTACACGTTAATTCAATATACCTGCCAATAATAAAAACATGTTGCAGGGTACTACACTAAATGATTGCAAAACAATGTAGCAAAATAATTACAGGGCAAATGTAAGTGTCATGGGATATTTCTGCCCAGAGAGGTTTAGGGAGTGTACTCAAGCTGTTTTCATTTCAGTGCATTGCTGATAACACACAATTTTTAACCATTGTTTTGTTATCAACATAGCTACAGCAGTAATTCTGAAACTGCTTCAGTATTCCTTCAGTAATAATACCGTGATCTTCCTTGATCTTTATAAGTCCTATAAATTCTAAATGCACAGTAACAACAGTGCTGAACAAAAATAAAAAGTTTTTTTTCCCTAAGATTGCTTTCTTTCTCATCTGTGATTTCTTTAAATGACTTCTTGTAATGTAAATAAGTAAATAATTTATATTTCTAGTAAAAATGCGTTACCTCCATTATTTGGCAGAATCTAAATGGTATTCTTCTTCAATACAGCCGGTATTCCACATAATTACCAACTTTGTTTCACCCAGTGGGTATCAAGCTCAGTCTTGTTCTCTACATTTGTTACATTTAATCATGGTGGTGTCAAACATCTAACTTACATTTCACTTGCTTGATTGGTATACTGGATAAAAAGAAAATGTAACATTTCTACTTAAACCTGAGAAAATGTGTTAGGTACTTTGAATGAGATGTGCCAAATGAATGACCAACTTTAGCAGAGCTTGAAAAAATATTAGATATATAATTAAATTAAATTTAATAACTAAATCAGCTGACAGAGAGCTGGAACAACCCTAACCCTAACCCTAACCCACAAAATGCCATAACACTTATGAACAGCGTTAACTTGTGTTAAATCTGATCGAAAGCTTTTCTGTGCCACAACATTTACATGTGTGTAGCATTTTCCAGGAAAAGAAATATTATATACTGAAGAATTGAATTTCAATAGATTGTTTTCATATGTTGGAGGCAGTATCATATATAATAAAACCGGCTAAATAGCTACTGAGATACTGATGTAAAATGCAGAAGATCAACCAAAGGATATTCTCAAATTAATTTTTCAAATTATTCTTGCAAGCAGAATTCCTGTCAGGCAGGGATCAAAGTTTACCATGATCTCTTTAATGAAATCTGTTTTAACAGCCTTATGACAGCGGACATAATCTATGAATGAAATACTCACGTCTCATCATTCTGCTCTTAAGCAATGTTGTAACCCTTGTTTTAGGATTAAAAGAGTAGTATTATAAATTCTAGACAGGGAAGTATGTTTCAATGTAAGTAACGATTTTTATGGCATATGGGAGAATTTCCATACCGACTATAAAAATTGCTCATTGACAGTCATTCATGTGAAGTGTATATAATTGAACTACAGTGGCACAAATTGTATTTCCTCAAAAGTAAAAGACTGAACAAAGTTAGTAAAATATTTAGCTTATCTCTATCTTGCTTTGGTCTTTCATTCTTTTTACTGCTTGACATTAATTTCTTACCACTCACTATATTACTAACTGCAACAAATAAAACAGCACCCAAATGATTTGAGAGAACTTTTAAAAATGCTCTTGTCCCTCTAAAGCTCTTGTTATGTAAGCCAATGCACTGACAAAATAAATCAATTATGTTGAATCTGTTGCTTCTTTAAAGAGAATACCACAGTCACACAGTGCAACACATTTATTAATAATTGCTATTAATCTGAACAATGTCCAATCACAGAATCCCACCACATCAACATATATAATAATAATTCCTTGCACTCATAGAGCACCTTTCTGGACATTCTACTCAGAGCACTTTACAGGTAATAGGGACTCCCTCCACCACCAACAACGTGCAGCACCCACCTGGATGATGCAACGGCAGCCATAGTATGCATAGTATGGAATTATTAGGAGGCCATGATCGATAAAGACCAATGGGAAATTTGGCCAGGATGCCGGGGTAACATCCCTAATCTTTTCAAGAAACACTCTGGGATTTTTAATGACCACAGAGAGTCAGGTCCTCGGATTTACATATCTGAAGGACAGCTATTTTTCTGTTTATCTGTCCCCGTCACTATACTGGGGCATTAGGACCTACGCAGACCGCAAGGTGATATGCCACTCTCAGAAGCAACCTTAGCTTTCCCAGGAAGTCTCCCATCCAGGCACATAGTGAGCTTCATTGGGTTGTCAGATATGAGTTGTATGGTAATTTTCTACTTTCTTTTTATGTTAGTAAATCATAATTATTGTTAGGTAAATTAGACAATTATTCCATTGATTATTTCTGCCAGAATTCACATTCATATTTGTGCAGGTATCAAATGGTAGTTTTCGATATTTTCTGTCCAGGAGATGCCAGTTTGTGCTGGAGATCTCCAGTGGTTGCCTTTACATTTTATGGATACTTCCATAAATGGTATGGTTATTTAATTAGGTAATATTTAAATTAGTTGGTGTCATCTCAAAATATTACAAAATATCAAATTAAGTGCAAAATTGTGAACTTTGTTCTGTATGGTCGCCACGTTCTTGCAAACCACTGGTCTCGCCACAAGTGAGAGAGAGTTTGCACAAACTGTGACATGAAAGCAGCCCTTCCTGCTCACTAGTCACTGCAAGCAAATGAGAAACATGGTCTCCTTACAACATTAATTATTATTAATGTATTTTTAGTTGGTTAGCAGGTTGCTCTTTTTTGCAATACTTAAAAAGTATCTAAAAACATGTCTTGAATGTGTCGGTTACATGAAAATATTTACTAAAAATGTAGTCGAAATAATTTACGTTTACAATTTTAATATAATAGGACCGCTTTTGCATTATCAGAAGTATTTTTGCTTCTTTATAAACTGCAGACAATGATAGCACTATGCATACAATGAAACTTTGTCTCTTTTGAGATCTAAATTGGAAATGTGTACACGTTACTGTTCCCTTGTGGATGAAATGCAATCATCATTGCCAATCGATTATAGTATCATTCGTTTGTAATGATATTTCAATCAATGAAATTCAATTCAATTAATGAAATGTAAAAATAGTGTTGCAGCTCCCCTTTAATGAATGCTACATGTTACTTCCATTAACACCACAGGGAAATAAGAAACATATTAAACATATATACTAAACTCTGCTTTAGAAGTATTAGAAGAATTTCAATAATTACAAGTCTCAAATGCAAAGGTGCTTGGCAAGGGAAGGGGGAAGTTATTGCCTAACAACCCAAAGAAACTAATTTAGCAATGCAGGTTTTGTGAAAGGGATACAGCCACCCTAATATTTTCAGGATCGAATGTTAAATGACCCTCGAAAAGGACAGAAGCATCTCCTCACCTCTCCCGGCGGGTTTTCTCCAGCTTGTCCTTCAGGATCATAATCTCTTTCTTGAGGGTCAGCTGGTGGCTCTCGGCATCGCGCAGCTCCTTCTTCAGGTTTTTCATCTCGCTGGCGTGGAGCAGGTCACGCTGGGAGAGCTCCTCCTCGTAAAACAAAGTCTTCTTTTCCAGGTCAACACGCAGTTTCGTTAGCTCCTGGTGGTGCTCTGAGCTGCTGATCCCCGGAGAACGGCCCACCTGCTTTTGCTGTATAAAAACAAAACAGTTAGGAACTGGTCTTTGTCTGGAGTGCTTTTCCCTTGATTTCTGGAAGCTTGTAAAATTTCTGAATTGAATTATCTTACTGAACAACTGTTATCGTGATGAAAACACAGGCATCAGCTATGACATTAAAACCAAAACGAAAATAATTCCAGGCTCTGCTAATATTCTTATAGTGTTAACAGTTCCTCAATCTCAAAAGCTCCTCAAGAGCAATGATACAACAATTTTTTTTAAGTTCAACTTAGGAGGGGAAATCTTTTCAAATTAAAGTATTAAAATTAATTTATTATTTTAATGTAATAATGAATTCATTATTTAAACTGCGTCTTATGCATGTAACAGTGCTCCCTACTTAATTTCAAACAAGCATGTGTTTTTAATTAACTGTAAAACTTAATACAGAGGTAATTCTTGAAAAACAAATTTGCAGAACAAGACATACTTTATAACAACTTGAAAAACTATCAAAATCATTCTGTATTACAACAACTAAAGCTTACAAACTAATAACCTTTCAGTTGTACTATAATTATCCAAGTGGAGACACACATCAAAGGATATTTCATAAAACAAATACTTTTTACATAACTGTGGAACAACAAAAAGTTTAATGTCTTCAGCACTTTAAATAATAATCTTCTGTCTGGTGCTGTGTCAGCAAAATAGATTACAAGGCTTTCTAAAGAATAAATAGAATCTGGAAAAAAACATTCATTCATTAAAGTCCGTAAAACACTGCTGACATCATAATATCAGAAACCAACTAAATATTCATATATGCCCAACAAAAGATTTAATGATGTGTTACTCTGGTTTCCTTTTTCTAACCTGATTAATACTGGTTGGTATAGTTAACAGACTAAGAAATTAAGCAGAAATGGTGATATAGCATTGGTTTTCTATTATGACAGGTATGATGAGCTAGGAACACTATATCATTTCACTTTCCGTTTTACATTTTGTGTCCTACCTTCAGCCCCTCCAGCTCCTCTACTAGCTGCCTGGCATACTGTTCACTCCGCTCCCTCAGCTTCTTCTCCTTAGATGCCTCTGCCACCGCCTCTTCTGCCTTTGTGTCCAGCTGAGGAGCAACAAAGCAGGATCTCTGTCATTTACTGTACCTCAGTCACTATCCCCTCCACCTCTCTTGTTACAAATGTTGTGACAGCAGTCCAACGCTTCTGGTCTGGGGTTCCACAAATGACAGCCATTTTGACACTCTTAACAAAGCAGCCCCCGTGTTATGGTAAGAGTCTCTTTATTTGCACATAGTGCTTTCCATCCCAGGAGATCCAAAAGGTTTATTAAGAAAGAAAATCATAATTCATCTTCCACTGAAGTGACACAACCTTTGCTAGAGCACACAGTAGCCATGTTGCACTATATAACAGCTATGTAATGAGTGAACTGCATTGGGCTAGAGTAAGTTTGGACTCTCTATTTTTCTGGAAAATACTGCCATACTGTGAACAAGATTTTTTTTTTGAAATCTTTATATGTGCCTCTACACCATTATGTTCCATTCTAGACAGAAAAGAAAACATTTGCATCATCAACAAACATGTCATAATCGAATATATATGTGTAATACATGGGAATAGTTCTAAAGGTTAGGCAAAATATGAAAACTCCAAGTATATCTCAAATCATTTCACACCACCTTGGTGTTAATACTGGTGTTAAACAACTGAATATATAAATAAAATATATTGTGAGAGAAGTGAGATTTGCATAATATTAACTATATCAGTAAATTTGAGTGGAATACATGGTCCTTTAGTACAAAAAGATTTGTTACAATTATGTGGCTTCTATGTACGATAAAAAGTGCTTTAGCGATATTTTTTACTAATTCAAAATTAAATCAATTTAAGAATTTAATAGATGAAAAGATAGGCCTTTTTCATGTGGCTTTCCTTTTAATGCAACCTGTTTTGAACTCCAAAACATTCATTTTCAGTGGCTTTAGTTGTTAATTTGTATTTCATGGTGGGTGTATTGTGACTGTTACTCTTTCACGGACTCTAAACACAAAATATGTTAATTAAGTCTAATCAAACTTTACACAATTAGTTTGCCTTTGAAATGCCTTTAACATCGATATTCTCCTTTGATACAACGTGTTTCCAAACATCATCCAATCTCAGCCTGCTTCGTCACATTAATTAAAGAGGTTTCTTCAACCAATATGGAGTATCTCACTATCCTCTGTTCTTTTCCCACAGAGATTTCAAATGTTAAAACAATTTATATATTTTTTTTAGAAAATTTGATGAAACAATGATTTTGATGTGTAATTTTGAGCTGAAATTTAACATGAAAGCTAAATTAACTATAACTTTGATTAAGACAGTAATTGAATATTCAAGGGCTCTGTCAGGACTTAAACCAGAAGATTTACTAACATGCCAGGTCATAATCTAAAGACGTACTGACCACAGCATAAGTCATATTAAATATTTTTAGTATTAAATAGTCCTCATTTAGAAAAGTAATATAAGTCATAGTATTACTATATATATAATCATAGTCAGAATTATTAACTTCAAGAAAGAACTAAGTGGAAATTTAATTAAAGGTGTTTTATGGAACTGGCCATTGGTTTAAGAAGCAAGCCCACCTCTTTTTTGGCTCTTTCAGCTTTGCGTACTTCCTGTCGCAGGGCTTCAACTTTCTGCATCACCCCCTCCATTTCTTCCTCTTTGTCCCTAAGCTGCCGCGAGATTTTCTGTTTCTGGGAGCGTAGATCAGTGACGCGTTCATTCATCTCCGAGAACTCCTGCATGGCCAGCTTTCTCTGGCTGTGGGCATCCTTCAGTTCTTTGGTTTGGGATTTCAGCCTTTCACTGGCGTCCAGTAACTCCTAGATGAATAACGATCAATACTCATTTTAATAGTTTCTTCACCCTTAGATACCCGATAACACCCTATATTGAACTAGTCACTTACACAGACCCATTTAATTATTTCAGGTTTTTATAGTTGACTGCTTAAGAGCTGAAAGCAATTAAGACCTAACTTTGCAAAGTACTAATTCAATAAAGGGTTCAGTCATGTAACAGAACTCAGCTGTAACAAAACAAAAGACCGAAATAATCCCTAGGCCAGCACTGGAAAACACAACTATGTTCAAAACGTATCACAGCCAAGATGTTTAATTTTTTTCAGACATCTGCAGGCTTGCTGTATCTGAACATCTGAAGTACACCTTTTCATCTCACTACCAAGCTACAGTATCCTGAAATATTTGTCTATGGACAAGTTCAATTTGCTGTGCCTAGAAGAGCTCCACCCCTGTCAGCCATTATCCTTTTCTGCTAAACCATTTGATTTAGACATCAGTACACTATGCAAGATGAGAGAATATGTAGAAGATAGTACAGTTTTGGGATAACCTTGCTGTGCTAGATATGATGTCAAAGTACTGTTCTATATCACTGCACCAGCACAGCAACATATGGTACAACAGTTTTAAATCCTGAAGCACGCTGTTCCTGCTTTCATAGTCCCAAAGCTTCCTTTAACCAAGAACATCTCAAGCAAACAAAAATAGCGCAACTGCACATGTTCTGCTATGTAACATTTCCTACATTGTGTACTGTATATTTATCACTATAACTTCACAAAGATCAAAGCAAAAGAAAAATCAATTAATATTTCACTTAGGTTCACATGCTGAATGTTTTGAAATTATTTTTACAAGAGCATGTTGAAATCTTCATTACCTTTTGGAAATCATCCCTTTCTTGTTTCATGATTTTGATTTGCTTTTCTAGTGATTTGATGTGCTTGGAGGATTCTTCTAAATCCCTGCGGGCTGTGCTGGCCTCTTCAAGCTGCTGCTCTTTCTGGCCTGATTCTTCAACGGGGTAAGAAGAACATAGTTAAGTATTGCTGTTCATGTGATACAGTCAATCCTGTAACATTATTACAGAGCCTTCAATTTGGCAGCTGTGGAAGTAGAGACATTTCAGATGGCATTCTGAAATAAACCAGGCATGTTGTCAAAGTAGACCCCTAGAAATGGCTGGAAAAAATTCTCAGATCAATTGGCTTATAGCCACCAAACGAGCTACAGTCAATCCTCTAGTTCACAACATTTTAATTTCTATCTATTTTTTTTTATTTTGTTGTTTTTTCACACAAAGATAACATTTCTTTCAAAGAAAACCCCTTCACATATCCCACATCGTCCTCAGGGATTGTCACGTCCATGTTTCTACCTAGAGTTTGACTGCCAGAATCAGGATTGCATGCCACTAGTGTCACCTATTTTGGAAGAGAAACATTGAGGCTGAAGCCTCCATATAAAAAGAAAATCAGGTAAGACCAGGATCCAGGATCCCTTCAGGAGATGGATCATTTGCGTCTTTTCATATGTTTTTCATTTAATCTGTTACAATACCACAAACTTTACGAATCCATCTGTTCAATGTCTTAATTCAAGGAGAAAACCCTACCACCAGCAATTAGGTGTAGTAAAATCAGAACTGATTTAGTGCTTTCCTAAAAAAATCTAATTTGAAGGAGATCATCAAGGATGGAGGGTTATTTTGACCAAACAGCTCTTCAATGTAAATGAGACGGACCTCTTTTGGAAGAAAATACCATCACAATTTTACAACTCAACAGAAGAGAGGCTTCAAAACTGCTAAGGACCATCTAGCCTTGTTCCTTGATGGTAACGACTTTGTTTAACTAAAGGTTTGCTTAGTTTATCATTCTAAGGGCACTGAAGCCGTTCTCCAAAGTTCATCTTCCCATTATGAACAACAGACAGTGAGGACAATCCAACCATCCAGGATTTTTTGGGAAGGTCATAAACAACACAGCTGAGAAACGGACTTTGTGCATGCAAGCTGGCAATGATGAATGCTGCTAGGAAATTAAAATGTGTCTGTTATTGCCAGGGTTTTGATAATGTCATGGATATTCATAAGCTGATAGAAGTGCTTGCAAAAGAGCATGATTTTGATGAGGTGGTCCAGCTTCTTGATTCTCAGAGTGACAACCTTATGAATAATTATTTGATGAGGCTTAAACAATGACACTCAAAAAGACAAAGAAGCATAAAAAAGAAACAGATCAGTTGTCAACCTCTACAAAGGAGCTTATCTCTATGGTGATGTGAGAGGCATTCATTGCTTTGAGTAGGGAAACAACACCTTCCTGGATAATTACCCAAATACGGAACACTGTAATCAGACCAGAAGCAGTATTTAAAATCTTGTAAGGTGCTACAGAGAAATGTACAACATCAAGAAGTACAGAATAGCCTAGACTGTGTCTTCAAGCATTATATACCAATACCAGAATCCCACTTCTTCACGTCACCTCAGCCTCCCAACCTCAAAGGGGAGTAGATCTTTGATTGGTCGTTAAGGGCTCTGTACCAGCTGCACATTATTACACTATTATAAGAAGTCTATGGCTGAATATCTCAACTGGTTTGCATGGATGTGGCGCAGAATTGTGGAAGAGAAAAAATATTTTAAAAAGATTTTACGTCAACTTTGTGAAGTAACCAAAATCTTGTGTTGTATGTTCGGCATTTACCCTTAAGACCACTATCTCATCACACTTTCAAGTTTGAAGCACATAAAAGCAAAACCAGAGAAGACCTGAGACCAGCTGAGAAAGAGCTCCAGCTTCACTGGCATCAGTGCCTGAATAAAGCGACTTTGAGATAAACAGTGAGTTCTGTTTATAACATTAATAACAATGCGCTGGGGCTGGTGATATGTGTGGAGACGTGGGCAATGTGTCACAAAAATATTTTCTTAAGTGAGCGGCGAGGTGGAAAGGGTGAGAAACACTAGTCTTAATCTAAATATTAAATCTGAATAAGGACTCTCCGTTCCTGGGCAAAAGGAGAAACGGAGACAAATAATGGCTTCTGAAAACTCAAGTGAAAACTTGAGTACAGTGATAGCAGTTTTCTAAACTGAAAAGTGTAAATAGCAGTATTTCGTGTAAGAATAAAAAATGACCAGAAGACCAGAACCAAGACCAGAAGTGAGAATCACTGACCTAGTCAGTTTAGGATTGATAATTGATAATACCAGTTTCTTAAGATGAGCAGTATCAGCATTTCACATACACATTGTGCCCCTTAAGATCTCTGATTTCCAGTTTCAGTAGTGTTAGAATAATGTAATTCAATATTAGTCTTCAATCTGCAACAGAGCTACCAAGTCCAGGTGTTTGGAACACTTATGTCTTCTCACCTGCAATCTGCTTTTTCAATGTCTCAATTTCTTCTTTTAGGCTTCTGATCTCAATCTCTTTGCTTGCAGTAATGGGTCCATCAACACTGGAATACTGGAGGGCCTGAACTGTCTGAGTGGATTCTGAAAGATACATAATGAACAAATAATATTGTGGTAAAATAAAAAATGGTATACATAATTTACAATTAATCTTTCATTGATTAAACAGGCTTGGATCATCACCATCATAAAAAATAAGAATAATTCATTTGAAAAAAACTCAGTACTATAATAACTGCATAAAAAACAAACATAACAGCAGATTGAGCACAATAAAATTACAATAAAACGTGTTTAGGCATGCTTTAAAATATTCACATTTGCTTAATCCCTAATGGATCTGAGTAATGAGATAGACAATAATCGCTCTGCACAAATAAAATAAGGGACTTTACTCATGTAATAATTCCTTAATGTAGAGCCGAACTGTTTAGTGCTTTACACTAAATAAGTAAGCAGAAGCACCTTTTGATCCATTCTAAATTTCAATGGGAACCAATGCAGAAGGTTTATGCTAAGGCAGAATAGTCTTAGTTTGCACCTGACCTGAAGTCTAATTCCTATCTATATTGATGCTCCAGTAAGTAAGGCATTACTTATGTATTATACTTAAACTTTATCATTACTTTAGTGTGTGTGGGGTTTTAGAAGCCTCATTAACAACATCGCAATTTAGCTTAAGCAATGATGTATCTGATTTAGTTTGCAAATAAAGTACATTTGAGTGTCATTAACAGCACTTGTCTAGCTGATGGTGAATAACTCTTATTTGCTACATGAGAAATATCAGTGCTGTTATACAACACTAGTTATATCACTAGTATAACACTTTTATTTCATTTTTGCTAAATAAGGACTAACTGTAAAAATGAATAATAATTTGTTAATCAATGGCCAATGTTCTGTTATGGACTTTTCTGCCCATATGGTGTTTAATACTGTAATACTGTTAATAAAAGAGAATAAATCACTATACGTGAAGAGTGTTTTCTTCTTTTGAAAGTGTAACATTATATAGTGATATTTAATACAGAAGTGTAATTTATTTCAGAAGAAAGCAGCTCATCACGGTTTAATTGAGCATAGGCAGGCAAACCAGGGTATGAGAGAGGAACTCTAGATCTTTGCTGAGCTGGCACTCAGAGTTTATTGAAAAACTAGCACAGCAGGTAATCCATTTAAAATGGCTAAATGGAGCCAACAGAACCTCCATGCAGAACATAAAAGGCTATTTCCAGTGCAGTTTTCCTTGTCCAGAAACTGTTATTCACATATTCACAATTCTCAGGTCAGACATGGCACACCTTGGAGCTTTCGGCTCAGTTCCAGCTTCTCCTGTTCCAGGCGCCGTATCCTTCGCTCGTAGGCCTCAGTGGCCAAACTGTCCTCCAAACTCCTCTGCACTCGGAGGTCCATCTGTCTGGAAGTTGGACTGGCAAACTCTCTCAAACATCCCCGGTCTGAGAGAGTGCTGGAAAAGGGACAGCATAGAAAAATGAGAATGTTTTTTCAACTTAAAATATTAAGCTTTTTGCAAATTTAAACATTCTTGCCATTTGAACAGACAGTGATTTACTGGTTAAACCTGTTGCCTAAATTAAAAGGCCAGAGTTGGTTCATAAGGGTTTATTCATGGCCTTTTCCCTTAAGACATTAATATCCTTCACATCACAACCCTAGCTACATTGATTTCTTCTGCTGCATCTGCTTCTCCTTGCATCTAGTAGTAAGAAATAGCCAAATGATGTCACATTTCTTAGACCACAATGTGGACACACAACAATTTTGCTTTGAAAAAAAGGGAGAGAACGAGAATTTCAAGAACACTAATAAAACACTGATGAGAAAAGAACAACGGAAATTGGAAATCCCCATACGTTTTACGAAAAGTTTAACTCAAAACTCATAATGGCAATTTCAATTTATATCTGTTTTACAGCTATGCCTTCATTTGCTTTCAATTTTTTAATTGATTTTGTTTTATTATGCATGAATTTGGCTATTGTAAGCGTTCTGTTGGCAATAAAACAGCAATAAGAACAACAATAACAATTAGAAAACCACTGGTAGTTTTTAGTAGTTCACAGAAAGTGTCACATAAAACTCTAATATAACATGCATTGGTATCAAGTTTTAAACAGTAGCAGTCTGCACTTGAAGAAGTTAAGATTTAATGGTTTCACAGTAATATAAGCTGGAAAAAAAATGAAGCTATAACTATTTTAACTCTGGTTACCAATATAGTTTACTATGGTATGAGAAGGATGTTGCATTTTTCTTGTCACATTTAGTTTCATCACCTGACAACCAACATTTGCAATCTTACAACCAGACATTACATACACAAGCTTGTTTGAAAGTCTATATAAAGTGTTTTTAGTAGGAGACAGGACATTGTAGCCTTAATATTACAGATCTAAAGGAAAACCTACTATAGAGGAACCTAAATGCATTAATAGAAGTCACGTGTTACCCTAAATATAAAAAAGTAGGATTACATGGGCAGCAAATATGTACATAAGACTTGTGTGATGATTTCATGTCTAATTTCATATCAAAGTAAAACCTAAAGATGATAATTTTTAGCATATTCGTACAGTGATGAGAAAGTCTGTGAACCCCTTAGGATTTTCACATATGTGAAACATAATATGTTATTGGATCTAATAATAGATCAAATGAACCCGATAAAACAAATGACTCAAAACATGATACTATTGCAACAGTTATCCTTAATTGTTTGACAAATTATTTAAACTTTTAGATTCATTAACTGGTGGCACCCCCTTGATTTTTAAGAATTTTGACCCATTTCTTGTTATAAAACTCCTTCAACTCTGTAACAATTGAGGGCTCCTACGCATGGACAGATCAATTCAGGTCCTTCCACAACATTTCACATTTCATATCAACATATCAAGGCTGTCATAAATTGTGGAATTTCGTCTTCTAAAGCCATTCTATTGTAGACCTGCTAGCATATTTAGGATCACTGTTTTGTGGCAAGGACCACTTTTTATTCAGCTTCAGGGATGGCCTGACATTCTCCTCTGGAATCTTCCGACAATGCAGACTTCATGGTTGTGTCAGCGATGGAAATTGTCCAGATACTGAGGTATTAAAGCAGGGTCAGCCATTTCTCTTTGAGCCAAAAGACTCAATTACCTTTGACTTCTTCTGTCCAGAGAATCGTGTCCCAGAAGCTATGTGCTCTTCGGCAAACTTCATACTTAAATGTTCGTTTTGGAGAGCAGCAGTTTTCTCCTTGCTTTCCTTACATGAACACTGTTTTTGTTCGGTCATTTTCTGATAGTTGAGCCATGAACAGTTGAGTCATTAGCAAAATCAAGAGTGGTCTGCGGTTCCTTGTATGTTACTCTGGGATTCCTTTGTAACTTTTGTAATGATTTTCCAGTTTTTCGAGAGATTTAGGTAGGATAACCGGTCATAGTAAAGTGACTATGGTTATAACTTTCTCCATTGGTAGACTGTCTGACAATGGTATTGATGAAGCCCCAAATCAATAGAAATGATTTTATAACCCTTTCTGTATTTATATTTTGTATTTGTAAGCCTTAGATTGTGGTATGACTTGTTTTCACATAGCATGGTGAAAACAAAACTCAAAATGTTTCTTTTCTTTTCTTGGCCCTGTATACAGCGCAAAATTGATTCAAAGTGTTTACCTAATCTTTTTGAAGTGTTACATACTTCATAACATCATCACGAGAATAAATGAGCAATTAAAGCAAAATAATAGAAACTATTATCATTGTTCTGTTTTGTCAAAATGTGCATAGCAGTAGTAAACAGTTTTACAGAATATATGTTATGTCCATAAGGTCTCACTTTGTGGTGCAGTATTACCTCCAGAGTAAAATGAAGACAGACTAACAAAATATTTTTGTTCATTCATAACCTTGTTCCAAATAAACAGCCATCAACTGCACTGCCTAATAGTCAACACCTCAATTACTTTTTTAAGTAAAGATTTGAAATGATCATTCCTAGCATTTTCAGTACTGGGAGCGACGCTATGTACTGTATGCTTTTGTTTTCTTTTTAAATATGTTCAAAAGTGCAGATTTGTGTTTTGAATGTTCTATTCCACACTAATAAGCAAACTACTTTTTTAAAAATATTTTCTCTAAACGTGGGAAAAAAACAAAACAGAAGCACAGGCTGCTGACAGTCTACTGAAAGCTGTGTATTATACAGTAACCACTTGGAAGTGCACCTCAGCTAGACCATCTGGCTGAAGTGCTCCCAGTGATGCTGCTTTGTATCTTTTACATTTTTTTCCCAGGGACTCACCTAGGAAGCAAAGTATTTACATCCAAAGCCAAAAAGGATTCTATCCCCCTAAGATTTTTACCTCTATATTTGAAAAGAATGCTTTCTTTTTTACTTAGCTTTTAGAATCTACATTACTACCACTCTCAATCTTACAATATAAGGGAAACTCATCAAGACAGACAAGTTACACTACACATTCTAGCTGAGAATTTCATATATGACTCAAAAATCAGATGCCCCTTTCACTCTCCCTGTTCCAAATTCCCTGTGGTCATAACATTGGCAAAAATAAGACATACAGTATGGACCCCTGGCTATGGCTGGATAGGAGCAATTTAACCACAATGTTTTAAAAGTGGATTATATACTTACCATTGTTTTTACCATGTTGCTTATTCACTTTGGGATAAACTACAAAACTTAAAAACTGTAGTACTGTGATATCATAGGTGATATGAGAGAGAATCTATTCATATTAAAATATGAAGGCAATTTAGTAAACATCTAAATACCTATGTAATGGAATCCCCGCTCAGCACCACCTGAGCCCTTCTTACACAGCAAAATCTGAATTGTCAAATATTAAATTATAAAATATTAATACTAATGATGAATCACACATATAAACCAATTCTAGAGTTTGTAAAATCTAAGGGTCATGATTCTTTTCTACTCTTTTTTCCACAAAAGTGTATATCATGATTAACCCCATACTTACCAGTTACTGGTGTATGTAAAGCCAACAAATGGCAAGTGATGGCCAGAGAATGCAGTATGTGAAGGGGGAGGCATCGTTTCCTAAAAGAAATGTGGGAAAGAGTACAGCAATGATTTATTACATCACAGTCTTAAGAATGACAATAATTTAGTTAAAACCTAACTATCAATTTCCACTGAAATGAACAGGAGTCAGAATTCTACAGAATACATCAATTGTACAAAAGTCCTCACTTGTGACATGAACTTGTCAAGTCCAAACTTCTGTAGCTAGACTTCTAACTCACAGCAGACATTGGCCACATATCACTCCTACACTTTATTAATTACCTAATAAGTCATGTATGTATTATAGGATATTGTTATGACTTGTAAGGCTTTACAAATCTGTTTCAGACATACATTTCTTTATACTCCCTCTTGTAGACACCAGTCAGTTAAAGCTGGAGCTTTGCTATGGAATGCTCTTCCTCAGACGCTTCAAGAGACAAACTTGCTTCATCTCTTCAAATCCAAACTCAAAACCCATCTCTTTAATAAGGTCTATGTCTGACCTATAATATCTGTATGAACCTGTATGTTTATTTTTTTTCCTTTTGTTGTACTTTGTCTTTTTTTTCTTTATCGCTATGTACTTCAAAAAATAATAGTTGTTGTTGTAATAAAAGATATGAGGAGGCATTACAAAAATGGATGCCTGTAATTTAGTATAAAATTAATCAACAAGAGAAACCGATGCAACTGTGAAGTTATAAAGGCGAGTTCTTGAAGCTGAGGTACAGCTTTTTGAACTTTTACACAAGGCCAGACATTGCCAGCTATAAGATTTAAAATTTGTAATCGGGCTTCTAAGCAGTGAAAGCCTGTAGAGAATGTAAAGAGGTTTTCTCCTTTACACTTTTGAATCAGCTGGCAAACGTAGGAAAGGCCCCTTTTGATGGAGAAATTCAGTACAGAGTATTTCCTCTTTCAATTTAATTCTTTTACGTACAGAGTTTTTTAAGCAGTCATCATCGACATCAAAGTTGGAGGTATCGGTGGGGCTGCTGACTTCAGGAATGTATGGTGCCTCGCAGTTGCGGATGTTGTCCCAGTCAATGCCTGCGAAGAAAGGGTGTTTCTTGAAGTCCTCGATGCCGTTCTGGCCCAGTCGGTGCTCTCTACTGCAAATGAGTCTCCGGATTAAGTCCTTGGCATTCTCAGACACGTCTGTCACCTGGGCAGGGAACTGAAATCGCTCCTGTACAGACGAAAAAAGAAACACCACAAATATATACCAACAGTTTTTCCCTGTCTCATTTTCATTTTTCACTTGTTAGGAAAGAAATATCTTATTCACTGACAATTTTGTTTCAATTGTAAGCTAACCTAAATGTAAGCCATAATCAGGTCTCAGAATAGAAGTTTTCAATATTTCAATATTTTAAACTCTGAACTAGAACTAGAAAACAGAAGGAGAAAAGTTATGAAAAATGTTAAGACAGCTTTATGTGTTGCTAGAACAATTTCAGTAACCTGTGTTTTTTCTTTTTCTTTTCTTTAACACATTAAGTTTTATAATTTTACAGTCCAAAGCACTTGATTTCATGATATCAATATTAAGTTAATGGAAGTCGAACAGAGAGAGGCCTCTGTCTGATGTCTCTTGCAGGCAAATGTTTAATAAAGTATAACTACCATGGCTTCCATTATGTATGTGTTATAGAACTAAGTGTATTTTAGAACTCTTTGAAGTCTTTTTTACAATATTTTTATATTGTACAGTTCAATCACTCATAACCAGTTAACGAGTATTAAATCCTCTTTTCACTTTTTACTGCATAGAAAAGTTTATATTTAGCACATTTATACTTTCATTTTATAGTATGAACTCTTAGACCAATTATCTAATAAATACAGTACAATATAAAGGCGTAATACGCCCCATGTCGTACATAGAGTGTAATCAGTAAGTAAATAAATTAATGTCTTATGAGTATTTATGTACACATTTAAGCAGAGTATATGCTTAAGCAGGACTTCAACCTCCCCTATTAAAATAACACTGCAAACTTGTTGAATCAAAATTCGTATGCTGCAGTTCTATACTCTACCTGGTTTTTGACATTTTGTAAACACATCTTCAATTGAAATACATAGTTGTAGGTTATAAAACTATTATTTAGTGAAGACCGGATATATTTTTACATTTAAGACATACAAATATCTATTTAAACGCTGCATGAATATTGCAGATAATCTAAAAAATAA